ATGCGAAACGGTAAACTCCAAGTGAACACTCTGGTAGTATGAAATCCTGAGCCTGTTCCTAGGCCAGCTACAAGTAATGAACGGAAGGAACTGCTTTTCAACCGCTTGAAGTCACTTTTATAAAATTGAATTTATTGTCTTATAACTCTCGAGGTGTCCCCTTTTGACCTCGAGTGATCACTAGAGATTCCCATTCATTAACATATTTTTCAAACTTTTTAGAAGCAAAATCTCAATAAATTCCGTTTTAACTTCATTTCAAAAAGTTAATCGCTTCTTCGCAATTCACATTCTTTTGCTCTTTTTTTTCTCTCAATTTCAAAGATTTCAACGCCGAACTTTTCTCCAAAAGATTGCAATCTCGACTTTCATCTTGTTCATTTTGTTTTCGTCCCATTTGTCAATCTAAATTTCGGTAAGGTGTGCGAATTCACAAAGAAAAAAGTGGTATTGGGACGAGCGGAAAAATTGCAATTTCCGATCTTATCTGAGAGTTTCTTGAGGTCTGCGTTTGTTAGTTTGATATCAAGGTTTTTCTCAGATTTCTCTCACAAAAAGTCGATTCTTGAGGCTTGAAAGTGCGTGGGTTTCTCTCGATTTGGTCAAATCCATTTTCCCGAAAAAACGAAACTAATTTCGGCGCGGGAAAAGCGACGCGATGACGCTTTTTTCATCTTGTTCAATCAATAAAATCGGAGTTTTTTGCTATCATGAGTGAAAAAATCAAACTTACTCGGTTCAAACAGTTTTTAACTACAGAAAATTCCCTTTTCAAAGCAAAATGAATTCAAAGAGAAGTAAAACGTGTTCTACAACCTAATTGGTTCAAAAAAAAGTTGACGAAACGCCTTTTTTCCAACTCAGCCTGAACCCTAATAGCGAAGGACAAGTCTGCACCTAAAAAATAGGAAGAAGCTCAAAAAATGAAGAAACAGCTTCAGTCTAGGATAATAGGTCAAAAAGTGTGCTCTATCGTTAATTTCACAAAATTAATTAGGCTTTTTTGTCTTATGTTTATTACTACGTTTTTTTATTATATAAATAAGTTGTTCATACCTTCAGAAAAAAATCATATTAAACGGCTTTCGCTCGCTCTTTCTTTACTTAAACCTCGATCCAATCCTTTCCTCTCGTCGAAACCCGTCAAGAGTCGAGCCAAAGACGTCAATCGCCTGAAACAAAAACGTTGCCATTGAATAAATCCGTCTTTTTTCATCTCTTTTTCAGCTCTTTTGCGCTAATATAAATTAATCCCAGCTGCATTTTTTTTATATCTTTTCCTCTTTTATCCGTCTCTGCTAAGCCGGAACACACTTCTAATTGACTTTCTTTTCTGTTTCACCTGTTGTATCGATGAATAGAAATGTCACTCGGGAGTGCAGCGCATTGTGTTGGGGTTATTGTAAGAAGAGAATGAGAAAAATGTCTTTAGGATTTGAAAACATCAAGCCGATTGCTCTTTTTTTTCAAGGGTTTTAAAGAGAAAAAAAAATTTGGAAGTGCAATAAAAATTTTATTCCACTCATTCTTGAGCCAAAATTCTACCAAAGCTGAGAATTTTCCTGCTCAAAATTTGATTTAGAGATGAATGGCTTTTTTGCAGGTGAGATTGAAAGGTTTCTCTAGATTTATTTTTTTTGAAACCGAATTATTTTTTGCTTGAGAAGCTTCTCCTCCACATAAGTTGAGTAGGTGTAACGCAGCCTCTCAAATGACCTAAAGAAAGCTCAAAAAAAAGGGAGAATCCCTACTAAGTGGCTTTTTAAGAGATGGAAACAGCTTGTACTTCTCAATCATTTATTGTGAAGAACGATAAGCTTGTATAAATTTTCAGTGAGACGTGCATTTCCAGCACCATCTACCTTTATACTTCTTACATTTTACCTCATTTCAACCGAAAGGAATTTGATTTCGCCATATGTGTGTATTTATAATGTAGCCAAGTAAAAGGCGAAGAAACAGCTGCCGAAAAAAAGGAGAAAAACGTCAGCGACGGCGGCTCTCTGCTCGAACGCACAATCCGTGCAAGGAAATGAACCAGGACATGGAAAGGACTATCGATTCTGGGGAGAGACACCTGCACACTCCACATCTTACCTATCATTCTTTCATTTTTTCAAAAATTATTCTTCTATGTCCTTCTTTCAGTAAATTTTTCGCTGCGAATTTGAAGGGAAAAGGATTTTTTCTTAAATGATTACTTCTCCAGCTTGGCTACTCTCTTTGATGCATTCTGAAGTTATAATTCGAGGAGACTTGTTCCAAGAATGCCTCTTAAAGTAACCAATTCCAGATCTGACTCGTTTTTAGCCCTTTAAAACGCGAAGTCCTCGAAATAGTTTTCAATTCAAATTGATTCGAGTTTAGTGACTACTACAGTGATCGAAGTGGCCATCCCAGTGGTTCCTCACGCCCCTGTAAATCGGTCTACAAATTTTTTCTCAAGTAATTCACAAAAAAAAAACTAATTTGAAGGAGAATACAATTCTTGCCCTTTAGTGTACTCGTTATTCCAAAAAATTTTAAATGATCACTTGAAGGCGACTGACACCAAAGATTCACAAGAAAAATTGAAAGCTCATTTTGAAAATGTTTTTAGTTACGTAATATTGCCTTCATTTTTCCCTTTCGAAGTAATCTTCTAAAACCCCCTTCTGGCAAAATACGGAAAGATATCAAAAATCTGTAAGTGCCATTCGATTCAGAATACAAAACAACCCCCAGAGCCAAACTTTCATTATCTTAGCACTTTTCCTACGAAAATGCCATCGAAAAAACGGTTTTTCGACCGTTCAATAAGGATAGGACCCCCTGGATATTTTGACTTTCATTGATGGTTTTTGGTCAATTTCTTTTTTTGATGAGTGGTTTTTTTGTTCTCATATCATTTTTTATCAAGTTTTCTACGGTTTTACTTTCATATCTTCCAGGTTTGAAAAAAATATTTTTACATCGAAAATAGGGAAAAAAATGACGTTTTTTTAGGTTGCATCATGTTAATCGAGCGAATGAATTTTTTCAGTACTTTGAAAGAACTTATCTGATCGAAAGAGACATTTTAACATTTGGAAAAACAAAAAGAGGTTCGAAAAACATTTTTTTTAAAGTTAGAAAACCAGTTACAAGATGGTGTATCGTGACCGAATTTCAGACTGTCGTCGTTTTCGACCGTTTCTCTTTCTGTATGTAGTCGGGATGGCGGTGAACTTTTTTTAAAAGATTTGTGAAGGTACTATCAACATATTTCATCAACAAGATAATCTGAAAAAATTATATTTACCACGTACAATGCCGAGAAAATGTGGAGAGAAATTGGTACCCGCGCTCATCGAAGGTATTGTTTCAAATAGAGCGTTTGGCGGGTTTTTAGTTTTTCAACTGAATAATACAAAAATGAAAACGTGCAATAAAACAATTTTCATTAGAAATAAAACTTTTTATATGATTTACTTATACAGTACCGCAAAAAGTTCGAGTAGCAGTCGGAAGGGTGTTTATTCCTTTGATTTCCGAGGATCGCCAATTTTTTTATCCAATCCAACTAAGTGTCTTTTTGTGATGGGAGCACCTTCACAAATCCTTTAAAAAAAGTACACCGCTAATCCGACTACATACGGAAAGAAAAACGGTCGAAAACGAGGACAGTCTGAAATTCGGTCACGATACACCATCTTGTAACTGGTTTTCTAACTTTTAAACGAAGTTTTTTCTAACTTATTTTTGTTTTTCCAAATGTTAAAATGTCTCTTTTGATAAGGTATGTTCATTCAAAGTACTGGAAAAATTCATTCGCTCGATTAACATGATGCAACCTAAAAAAACGTCATTTTTCCCTATTTTCGATGTAAAATATTTTTCAAACCTGGAAGATATGAAAGTAAAACCGTAGAAAACTTGATAAAAAATGATATGAGAACAAAAAAACCACTCATCAAAAAAAGAAATTGACCAAAAACCACCAATGAAAGTCAAAATTTCCAGGGGGTCCTATCCTTATTGAACGGTCGAAAAACCGTTTTTTCGATGGCATTTTCGTAGGAAAAGTGCTAAGATAATGAAAGTTTGGCTCTGGGGGTTGTTTTGTATTCTGAATCGAATGGCACTTACAGATTTTTGATATCTTTCCGTATTTTGCCAGAAGGTCCGAAATCGAGGGGGGTCCTATCCTTATTGAACGCAGTGTATTCTCCCAGATGTCAACCAACCTTTTTTCAAGTTAGAGCCGTGCCCTTTCACGAGTCTTTCCTCTGAAAAAATACTGGGATGCTACTCTTGTCTTGTATTGTATCGGAGCAGCCGAGCTCGCCAAGCACTCTCGATTTCTGCGCATAGGAGAGAAAAACGCGTGCTCGGCGAGCTCTTGTAGTTTGGGGTTGAGACAAAGTGTACCTTTGGCTGCTACTATTCGTGTTGAACACAAAACAGCTTTCATCTTGTTTGATGATTCCGCTGAGTTCGAAAGTCCAACGTTTAAAAGCGCACTTTTTGCATCAGTGTCCAATTAAAGTAGTACTCCCAAAATTTGGACATTTTTCTAACTTTGATTTGAAGGAATGAATGAACTATAATGAGTAGACTGTACAAGAAAAAGAGTAGGAGCTGATACAAGCTACAGGGCGACATGATCGAGTCAATCTTCCTACTCTACCACTCTGAAGTTCGTTCTAAGAACGAGGACAAACGGATCCATGTCTCTCCAAATCACAGCATCATACCATCCGATCAATGTTTAAACATTATAGACCCAAAAATCTCTCCAAGATTCATCCTATAACTACCGATAGAAAGTGGAAAAGTGGGTCCAAGTCTATCCAAACAACAACATGACATCACTCAGTAACTCTACTGGTGCTTCAATTCGAAATTCGCTCTGAGATCCTTCTAATGATCAGAAAGACAAGATGATGTTATCAGAAGCTCTCCGATCCCTCGAGTATATTCAAAGGAAAGTATTAAATCATCACAGCCTCATTTCCACAGTATATTCGCTCCAAGACCCCTCAGGCTTTCGAGTGAACGTGGAAAAGCGGATCCGGACCGGCGTGTGCGGAGACGGTCGGTCGGAGAGAGGTTTCGGGAAAATCGTGCTGCGCGTGTCGTCCGTCGCGCGCCGTCACCTCGAGGCCTGTGGGGCAGCTGCACACAAACACACACAGTGAGACTGTCTGTTTGTGCTCCTCTTGCTGTGATGGGGGTTGCGGCCGAGTTTTTCCACGACGACGACGACGACCGCCGCCGCCGCCTGAGGGGAAAATGGACCGACTCAAATTCAAAGCCTTTAGATGGAGGGGAGAGACGCGTAAAATACACGCACGACCCTCCGCCGAGTTGTCAAACAGAACAACTCAGCTGCAGAAAAATCAAACCAAGTCGGCTCTCTTTTCATCTCGTTTTTTTAAAACAATTTTTTTGACTTCAGGAATTCCCGATACCTAGCTTGACTATATTTCTTTGAGACTTGACTTTTATTCTGAAAGTTTGATAGCTCCTGAAATTTGACATATTTCGGATCTCAACTGTTTATCTTAATTCCTATGTCTACAGATCCCATTCTCAGATCCTCTTAATAGTATCTTTCGTCTTTTCTTTATCTTCGACTACCACCATTTCACGCTTTTTTTTTTCGTAAGTTGCGATTTTTCAAAGTTAAACCTTTTTAGTTCCATTAAATGCCTAGACCTGAGCCGTTCTTTATTCTGAATAAATTTTCAACGGGCCTCTTTTTCGAGAAAAATTTATATAGATGTTGGTGATAGTTCAAATAAATATTCAAATATTCAAATATTCAAATAGATTCTTTATTGATAATCTTATTTTTCAAGGTTCGAGGCTTCAGAGGAGTAGCTACTAGTCGGAAAGCCTATGTTTACTTTCCGACTGGTTCCCTCAAGCTTTACTATCACCAACAATGCAACGACTTGCTTCAGCATCATATTTTTTGAATTCTTTGAAGTTTTATTTTTTCGATGTTCTTTTTACTACAATTCGCCGACCTAAAGTAAAATTGCTTGACAAAAAAGGTCATTTAATTAATTTTTTCCGGTTGGAAATTCTTGAAAATTAGCCAGAATACTTCTTCATGAACCATATGAAGGCCTTAAAAATCTCAAACTGCACTTTTTCCAGTTTTTCGGGGAATGAGTGGTTAAAATCTGGGAAAAACTTTATTTTGAAATTTCTTTACCGAAACTTGAAAAAAAGTGCAGGTGGTGACTTTCAGGATTTCGATCTGGTACAGCAAGAAGTTTTCTGAACATTTTCAGAAAATTTAGAGAAAAAAAAAAGGAAATTGCCTTCCTTGCAAGAAATTTACTATAAAAGAGCGTTTATGGTATCTCCAAAAATTTCAGACTTTGAGAATATGACTAAACAATCCAATTCACAAAACTCTACTTTTTCCAATCAATTTCAGACCAAGAGAACTTCAGTATTTTTTCCCAATGGATGATATCTCTTTCCCATGTGACTAACTTATTTTTTCTATCCACCTTCACTACAAAGCCACATCTAGTATACTCATTAGTTCAGCATCTCAAAGCCAATCTAAACAATGGAGTTCTCGGAAACTAATTATATTCCCATCAAGCAGCTCTTCACGATTTTCTTTTTATCCGAGCTATCACATGACCATATCTGCACCTAGCAACGCGCCGCTGTCGTCAATCGTATGAACATCATTAGTTAATTTGTCAAGAATATGAAATTGTCATTTTGTTCAAAGCCTAAATAAGGTTTCTGACGCAAATCAAAAGGACAATCTCATATTCTTGACAAATTAACTAATGATGTTCATTTACGATTATAAAAAATGAAATCAAAAATGATCGCGTTTCCGAAACAGAAAACCAGAGCAGAGGTTGAACCGGGTACTCATGATTCATGATTTTAAGATATACCGACTGCGTCACTACGACCTTTCATCCGGAAGTAAAATCCTACACAGAGGCATGCGCTATCTGATAATGAAACTTTTAACTGTATACTAAGTCAACTCGTGAGGTGTGGTTTTAAAAATTTCACGTAGGTAAAGGTTAAAAAAGCAAAAGCACGAGGAGGATATGAACACAGGACCTATTCGGCCGAAAAACTAAAATTTCTACTGAACTGTGGGATTCTTGAACTTAAATCTCCAATCATGAAATACTTATTATTTCATACTATACAGTAAAAAATTACGAAAAACTTGCTAAATAGCAAACTTGAACGCATGAAAGGTTCTTTCAAAACTAAAGATATAAGCGACTTATCAGACGAATTGGGAGTGTACCAAAATGTGTCCCCGAGTATACCTCTCGAAATAGGTATCCTTATGTCCATCGCAAGACCTCCAGTATACCTTTTAGCTCTATCCGAGCCATATCGGAGGTGATTGAGAGTATAAATTAATTTCTCGTTAGACTTCTGACCCTGGGATGTACTCTCGGTAGTATCGCGATACCCTTTCTCGGTTCGCTTGTGTTCGCTCTTTGTTCAGTTATCAGGTATAATAAATAAATACTGAACCTCGATTTAAAACTTTTGAATGAGCCTATTTAATGAAAAACTAAAACCCTGAGCAGGATTTGAATCAACCCTATCATGCAAGTAAAAATATTTGAAAAATATCCGCAAAAAGAACGTTTTATTCATATAATCCTCAAGATAACGTCGAGGACGATTGGATTTGAGAGCATCATCTTTTCGTCACCCTAAATCTTTAACCTTATCTCTTGATCCTCTGAACTATGGCCACACTTTTAAAAGGATTTTTTGCCTTTTAGGCTATCTATTTTGTCATATTTTTCTTGAATAACTTTTTTTTTCTCTCTCCTTCAGTAAAACCGTTAAGCCTTTCCAAATTAATCAACAACTCTTTGGAATATTTCTGACAGAAAACTTAGTCGAACGGCTAAGCATATCCCTTTGATTCGAAAGGTCACCGGATCAATCCCAATCAAACTTCCTTTCAGCTTTCTTACACCTTTTGAACCCCTTTCGAACCACAATTATAACCACAAAGGTGCAATTTTTCCCGAGAAAAATGGCTCTAAATAGCGTCAACCAAAGAACACAGGCGTAAAAAGGCCAGCGTCTACCATTCACAAGTTCATGATTTCTTTCTAGCTATTTTGTGATTCTTTGGAGAGCTCGTTTATAACTCTTTTCATTAGTTTTTTAACTATTCATTGATTTATTTTTTTTCTTTTTGCATGGAAAGATAGTAGAATATATACAAAAAGAGCGTTGACCGAGTTTTTTTAAATATTTGGTGGCGCTTGAACTGGACTCGTACCAAGAACCGCATGGAGAAGCAGCTCAAAGTCAGAACGCTCGAAAATCGTATTGAATATATTCTATCTTTCATTCCTTTTGTCTATTCGGAATCCTGAGAAAACTTTCAAGATGGTGTTTCTCAAATCTCTTATTCTTTGGAGTTTTGATTGTTTTTATTTTTAACGTTTATGAATTTCAATATTTGTGTTTTTTTTTCCCTGATTTTTTTGTTCGGCAGTTTTTTTCAAATAAATATGTTCTACCAGGAATAATTTTGAAGGTTAAAGTATCCAGATTTTTCAGTCAACTTGTACTTCTGACGTTTTCTGATATCTATTCATCCTCACTATACTCCCCTTCATTTTCGAAACTCTCATAAAATCCATAAAACCATCTGTTTGATCCACCTAGATTACAAATTTCTGGAAAAAAAAAGCTTTCTTCATGAAAAATTTTTTGAGCTTTACTTTAAGCTTACTCGCTTTTGAAGGAGTTTCTTTTTTTCTTAAGTGTAGTTCCGTAACCCCTAAACATCCGTTCGAATTTTTCTCTGACTCGTGATCACTTGAAAACATTCTTTCTTTTTTGAGCGTTTTCTTCAACTCCTATCTTAAAAAGTACTTTTTTACTCAAATAACAATCCTGACCGAAAAAGGTGCAATTTTTCCGAGAAAAAGCGGTTAGATACGAGAAGAAAAAAAAACAACAAGTGGGCGGAGCCCGGAAAGGTAGGCGGAGCTTTCCTGGCGACTGCGCGAGAGGGAGGGGAAAGCGTGGCGCCGTGGGAATTTTGCGCGCGCCTCAGCGCCAGAAAATCCACTCCCACTTTTCTCTTTTTCTCTTCTTTTCTCTTTCTCTTTCTTCCTTTTCTCTTCTTTTTTTTGCCTGCTCTTGCTCTCGCGAAATTATTTTCAGACCAACTATTCTATTTTGTCCTCCTCACGTTTTTTTCGCTTTTTTGTTGTTGTCGCGAAATTGTTGCGTTTTTTGTTGTCGACTTAACTACATCATTTTTGAACATAAATGGGGGATTAATTAAGTTTCAGCGGCTCTATAAATAGGTAATAGCTTTTCAACTACTATGTTGTTTCAAGAAAAGTTGAAAAAATGTCTTTCTATTATTGTGCAAATGTAATAGTTCCATCGGGGGAAAAAAAAAATGTTAATTACCTTTTTTTTATATTCGAGAGGCAACTCTCTTATTAATCTGTTAATGACAATGATCTATTTTATCAATCATAATGTCGATTGCTGACATTCTTTAGAAATCTGGCCAAGATTTTAAATTCCACCATTTGTAAAATCGGAACTGTAGCCGTTAATTACTGAAAAATTTTTTTGACTTCTCCTCGTATTATCAAGCCCTCTTTCAATTTACAGTCAAACTAAAAGTAATTTGAAATAATACATACTCAGGCTCCATTACTCGCAGAACTTTTTTGCTATTTTATATTTATTTCCCTGAAATCTTCGATTTTTCATTAAAAAAATTTTTCTTGTTATTTGCATAAGATTATCTATCAAAATGAGCCTACAAACCGATGACTCAGAATTACTTTCATAAGCTTATCTTAAAGTAATCACTGCATCTAGTCTTCGTCTTTTTCTCGTCACTTCCAGGCACAGACATTCTTTTTTTAAATTTGATCAATTAGCCGGAAAGCTAGACATGTTTCTCTATTTTTTCCTCCATAGTGAGTCGAAACCAATTGCTCCGCGCAGTAAAGAGGAAGCTCACGCGAGCAAGAGCACAAGGGTCAGAGCGATGTTCTTTTTTCGAGTTCTCTTCTCCTTTTTTCCCCAACTTCTCATCATCGATTATCAGCTTTTTCATCTCACGACTTTCAACTACTACTTACGGCTCAATAAAAGGTTTTCACTTCAAAACCACTCGGGTAACACCTTGGATATCTGAAAAACCGATGTATTTCTTTGACAACGGCTATATTTTTCTAATAACATTTCTAGAGTAACAGTTGAGCATAAGTAGAAAAATTCTGCTTAAACTTCTGAGCTCTTTGAAAACTCTGAAGGTCCAACTCTTAAAATTTCCTTGGAAGCTTTTGAGTGACATCATTCATCGCCCCAGCTTTTCCTTTGAATAAAATGTCGTTACCGACTTGAAAAAAGTCTCAAAAATCGAACATCTAAAAGTGCATCCGCCTTTTAGTCATACGTTACAAGCTACAGAGAAAAAGAGAGCATATTTTTATTTCTTTTGAACGCGGTATTTTCTGTTCTCAAACTTCAAAGATGGATCAAAAAAAAGGAACCGAAGAAGACATACAAGCTCGGGGTTGTGGAAGAATGAGCAACCTCTCAAGTATTCATTCAGAGAAAAAGCTCTAGACGCGCAGCCTTACCGAGGCCAGTTTCAGCCTTCAAAAAACTCTTTAAAAACTACATTCGCTTCGAAGCATGTGAAAGCTATCAACGCATAATTTTCACAGCCTTAAGAACCTTGAAAGACTGCTGCAGCTCAAAAAGTTGAAATTCCACAAGTGGCTGCTTGAACGGAGCAAAAGAGACTTAGCCTCTCTAAATTTTCTCCTCAAAAAAGATATATTCAAACCTCTCCGATCTTAGGTGGGAATTAAAGTTCAAAATTCAGAGCGAAACTTTGTTCAGAAAAAGACTTTTCAAAAGTGTGAAAAGTCAAGAGCACAAATTCTGAAGCTTCCATTAAAGCCACCGCGACGAAAAAACCTCGGAACTGTGTAAAAAAAACTTTCTACGCGAGACAAGAGCCTTCAAACTGATAATTCTAGACCTTGAAAATTAAACCTATGAGTTTCTTAAAATATCGCCCACTGTGAGCATCAAGGTTATGAAAACTACCTTCAAGGTGCTATCAACGCAATCGTAACTTCTGAAGTATTAACTAAAATGTTTTTGAGAACTTTCAAAAAAGGTCACACTGAACCATGGCAAACATTACCATCTCAAACAAAAAAAAACGAAGAACTATCATAAAGTTCTCATGAGCCCCTGTGGACATTTCCAAGCTCTATTAAAGTCTAAAAAGACCAGTAGAGCTCGAAAAATATATTCGGAAAAAAAAAACGACATGAAGTGATCCGTTCCGTCTCGACTTGACTATTACAGCAGTGGCTGCGGCGACGGCGTCCCAGCGCCGCAACGCCTCCCCGGCTGGCCGACGGCCGGCGGCACACGAACCGAGACACACGCAGAGAAGAGATATCTCACCCTGATATTTTTCCGCCTTTTCTTTTTCCATTCCCTTTGGTTATATTTCTTTTCGCGTGTTTCTCTTCTCCTCCTTCTGATCACCATCATCATCAACATCTCCATCAACAGTCTTCTCTTCCTTATTGATTCTTATTCTCAAATTTTTGTGGAAAAAGTTTTGAAAGCTAGCCCAAAGATTCCTCTTCTCATCACTTTTATCTCCGTCCAAGAATCATGAATAAACCTCTTGTTTGAACCTTCTATTATCATCATTTTCAAGCTTCTTATCCTTAAATTCACCATGAATTTGGGAAACTTCAGATTATTAGAGCTTTTCAGTCGCCTTTTTTAGATTATCACTTCCAAAAAGTTTTATAACCAGCTATGAACAACTTTTAAAAAAATGAATGGCGTCAAAAAAATTTCAAAAACAACAACTATGGTTTAAACATTCATTTTCATTTAAAATGTCGACTTTTATTCTGTTTGTGCTCAATTTACCTCTTTCATTTACAACCTCGGAAGACTTTTTCCTATAGTTAAATTTGAAAAAAAAAGGTTTAATATAATCATGTGAAGCAATAAAAAGTAGAAAAAAAATCTAGAGAACTAAACAATTTTATTCATTACAGTGTGTTTAATCAATATGAAGGGTGAGAAAGTAAATATGAAGAGGGCATTATTATTACAAGGTTTTCAGGATTTCTGAAATTTTCTATAGGAAACAAGTTTACCGATGAGAATATTTTTATATCGCGCAGCCGTTTCGGGTCCCAAAAATGGACGGCTTAAAGGGTGACCAATCGTCAGCATTTTACCCTCTTGCTTTAAAATGTTAATTTTTCGCTTTTCTCGAGTCTTTTTTTCGTTTTTCACAATTAAAAATGTCCTCATATTGACCTTTATCTCATTCCCTATCAACAGCATTCTGATGAATCGAGACACGGTAAAAGCAAAAAAAATGGAGCTTTTCGAGCCGCTTCGTTCAGACTTTTTGACCTTTTGATCTTATCAGATGATGACCAACTAAAGGATAATTCCCTTTTTTTTATTTCCTAAACTTATTACTGTGAAAAGTAACGGATATGCTGATTTTAATCAAAAATCTGCCTCTAATATCAATCCGAGGTTACTAATCTACCCCTGGTTTCGAAGGGACTTCATGACTGTGTTTTCACAGTAGTTCAGGCTTTCTCAACCTTTTTTTTCAAATATTTGCCGTTTCATACTTCATTAATTTTTTTTTCGTGTTTATTTCAATTTTTTCGTGTGATTTTATCAACAAAAAAAGCAACGAACTATTTTTCAGGGCATTGCAATGGGAAGGAAAAAGATACAAATCACACGCATACAGGACGAACGAAACCGTCAGGTGTGTTTGTTTATTTTATCCATTTTAATGTTTTCACTTTCCTCTCATTTAAACTGTACTTAATATCACACCTTATAATAAAATAAAATAAATATATTTCTTTTTTTTTTCTCGTGCAGGCTTCTCAGTTGATTCTTAATGCTATTTTTGACCTTTGAGACTCGATTTAATCAGCTTTCAAATGCTCATCTAATGATCTTTTTTATTTCTTTTTTATATCTTGTTCTTGATAAGCTCTTTTTCTAACTTTAAAAGTGAAAGTATTCTCAGAAGTCAAGTTTTTTTATTTATTGCCGTCGTTAGAATTTTTTTAAAGATTTATTTTTAAAAAAACCCTTAAGAACTGTTAATTAACTCATTTTGAATCTTCTCGCCTCCATCACACAAATCAAACTCAAAACCATTTTTTCCTTTCCGATCACCCCAAAATCCATCAATATTTTGAAATTATAGTAATTTATTGAGAGATCAGCGTGAACCCTAACGAGTTCACTCGGATCTAGAATTTGAGAGAATACTTTATACAATTATTAATCATTTGAGTCTTGGAGAAATAGACAAGCAGATCCCGTGCAATGGTATTGATCAACAGCGCCGAAAAAAACCAATCGCAAATTAGTGTGTAACAAAAGAGGCAACTTTTCAAAGACATTGGTCTTTAAAAGACGACGATTGAAGTTTGAAGTGGCCATGATGTCCCATGACCTGTCTCTCCTCATTCTTCTTACTATCTTTTTTTTCTCGTCTCAAAAACCTCGAGGAAAGTTCCGATGGGTGGGAAAGATCTGAGAGGCTTGTCAATCAAAAAATCGGTCGACCCAAGGTTTCACACGAGGAAAAAGGAAAAGAAAAAAGATTTGCCGATTTGTTAAACAAGGGCGGTCTGTGATGTCAAGTTACGCTGTAAGATGAGCATCAAAGTAACATATTTTTTTGATCTTTCGAAAATTATTCTCTTGAAGTCTCTTGAAAAAAAGAAGCTTTGAGGTTTCCAGAATTTTTTTTGTCCCAACCCTGCGATGAATAGAGTAAAAAAGCTTTCCGAAAAAAATAAAAATTCCTTTCCTCTTGAATTTGTGCCTCGATTCGGTAACTACAGCTTCTTCTTAGATTTAAAGCAGTCGCTAAAAGGGTAGAATTCGGAACGAAAGGTCAATGGATCAACATCCGTCAGTACTGATGTTTTTTGCTTTTTTAGTGGAAATATGTAAGTTTTTTTTTTTGTCTGTCATCGGAGATTTTCTGAATCATCCATTCATGACGCCCTTTATGAAAATTGAGCAAAACTAATTGAATAATTTTTGCAATATGAGCGAAACTTCCAAATAATTGTGAAGCTTGAACTTCCTACAGTGTAAAATGTTTGCGAAGACAACCCATTTTTCCGACTCCCTTTTTTCCTTCCTCTAATTTTTTTAAAGTGTTTGGCTCAAGTGGTTAGGGCTTTGGTGATGACCAAAAAGGTCAAGAGTTCGAGTATTTTTGGGGTTTAATTTCGTTTTTATGAAGAAGAAGTTTTGAAATAAATCAGAGAAGATCCCAGTTCAAAAGAAAGCGATACAAGAAAGTCTCTTGAAAAAAGCCACACAATCTATAAAAATTTAGCTCTTTTCATTGCAAAACTTACATAGGAAGAACACAGCTGCACACATTTTTCCTCGTTCTCAACAAAAAAAAGCTGATAAAAGACTTACATTCAGCTTCACAGATTCGTAACGTCTTTTTTTAATATGAAAGTTTCAAATTAGACCAAAAAAGAAAAATGCACATGAATTCGATTCTCACAAGCAAACAAATTATGGCACTAATCCTCGTACGCGACCGCGCCAAAGTGACGACTACCGTAAGACTACAGAGTTTAAAAGAAAAATGCTGATAATTAGCCGGAAAAATTGATAGAATGACAATGAATGAAGTCCGAACGAGTTTTTAAGAAAACAAAAAGGAGATTTTTCCGAAAAAATTTTCACTGTTAAGTGGTCTTTAAGGGTTCCAGAAGACGAAATTCATATCATTAGCGCTGTTTTGGCTGTTGAAACGTTTAAGTTGTTGTTAATCGATACTGGACTCTTGAAGTGATGCAATTCAAGTTCTCTCTTAAGTGATATCAACCATAAAAGCCCTCTCTAATGATCAATCGCATTTTTTTCGGTCTAAACCCTTGAGTGGTCCCTTCATAAAAAATTCAACATATCAATTGTCCTCTTGAGTGTTTTCAACCATAGGAAACCCGTTTCACTGAAGTGATGAGACTCATTGTCAATGGCAAACGCTCAAGTGGTCCCTTCGGATCTCGAATTACAAAAAGTGCTCTCTTGAATCTGACCATAGAAGCCCAGACTAATGATTTGGATTTTTTTTCCTCGTGCTAACCAAAATCTGTGATCAAATAGTAATAACACGTACAAAATGAAGAGGTCAACATTATTTTTTGATTGTTCAGCCGTTTGCCCCGTGCAGTTACAGTTTCAAAGATTGCTTTCGTTTAGAAATAATTGGAAAAAAAAAATTATACGTTACTGATAGGAGTTTAAACAAGGAAAAAAAGCGGATGAAAATTTTGGAAAAAGTCGTTGAAGCATGCCGTTAAAACCTCCTATATAGCGTAGAATTTCGATTTCTTGCTTGCTTTTATATATGTCATTCGAAGGAATATTTTGAACCAATGTTCAAAACTCCAAGCTTGAAGCACCTTACAAGTTTTCTTTTTACTTACTCATTCGAAAATTTCTCATTCGATCTCTTAAAGGTCTAGCCTTTGAGTAAATAAACAAAAAGCAAAAGCTGAAAATTATAATCCTTGAACTTCAAAGAAAACCACTTGAATTCTTCATTTAGACGGAGGTGGCCTAAAAATACGTGGATTTTTCGCCCCGCGGCGAACTTTGCTCGGCTTCAATTTCAAATAAACTCGCGCACGTCGCCGCAAATATATATCCGTTTTCTTCTTCTTTCTCTTTTTGCCTAATTAGCACTGGGACGTGTGTATGGAAAGTGAGAAGTAGAACATGTCTGACAAGTGGAAAGAGAGGTTGAAAAAAAAAATCAGGAAGTTCAGGGCAAATATTTTTTCTCTCAATTTTTTGAAAACATGAAACTAAGAATGATTTTCAAGGTTTGACGTTGTATTTCATCGTTCCAAATTGAGTAAATTTGACTCTTTTTTTTCGATCTCCACCATTTTTGATTTTTCTGAGGGCTAAGGAGGAGTAGAAATTCGAACAAAACTAAGATAAAAGGCAAAAATGGCAGGCTCAACTAAAAATTGATCTCTTGACCTTTTGATCTTATTTAAAGCCTCTCACCACCTGCTCCACGGCTTCGAACACTTTCCTTGTAGATGATTTTTTTTTTCAAATGGTAACGTTCTCGAGCCTGTAAAAATTGAAAATTTGACATTACTACCCTTTCCTGAATTTTGATCGGCTGTCCTGGGGTTACATGAGGTTTTTACTGGTAGATACTTTATACATGGGTAAAAATAGCAAAAAAAAACTCGAGCCCACCAAAAATGTGCTCATTCGTTTTCCTTTCAAATTCCATTTCTCAGTCGACCTTTCTACGAATTAAAAAACTTTCCTTAGACCTATAAATCACAATATAAACCGCGTCATCAACATGATGCCGGGTTCAAATTGGTTTCTCTAAACTTAAAATGATCTCTGCCTCTTCAAAATGTTCGTTAACATTCTGACGGTCATTTCTAGCTGGCCGAACCGCACTTTGACGCGGCGAGATTCTCAACTCTTTGATCCAGACCCTATTGCTCGACGACTTCTAGGACACTCAGGAATAAAAAAGTGCACATAATCCTATGCACCTTTTGGCAACATTCATGCGCGCTCGCATTTTTCCGCTTCATTTCCCATCATTTTTTTTTCCGAGAAAAAGGTGGAAAGAGCAAGAGTGGTGAGACGGTTAGACAGCCACTTTTTTTGTTTCCTTTTTGCCCTCTCGCCGCTCGGGCTGGCGGCAACATGATCGATTTGCAAGAAAAAAAAACCGCCGCTGCTGCCAGCTCCCGAGTGACGTCATCAACGTCGCACTTTGGCGTCGCGTCGCGACGACCGCGACGTCGCTGCCAACGTCATTCGGCAGCGGAAAATAAGCAAGCGAGGCGCGAAAATAGCGACGACGGGGGGTCGGCTCTATTTTTAGCCTCAATCAACGCCAAAAATAGCGCCAATGTTCTAAAAATAGAATCAATATGGTGGTTTCGGTTGAGAAATGGTCATTTTGAAGCATTTTGAAACTTTTAAAAGTGTATTAGTTGATAAAAAAAAATTACGGTATCGGTTGAAAAACATTTGACCTCATTAGGTATCAAAATGTTTCTCCAGTTCCGTTCGTTACTTCAAAAAGCTCAAAAAAGATTTTTCGAATGAAAGTTACTTTTTTAACGCTTTTTTTCACGATTTATTGCACCAACTTTGATGCCATGGGTAGCATCCTACGAAAGGTACAGACTATTCTAACATAAGACGACTATTTCTACTTCTTGATTATCTTCTGGCTTTCTCTTAACTTTGCAATAAACTACTAAACTTCCTTCAAATTAACGGTTATGAAATTTCTTCAAAATAATTTTTCTCAACTAAAAAACTAAATGTTAACTTTTCCTTCAAATTTTTCTCAATTCCCCGCTTTTCAACTAGAATAGTTCACAGGTGACGTTCACAAAACGAAAGTTTGGGTTGATGAAGAAGGCCTACGAACTTTCGGTTCTCTGCGACTGCGAGATCGCCCTCATCGTTTTCAACTCCACCAATAAGCTTTTTCAGTGAGTTCAGAACCTTTCGAAAATGAAAAAACTTTCATTTCAAAGAATTTCACAAATAGAAGAATACCATTCGTGAGATCGTGAGATTGGTATTCTTTAAACGTTTCTTGCGAATAGAAAAAATCAATCTAACTTCTCAAAAAGGATAGGCTTCTCGGAAAGCATAGGAAACTTTCAGAGAAGCTCTAAGAAGTCGCAAAAGCTATTCAGGGTGCTTTCAAAATATTTTCCATCGAAAAATTTTTAGAGATCATTGAATTTATCATGAACCATTTCTGGAAAATAATGCTTTTGAGATCGAAAATTTTAAAATTCTTACTCAGAAGTTCAGCTATGTTCAAATTTGACAGTCCTAAAGGCAATAATCAGGTACTGTAAGGCAAGCAAGTTTCCTCTATAGTTCCATGAAAACGAAACTTCCAGGTATGCCTCAACGGACATGGACAAGGTACTGCTCAAGTACACCGAGTACAACGAGCCTCACGAAAGCCGCACCAACACGGACATCATGGAGGCCCTCCAGAGGAAGGAGAGCAAGCACGGCGCGGCCGACTCGGACGACGAGAGCCCCGGGCCGTCGAGCCCCACCGTCATGACCAACGGCGGCGGTTCTCACGACCAGTCCAGCCAATCCCAACAACAACAACAACAACAACAGACAGCTCAGCCCCAGCCTCAGAACATCCATCCGCTCTACTCGAACCTTTTCCTCCAGCCGCCCTATCACCAGCTCCCACCGTCTAATAACCGATCCGAACTCAAGCCCTCGACTCAGGTTAGCAAATTATGTTTCATTTCTCAAATAACTCAACATCAAGTTTTCAAGGGCACGAAAAAAAAGTCAGAATAAATTTACAATAACTATCCGGCTGAAGAGGATAGCAAGACACACTCGAAAAAATAGGATCCCGATATCGTAGACGACTAGAAATGGGACCATGACTTGTCATTATTATCTCCCTCAAAAGATAGAAGTCCAAGCTTGTTTAAATCGGTCAGATCATATAAAATTCAAAATTGTTCGGAATACCAAAAAATCTTATTTCAAAAAAGTCCAGCAAAGAAAAGCCGGCAGTAATATTTCCAGTTCATATTTTCTTTTCTGTAGTTAGACTAAAAAAAAGCTCACAATGTTACAACACTTTTTAATTACCTACTTGATGGTTTCCAAAGATATTTGATTTAAAAAAAATAAATTGAATTTGATTTGAAAAAAAATAAATTGGTATTTAACGGAGAAAATTTTTTTTTCTTGATTTTCAAAATTTTAAATTCCCTAATTTCCAAGTCAGTTTTATATCTTGTAACGTGCTCAAAAATCCTTGTTGCAATGTTAGAAGGCGCACAAACGAATGAAAAACGGTCCCACGGCGAAAACTATTCCTTTGATCATCAACGACTTCTGCGCATTCAAACACTTCAGCAAGGACTTCTTTGAAAATCCAAATTATCCGTTCCAATCATCAAACAATAAGAAATTTTACTCACTTGATAGAATTCTTTCTTGGAGAATCCGTTTGCCTTCTTTTATTTGAATCTCGCTTTCAATTCACAATTTATAAACGGATACAGTCAACCAGTTCCTGAAATGGTCAATAATGAATGTCGAAAACTAAAGAGAAAAAAAATCGATACCTTGATATATACTTGTAATGATGCGTGATGCAAGTTAAAAATGCCACACACGTTCGTTTTGTCTCTGAAAAAAACATAGAAGTCTATAAAAAATACGAAAATAATAAAATTTGACGACAAAAAAAAAATTAAAAGAAAAGATTTCAAACTCGGAAACTAACTCATTTATAACACGCACACGATAAAAAAAACTATTGTTAAAAAAACCTGCTCTTTTTTTCTACATGTGAATGTTTTCACTATAAATTCTGACAAAACGAAAAGAAAAAAAATATATAAAACCGAAAAATTATAAACTACAAAATTAAGTCTAAAACAGGAATTTCGTGAGAATATCCTACAATCAGGAGACGTTAGTAAGCTTTTTGAACTAACTTCGAACAAAAAAAAACTTAATTTGAGAAAAAACAAGGAAAAACAAAAAAAAATTAGCAAAATTTAGGAAAGATGAAAAAAAAAATCAAAAATGCGCGTAAACGTAGTGTTTTTCGTGTATACACATGCTCGGTGAACTTTTTTTCACCTACAGTAGATATTGAAATTTTTGTTTTTTTTTTCAGTGAAGTTTGAAATCAGCCTTTCTGATAATATCTCGGGCAAAGTCGGAATGGTGTACAGTGGCCGCTAAAAAAGAGTTGTTTGAAAAAAGCCGCAGAAAGGCAGCAAAAAAGGAGCCTTTGTCACCCTAAAAGAACATGGAGCGTTTTTTCCACTCTATGGAGCCTTTTTCCCACTCTTTCCGATTTTGCCTATGATACTATAGTCTGTGTGCCACGACTTGAAATTCAACGGAACGACATTCCGCTGATCCGCTGCGTGCGTTCGCGAAGCGTTTTTCGAATCTAGGTCACGCTTTCAATTAATTGTAATAGCTGTGGGAGCACATGAAAGTAAAGTACCTTAATAAAATAAAATTTAAATTAAAAGCGCGACCAAGGTTCGCAAAGGCGCGCGGCTTCACAGCGGAATGTCGTTTGATGAATTTCCAAGTCCTGGTACACAGCCCATATCTTCAAAATTGTTCCAACAATCTTCCAAAAGGTTTTTTGAAGCAACTTTTTTAGATTTTCGACTGAACTAAAGCAGTTTTAATTAACGAAAAAACCAATGGATGTCAAAGAAGAACTCAAAAGTTGAGACAAAAACGCTTGATTTCAGTCCCAACAGCCGCCACCGTCCCAACAGCAACAGTCTCAGCCCTCCTCGATCGCCTCCGCCAAGCATATTGACTTCCCGACGACAAGTTTCGGCTCCTACGATCCCTCGCAACTGCATCCGCTGGCCGCATCGGACGCCGACTGCGAATTGGTCGGTCCGCCACGAACTTCCGCCGATCCGACGTCGCTCTGGGCGGCGGCAGCTCTTCAACAACGACAGCAACAACAACAACAGCAGCAGGGATTGAATGGAAACGGGATGGGAGGCCTTGTTGGAGGTCCGCCGCCGTACGTCAAGCTGGAGCCGCACTCGCCGCCGGAGAAACGTCCTCGACTAACTGCCGACTGGAGGCCTCAGCAGCTGACGTGATGGTGAGGTTCAGTAGGAGGTTCAGGAACTGGGATATGGTGGTTTTGGGAGTTCAGGATGAAGATTGAACCAAGATCAGAACTCATGGTGCGCCTTCTAAAGTTTTTGTTTTTCGATTTTTATTATTTTTTGATTATTATTATAACGTTGAGCTCTTAATCAAAACTTCAGAGCCTAAATAAAGTTTGAATAATTCTGAAGCTTTGGCGAAGATAAAAAAAAGAAAGGTTTGACTGTCTGATCTGTTTATGAAGCTCTATATGATTAGAGTCTATGTCTGAAAGTTCGTCTGAAAATCCAAATTAAACCACCCTATGCCTTCCTCAGCAAGTTCCTACAGTACCTAGCATCATAACTCTCCAAGAACATTCCAAATTTTCATTTTTTTTTTTTCTCGAAAACCCTGTAAAAACTTCTCCGGTGTTCTCCAGTCTTCCGGTTTACTAATTATATATCAGTGAAAATCTTCTTCAGAATTATGCAATGATGAAAGTTTTTTTTTCGTAAATCCTATTGGATTACTGTAGCGCGCTATATGAAATATATAAATATTATAAATACGAAATTTATGTGTTGTTAGTTGAAAATCCTCTAGAAACATCCGTTCCCGGTTCAGAAATCTAATCGATTCGATCTGTTTCATTTCTTTTTTTTGGCGCCAAATTTAGGCTCCTTCTACAGTATATGAATGTATTCTATCTCATGATCACTTTCAAATGAATCTTATCAATTAATTAATTAATCACTCCTCATCTGATTGGCCGGCCACGCTCCATGATGCCATTATTTTTTTCGAAATATCCTACTTTCTTTCCGATTCTAATAATCAATACACGTATTATTGTTGATTTTTTTTTTTCTCTATCAATAAATTTTTGAATATTTTTTTGGGAAACGAGTTTATTAGAAATCGGACAGACTTTACAATAAATTGAACTTTTTTTGACTCTTCTTAAATTTGGATATGATTTTCGGGGACTTACTTTTCAGGATATTATTGTTTGGGCAGAGGAGGTAGGAAAAAGTATGAAGAGTGGAGAGAAGTACAGAAACTCTGCACATCTGGACGCTTTCCGTTACCCACACGTAGAAGCACAAAAATTATGCTTCCAGAAAAGGGCTCAAAAAGAAGAAAAAAAAAACAGCTGCACCAAAATCATGATAATCAGCAATAAAACTTCAAGTTGGAACAAGGCAAAAGGAAAGATGCATTCGTAAATAATTTTTTTTGGATAAAAGTTGGGAATTTCAAAACCAGTAATTTTTCACACAATAGAATAGTAAGATTAAAAACAAAAGAAAAACGCAAAAGAGAAGTAGATTCAATTCTAGAATCTGAACTAGTATGATTTTGAAAAAATAATGTTGAAAAACAAATGTAGTAATAGGGAAAGTGAAGATCAAAAATTGAGGGAGAGGTGAGAGAGTGTGTCGATACACGATGGAGCAGAGAGTTCAAGTCCTTCATACAGAGAAGTTGAGGGACAGCTCTAAAATAAGAGTGCCCAGACAAAAAAACATCACAAAAATTGGCCAGGTGGAGAGAGAGAGTGTTCAAACGCAAGAGAGCGCAGAGCTAAAACTAGTAACACAGAAAGAAGATCACAAAAACGAGCCGAAACCAGAATCTTATACATGAAAGGAAAAAACGGTTATCCTCAACATTTCGGACTCAAGAAAATATGATTTTTTTTTTCTCTCAAATAAAACCTCTTCATGAAAGATAATGATCATCACAACGAAAAATATAAAATTCGAAAAATTTATAGCGAGTTTTAGGCATTTTACTATTTGAGGGAACATAGGAAAAACCGTTTTACACTTTCACGCGAACGGCGATAAACAACGCAAAAGCGAGAGAGACCCGAGAAATCACATATCACCGCGAGATGACGTCACCGGATCAGGAGGCGGCGCTTCGCCGTTGGTCGTCGACATCGCATTGAGTATCGTCGCAAATCGCAAGTCCTGCGAGTCAGGAATCGCATTTTCTGTCGTGCTTGAATTCGCCGACAGCGGAGGCCCCAGCGAATCGAATTCCAAGTCGATGTCCATGTCGATCTCCTCGACCCGCATTCCACCACCACCACCACCGCCGTCTGCAAAAGAAATTTAGATTCGGTTTTATGACGTCAAGTTTTGAAACCAAATTGACGTCACAAAATGTCTTGTCACTTCTTGAGAGATCAAGGAGCCAATAAAAAAGGCGTGGCTAGCCAATAAGAGTTAACCATCTTTTAAGGTGCTTACAAAAAAAATCTCATATACAAGTGACGTCATAAGCCCTGATGACTTCATTATTTTTAAGCAGATTTCACCGTTCGACTCCAATTTTCCGGTAAGTAAAGACGTTCTACTTTTTTTGATGACATCATCTAAGCCTCCCATTGCTTCTGCCTTTCATATTTTCTCTAGTCTTGCTTCTTGAAAATGAAACTGCAGTCAGTGTGAGAGATGAGCAGGGCCGTAAAGAGATTCATTCATTTCATTTCAAGTGTTCATTTCAAGATCAGAAATTCTTTTTTTTTTTCTGCGTCTTCTTATCGGCTGTTCCCCTATGCTTCTTCTTTCATAAAATTGAAAATACATAACATTTTTCTGCCTAATCTCGCATGAAAGTTACAAAGTTTATTTATTTAATCAATAAAAGGTACACAGAAAACAGTGAAAATCATTCTTACGAAGAAGAAAACAACACTACGAAAAAAAATGAGACAAGAAGTTAGAAAAGTCGGTTCGACCCTAACAACTTATTATTTTTATAAAAGCACATGAAAAGTTTTTTTGAGTACCGAAGTACTGACGGGTTGAAGACGAAATGAAAGCTTTTTTTTTGAAGAAAAAAGAAGAAAATTAATGGCAACAAACAAGTGGAACAAGTAATCAATAAAAACCATTGAAAACGGTCAAAGGATGTTATTGACAGGGGAGAATAGGTTTTCAAAGTAGTCAAGACACGCACGGGAATGAAGAGAAGGTGAAGCCGTGAGAAATGGAAAAAACGGCCGCCGCGATTCTCCGTGGAGCGAAATTTGAGCACCTAATGAGGGAATAATCAAGGGAGCGCTTTGAATTTAAAAAATTACCATCCAATCTGATCTAAAATGACTTGTGTTGTCCATGTAACAATTCTAAAACAGCATTTTCCATAAAGCGCAACTCAAAAAAAAAACGAAGCTTAACTTTCCGCGTTTCTTCTGCAGAAAGTTTTGAAAGTTATCTGCAGAGCAGCCTCCAAATAGCAGCCATTTTTTCACACTTCCCTCGTCTTTTTGCGAAACCCGAGACAACCACGAAAACATGATAGAAATGCGAGATGTGCAGTGTGAATCATGCAAGAAAACATCGTTCATAAACGAAATAAAATCAGTGGAAGAAAACGAATATTGAAAATCGTCCCCAAACTGCCAGATTGTGGTGAGTGAGTGTATAAATGTTTGATTATTGTGCGATTGATTTGGTACAAAATCCTCATGATCGCTTCTCTTAAAACGTTCGTTGTTTGATACAATTCTCACCTCGAACTTTTTAATTTTCACTTGGAATTAATCACTTTTTCGCTGTTTTTTTTTTCAAATTTTCTTAAGGGCCGATTCTGAGTGATTCTGGATTGATAAGAATGCAAAATACTAGCAAAACTCAGTTTGTTCTTGAAGAAGAAAAACCTTTTTTCGTGAAACCACAATTAAAGAGTAAGGTACACATTCTGATTACTCTCTTTTCAAATATTCAAACACTTCCATTTTTCACACGCTAAAGATAAGAATGGCTTATTAGCATAAAAAAGATATTCAGGATTCAGATGAATTTCCCTCTCTCTGTCTGCGTGTCTCGTTTCCCTATTCTCTTTTGTACTTGTTCTGGACCATTTCATTTAGTTAAGAATATTTTATATATCGGCCTTTTTCTAAAGATTGTTCCTATCAATACAGATTTTTTTTTTCTAAAAAATTTATAATTCTCGAAAGAAGGTTTTTGCAGTTAAATTTTGAAAAATTACACCATTATCGATCCAAAATGCATCTCAAAATCAGGCCCCCGGCGGAACTTTTCAGTGAGACGAAAAGTCACCAACTTTGCTGCATGCCGTTCTGTCGCTGGTTGCGGAAGAACTGTTCGGCGGCGGCCTCTGCGGTACCGTTGGCGGGCATCGGCGGGCGGTTCTGGGAGTTGGGGGGCGGCGGCATTGTCATCTGCTGCATGAGTTGCTGGGATGAGACGACGCCGTACGCGTAGGGCATGTTGGCCATCGCCGCGGTCGCCTGACCGCCGACGAATTGGCCCTGCTGCGTCGGGTACCAGCCGAAGAAGGCTTCCGTTGGGTCGCGCTGAAAACATTTTTGGGGTGATTTCATTTGTCTAACCTCCAAATATCAGTTTACTAGTTAGTCAACGTTTAAACGAGTACTTCTTATTTCTTTCTCAAAAACTCAATAGGTTTGAACTTATATCATGTCCTTTCTACAATTGTTCATCGAAGAGAACTGTTTAGAGTTCACACTGTTTCATGTCCTACCATCAGCAATGATAACCAATTGAAAACGCAACAGAGGTCCGCACAGGGCAAAAAAGCGCAGTGAGAGAGAGCGAAGAAGAACATGCGGCAGCAAAATGTTAAAGTACGTCTTGAGGTGCCAGTTCACAGCGCCAGTCCACAGTTCACGCATGAATCCGACTATCAACACCACCACCCACCATTTCGCCCGGATAAGCCTGGTTCATCATCTGCTGTGGGTAGGCGGCACGTTGCATCTGCTGAATCTGCGCCTGTTGGATATGTCGCTGAGGGTCCGACGCATGAAGGCCGTCGAGAGCTTCGCGAATGTTGCTCGTCGATGAGGAGTTCGACATGGTTCCCTGCAACTCAAAACTCAATCAATAAATTTATGTTTCAGTCATATGTTCCAAAAGCGTTCCTAGTAATATTTGTAATAAAACGACTTTGGAATTGAAAAGCTTCTTCGAGATGAGAAATTCACTCTCTTCTTCAAATTTGTGAGTGAAAATTGAGGATGATCGACATGAACAAAAAAATGCTAAAAAACACGGCCAGCTTTGATCTCATCAACTATCATTATACGAAATTTTTAGGAATCTTCTATACCTCTTATTTTCGCACACTCGCTGGTTAATTTTGGTCGTATGCTTTTTAAAGAAAATAATTTTTTTGAGGAGCGATGAGTGAAATAATTTCCCGTTTTTTTTTTCAAAAATATGTTGATCTACACTATATTTCTTGCTTCACCATGCTAATTTTGAAGGTTTTCTCATCTAGTAGGCCTTGAAAGCATATTTTTTTCTTCACTAAAAACCATGTTCGGAAGACTGACAGCAGGAGCCGATCCAGCGGACCTCGGCCCATCGGTTGACCCGACCCGTCCATTTGCTTCATTCGAATAAGTCGCAGCGCGCGCCTCGATCCGCGACGCAGGTGGTGGTCGCGGCGGCGAATCGTCAAGCGTGATGACGTCGAACTCTTGAACGCGAGGCTTGTTGTTCGTCACGGCGGGCCGTTTCTTTTTGGCGCGGTCGGCCGCTGAAGACGTCGAGGAGCCTTCGCGCTGGTCGCTCGCCGACCTCTTCACAGCCTCTGCCGTTTCGTTACCGACAGATTGTCTCACTGCCTCACGAACATCATCGTCGTCCGAATCGGAAAGAACTGAAAGAAAAGATTTATATTCTGCATCTTCAGATGAGAACTACCGATGATGTCTTGAACCGCCGAAGACGTCGAAGGACCGCCAGAATTGGACACATTCGGATTACGGGAAGTCGGCCTCGAGTTGCCGTCATCATTGTCGTCGTCGTCGTCGGAGGCGGATTCGACCTTGCAAACTTCGTAGCTGCCGTCCTTCTTCAGCTCCACTTCCGATGTCGAGCTGTGCACCGCCTTCAGCACGTCCGAAAAGTATCTTAAAAAAATATCTTTCTGAATTTCGCTCCGGATTATCTTCACATGTTGAAGTTAAATAGCTTAAAAATTTGAGTTTTCAATTTAATACACAAAATTAGAATTTCCTTCAGTCCTTAATTTAAAAATTTAGAGAAAAACTGTGAAAAACCAAGAACTATTCTCATAACACCAGAAGAGAAGAGGCAAGCTGCTTGCCATCAGTTAATGTGAGAAAATATAACAAAAAATAGGAAAATAAGTATTTTCAGGTATTATTGACGCGACTTGGTATTTTACTACTTCTGTAAATATCTCATAATTCAAGGAAAAACTGTGAAAAAAGATAAAATAAAATTTAAGATAGATTTTATTCAAAATCGCTAAAAAAAAAATTCATTTTTTTTTTAAATTTTTCACATTGGACTTCTTAACGTACTCCTTCATCTTTCATTGAGACTACAAAACCAGCCAAACTCCAAAAATCGCCGCCTTTGGGGCTCATTTTCCCAGCCGATAAGGACGGTTCAAAGACTGATGACGTCACGAGTTCACTTCTGATCGAAACCAAAGAGCGTACGGTAGATCAAAATGATGAGACAGGAAAAGCTTATCAGCGACCGATAGACATGTGAAGGTTATTTTCGGTTCGTTTGATCTACAAATAGCCGTTAAATGGCCATAGTCCGTCAGGAACATCGAAACAAGCAGCGAAAGGGACCGATAATATAAAAAATTTACTGGAAACAATTTTTTGAAACTTGGTGTCCCAGACTTTAGAAAACAAAAATTTTTTTAATTTTTACTAAAAAAAAATAACAATTAAAAAATAATTGCACAATTCACTGAGAACTGGAAGAAAAAAAACCCCAGTAAGCATAAATTTCATCTTAAAACTTTTTTTCTATAAAAAAATTGTTGAACTTTTTTTATTCGTTCTTGTGAGTATTCAATCGCATAAAACTCCGCAAAAAAAAAACGATCAGAAAGTCATCAGCAAGCTTTTTACCACCTAGCTTTCTACTTTTACTTCTATTTATTCGTTTTCTTTTTCAAATCCACCGCAAGCTAAGAGAAAAGTCTGTTTTCCAATCTTGAAAACTGCTGAATGTTAAAGTCCGCAATCTGAGTTTCCCACTTCGTGTGCTCGCATTCTCTGGCCAGGCGTTTTTTTCTTCAATCTGATTAAAAAAACTACCTTTTAATAAATTATAACTTAAGGAAACAGTGGAAACACACCAGCTCATAAAAATAAATTGAACAGCGGAAAAAGTTCTCGAAAAAAAAACGCGGATAGGGACATTTCGGAAACGTCTCATGAAAAAAAATGCATCAAACTCTCCACGTTCGGCATACTGACTAAAAACCTGGAAAAAGAAAAAAGACAAAAAAAAACAAGGTCCTTAGACAGTTCGTAGAACGTGGAGAGGTTTTTTAAGGTTTTTTTTTCCGAGAACTGTTTGGTAATCCAAAGCTTGTGTTATACTCTGTTCAGATTTTAAATTTCAAGCGGGTCTCTCCGCTCCCGTGGCTACAGTATCTTTCGTTTCGATACTTTATTGCCCAGCGGTCCTTTAATAGAGCTCAACTATTCGATTTTTCAGCCGTTAAATCAAAAACTTCAAGTACCACCTCTACGCGGTGATGGGGAGGCAACGCCATTTATGGCGGCTAACGGTCCATCGGTCACGCAGTTCGGCTAACAGAAAAGGCGGTCTTTTTGGCCCTGGCAAGGCAAAAAGGATAATCAGACCACAATTATGCCATGACACGTTTAACATCATGGATGGAACTTTTTCGCAAGAATACCAGTCAACCAGGACAACACTGGATGACCGATTGCAAAAAGCCGGACCTCCTGGAAAACGTGTAGTCCACGCTTCGATCAATAAAAGGTCGAAAGTGAATATGGAACGCTCATTTTTTTTTTCCAACCTAGCCTAAACCCAAATGGCGCAGAAAAAGTCTGCGCCTAACCATCTAAGTATCTAAGTGAGTAAGTAAAAAAAATAATAATAATAAACCCATGGGACGATGATCATTTAATAGCACTTATTTTTCTTTTTTGTTCCAACAGCTCGAAAAAACGTCGAAGAATGCAGCGCTGTTAAAGGATCATCGTCACTATAAAACATCGATGCGAAAGCTACAGTAGCCTCGAGAAAGTATTCAGCCGCTTTAAATTCGAAATTTGGACAGATTACAGGAACTCCCACTGACTCGTCAATGATCAGCCGATCGTAGGCCGCCGTTTGGGAGCAAACGGCGCATTTCCAGGTTGGCCGTTTCTCGTTCATCTGCAGGTACATGTTGAGGTCGAAGCACTGAAGATGGGTACAGTCGCGACAACGGGCCGGCAGCTCCATCCGCGTTTTCGAGAGCTGCAAAACGTCCCGTTTTCAGAAGTTGCTTTTCTTTTCCAACCGGACAAAGGAGACTGATCTTCAAATGGTCCATAATTGGCCCATCGTCGTCGTCATCAGAGCCGCCCAACCGTTTTGAAATCTCTTTTTTGGTCGCATCAGAAGACTTAAAATGATAAATACTATCTATTTACAAATGCAGAAAAAAATAACCTGCTTATGTTTAACATCCTTTATCGCACGATCCCTCAGAATATCCGAGTTTACGCGAAACACCTAAAAAAAACCTTTTATATAAGGACAGTTGCGTGTAATTTTTGTTTCCTGTAATTTATTTTCGCCAAAGTGTCAAGTTTTGTCTAAAAAAAAAGTAGCAAAAATTCCGTGAGTTTTCAAATACTGGTAAAATATTGTGATATAGTTTACTGTTTTTTTTTTTATTTCACTGTTTTTTTTTCTATACATTAACACCACAATACCAAGCTTTGACTAAAAAAATGTTTCAAGGACTGTTAATGCCTGGAAACTCAAAACAACCTTCGGAAAAAGAAAACTAAATTCTGGAAAGTCAGGGTATAACTTCAAAAGCACTGGAAACAACATAAAATATTGAAAAGCTTGCGAGCCTATCCGTATTGCGTTCTTCTTTCCAACGGTTTCATCACGAAAACCACCATGGCAGTTCTAAAACGAACATAATAAATGCCGAAAGCCCAGGCGCGACGGTCTCCCATCCATTCAATTGTCAAACGATAGGTTTTGGCGGGATCGGGTCGCATGCAGTACGTCGAGAGGTTGACGGGCCGGGACGGCCTTTTCGGCTCCGCATTTGGCTTATTCGTCGGTATGACGTTCTGAAAAAATTCTTTGAGATTGAAACGAACACCTTAGAGCTCAGAAGTCATGAAACGACTCAAAAAAGGTTCAAAGGAATATTCTTTTCTACTAGCTCCCAACTTATTTCCTCTATCTTACATCAAAAATACTACGATTCTTCTTTTTTTCTCGATTTCACTCAAATTTCTTATTATGGCATAACATATGAGTATATTTTGAAACATATAACTTCGGGAAAAAAAAGTGTTCGGTTTGTTTCGAACTTCTAGAAAATATCAAAAAACAACACATACTCGATATACGGCTTGTGTTTTCAGAAAATCATCGGAAAAGATTCGAACAGAAGTAGCAAAATGAACTTTTCAAAGCCATGAAACTTGACGAAATTATTGCTCAGTTCCAAAATTAATCAGCAAACCTTTTTTTTCTCCTCATAACTCAAAAAAAATCTTTTTTTTGCTCCGAAACCAACCGGCAAAGTGACTATATTTTCATCAACGCGAACAGATGCATTGAGCGGAAAATCATCCATTTGCGGTCCTTTTTGTGTAGTCGACGGAGAGATTGAAGAATCTGCAGACGATTTCATTCAAATTATTTATAAATTTATTAAAATTAAACTCTGTTCAAAAATAATTGGAAATACATTAATGTCTTTTTTTAATTTATCAAAAGCACATAATAGTTCTTTTCCGTCATTATTTTTGTGAAAATATAGAAAAACTGGTTACTTTTGCTGCAATTACTAACTCATAAAGTCATTATTCAGATTAAAATCCGACCTCAACTGAAGCTCATGACGTGGGATGGGCTTATCTCTCTGCGCCAACTGTTGGCACATTGCAGCCGTGAGAGAAAACGTCACGGTTTGCTGCAATTAGAAAGAATAAAGAAAATCGTTTTCGAGGACGAATTTCCAACAAAAACTGTGCACTTGTCCTAGTTTTTTGGCGATTTTCCATTCGTAATACCCAAACCAATGCATTATACGACAATTTACTGACTCTTTGCGTGCTTTTTATGCCACTTTGAACGGCCGGAAGCTCCAACAGAGGCTGGATCGTATCGACGGGATCGTAGAACGGCAGGGGTATCGGCTTCAGGTTTTGTACTGGATTCAGTCGGCCACTCTTTAAAAAAAAAGACATTTTTCAAAACATTCTACTGATTATTAGAAAATTGGGAATATAACAGAAAAACTTTTCGAATTTATACAAAACTTCTCGAACATAAATCACAATGGAGACAAATTTTTCCCCTTCATAGATCTAAAATTATCAGCTTTTTATAGAGAAAAAGTCTGTACTTTCAACCTGAAAAATAATTACGAGAAGAAAAATGGAAGAAAGTTACTGAATTCAATTTTTTCTACTTTTATTATTGATTCGATTCAATTTTTGTTCTCAAATTTTGAAGTAAAAAAATTTCGAACCGCCAGAGCCTGTCCAGAATGCATTGTGGCGCCGCCGCCGTAAACCGCCCCATTGGTTGGGGCGCCATATGCAGGTGGATAACGCATCTGATGATTCACGGCCCTAAAATAACACAAATAACATTGAAACCAACTGAACTAGTATGTATTAATCGAAAATAAAGAATGAAAAAAAAAATAAAAATGAATGACCCCATGTATCCACGTTGATTATTGTTTGGAATGTTGTAGGGCGCAGAACGATTCGACGGCAAACCACCGCGTCGAGTCATTTCGATCTTCAAACAAAAAATTATTAAAAATTACGTTAAAATATTTATATTTCATTAAAGTCCCAAATACAAACAATGTATGCAAAACTTTTCCCTAAACTGATGCTGTCCGAGAGTGGGAAAAATAACAAAAATTTGGAGAGTCAGAGATAATTTTGAATTTCGCGGAAGTTACTTTACACACGAAATGAAGATTATCATTTTAAAAAACTCACATTTTGAAAATTTCTGAACATTCAAAAGTAAAATGAACCGCCAAATAGTAGGAATATTTTTGAAAAAAAAAAACGCGTGAGCACACGTTGCAAGAAAAAGTTGCGCACAAAATGATTTGCGCGTAGAGTGTCCACTGTAGGGCACTTATTACCTTATTTTGAAGTTTTAAACTCGGTAATTACTTCCAACGCGTAAAAACCTTTTTTTTAACACAATACTCATTTTTATTGCATTGAACTTCGATTAAAGAGCAATTCGAACAGGACATAGTCTGTTCAGATTTCAAATGCCAACACAGCATTCCTAATGGAGGTGAGGGAAGGTGAGCGAGGCGTCAAAGTTTCTGAATTTACAGAAAAAATTTAGTGTGCGCTACGGATAAAATTACGTCACAATTACACTGAATATTCAACGTTAATAACTTGTTTGTTCGATCGCCTTCGGCTGAAGTACTGTAGATTTCAAATTTCGCGCTAAAATTTTTTTGACGTCTTGCCACCCCGTTTGGGAACGCCGAGGCCAAGTCCTCGCTGAAGATCCGCCCCCCTAATGGCGCGATAAACCAATCAGAGAACAAGCCATCCACAGAGCGTTTTCGCATGACGTCATTCTACTTGACATTCAAAATCTGAACAGACTATACAAATCTTACCGAGCAATACTGAAAAATGAAGACCGAGATAATATCTTACTCTAAGAACGTGATGACGCTATGGAGAAAAAAACGGAAAAAAATGGTGAACAAAACTCGACTATAGATACACGAATCGCTTGATGACTAATTTATACGGTTTTAAATATTACACACTTTTCTTTTTCAATCTTTCTTTTCTCTTAAGAAAGCAAACTCCTAGCAAAACTTTAATCCGCTCCATTTCCACGAACCCGTTCGGCAACGAAACTCTGGTTTTGAGTTCTCAATAATGACGTCACCCGATGGATGAGCTCCGCTTTTTTGCCGACCTTTGGGCAGTTACAAGCTTCAAGTATTTTCTAAAAAAAACTTTTCTCGTGATTAAAATAAATACTTGTTCCCACCTGAAGGTCGATGACCTTGAAGGACTGTACGTAGTTCTGAAAATTTATATAATTCCATTTATTTTTGCCAGGAGAAGTTTGACCTCAAGTGTGGTAATTTGAGCGTTTGTCAGGCCAGTCTGCGACATCTATCGTTTGGTCCGGAAACCCCGGGGTCAATTTAGGCGAAAAAACGGATGAGAAAACAAAATAGCTCTGAAAAAATTGAATCAACTGAATAATCTGATCACCGAATCCTATGAATAGTTGGAGATCAGAAAAAACTCCCAACTTTTCATATCCTGGATCCATGGATATATTTAAAGCTTGTGCGGAAAGACTTCTGAGCCAGCGCATAGAAGTTTTCGATTTTTGTTTTTATAGAATCAGAAAATTTATTTCTCTCAAATTAATCCATTTTTCTCGAAGAAAAACACTCTGAATATCAAATATTTGATTCTTTGTTGTTTTACTGGTCCATTAACTATTTTTCAAAGCTTTCAAATAAGTTCGAGCGATTCGGTGAACAGAATAGCCGATATACGGCTAGCCTGGGACGCTAAGAGGGACTGTCCGCGCTCTCCACGAGCCAGGTATTCTCTCGTGCATTATCGTGTCAGGACCATTTTTTCGATGTCTCAAGCCAACCGTGAGTCATTCTGACCTGGAGCGCCTGAAGGCGCGCCCGAACACTTCTCTGCCGCAGGCTGTTTCGTCGCTTTCTCGCAGTCAGAGAGTGAAGAAATAGCATCCGGCAGAGAAAAACTCGGGCGCGCCTTTAGCCGCTCCAGTTCAGTGCAGCTGTAAGAGCTTCCTGCTAGAGTGTTTGAAGGAGCATGAAATAGTTTCGTTTGGATTTCTAGGCGAAAAACCGCTTTTCGTGTTATGTGACAGATTTCTGCCCCTTTAAACATCCAGACGAAGATTTTTGAGAGGTATTTCCGAATTCGAAGCTTCTTTGAGAACTTTGACGATTGAGAGCTTTTAAAACCAATCGTAAAAGATATATCAAAAAGGCCCGAGGAAGACGAATTAAAGCCCTTAACTCTTTTCTTTGAACCGGTGCGAAAAAAACCGGTTTATTAATCGAAAGCGCAGAGATACTCACGGGAAGCCGCCGGAAAAGTCGATATTTTGAAAATGACCAGAGAGAAATCCGGCACGTGATGGCTTAGGATTAATTAACGTAAAGTGGAAACCAACAAGTTGCTTTGCGAGAGTTCAGGAATCAGTCACTTTATATTATTCCAGAATTTGGTACAAAGCTGAGGTTTCTCTCGTGGGAGATGTATTAAAAATCTTTATATCCGTTCATGCTCCTTTAAGCACCTCAGCGAGAATTGAGTGAACAGATTTAACAAAAGGCAGAAAAAGAGTTTAAAAAATGTTTCTGCTGTGAGGTAAAATCCGGTATAAAAACGATTTTTTTTTCTCTGATCCGCTCCTTAAGTTATCTCAAGTTTTCGTAGAAGCTAATTTTTTTGAAAAACGAAATGAATAAAAAAATTATCTTATAATATTTAGATTCTTTCAAGTTCTGATTAATCGAATCGAAATAACTTTTTGAATTTGAAATATAGCCTGTGTACCAGGACTTGGAATTTCACCAAACGACATTCCGCTGTGCCGCCGCGCGCCTTTGCGTACCTTGGTCGCGCTTTTAATTTTTTTTTTTCTTCTTTTTATTAAGGTACTCTTCTTTCATGTGCTCCCACAGCAATAACAATCAATTGAAAGCGTGACCTAGATTCGAAAAACGCTTCGCGAACGCACGCAGCGGAACAGCGGAATGTCGTTCGGTGAAATTTCAACTTTTGGCACACAGACTATATTAACTTTTTTCAAAAGTCAACTAAAAGAGCTATTTCCAGATGAATTTTTTGAAATGATCAGCTCTGATCTTGAAAAAAGTAAGCTTTCCGAGAAAAAAAAAATACTAGGGAGGATGAGAATTGAGCCCTACTTCCCAAGAAATGAGACTCTATTCAACAAACAATTTAAAAAAAGACACGAAAAATCACAATTTGAAATTTAATCAGTAAAATAATAGAAACGCCCTCAAACCTCACCTCAGTGAGCTCAGACGCGGTTGTTCAAACCATTCGACAGAAAAAGAAACAAAAAAAAACAAGACCAAAAAACGATTTTTGGCCACTTCCAGCTGTAGAAAACTTCATTTCACTTTTTTTATATCCTTTGTAAGAAAAAACACACACGGTTCGAGTTCAAATAAACTTTGTGATGAAAGAGAAAAACGATGAGAAAAACTGCAACTACCAACTAAATGATCTGACATAAATTATATGTCTAAAAGAAGACGAAAAGAACGGAGCAAGGAAAGTTGATCAACAGAAAGGCAATTTTCAGAAAAAAAAAGCCCATTTTTCGAACTTTCCCTCCGCCCTCCTTGACATACTCGTACATTTATACAAAAATGATTGAATCGTTCTATCGTCGGTACCAAAGTTGAGCTTCTCGCTTGCGCTTGATCTTCTTCTGCAGCTGCAGTACGCCATAGAGGAGGGCCTTAAAAATAGGGTTATAAAAATAAAAATGTTTTTGTCAAAGGACTCGAGATGTTCCCCTTTATTGCGAAGTTCAAATTTTATACGTCAAATAAACTTCATAACAGAAAAAAAAACCTATTGACAGGAAATTGAAACTCCGAAAACGCTCATTTTCAGAGAACCTATAAAATAATATATGCCCTTGTTTCAATATTCATAGGTATGAAATAAAGGCCAGCGAAACTTCGAACGGCGAATTTTCCGATTTTTCCATGTTAGAACTTTCCGACTAATCCTCTCCCGACTTTTGTTTTTGTTAAACTCTTCGTTTTAAATCTCCTATACAAAATAGGTAGTTTATTCATATTTAAATTACAAAGAAAAATGAAAATGATGTTAATAGATATCTTATAAACCGAAAATACAAGAAAAAACGATTTTTTTCAAATTTTATACGTCAAATAAACTTCATAACAGAAAAAAAAACCTATTGACAGGAAATTGAAACTCCGAAAACGCTCATTTTCAGAGAACCTATAAAATAATATATGCCCTTGTTTCAATATTCATAGGTATGAAATAAAGGCCAGCGAAACTTCGAACGGCGAATTTTCCGATTTTTCCATGTTAGAACTTTCCGACTAATCCTCTCCCGACTTTTGTTTTTGTTAAACTCTTCGTTTTAAATCTCCTATACAAAATAGGTAGTTTATTCATATTTAAATTACAAAGAAAAATGAAAATGATGTTAATAGATATCTTATAAACCGAAAATACAACAAAAAACGTCGGAAAGGAATTATTCGGAAACGTCGCCGTCGCAAAGTTCACTGGGGACATGAAAAAAATCGGTAAAGTCCCTGGCTCTTTATTTCATACCACCGATATTATTGTTAGCGATCTCGTAGTACTTGAACTCCAGCGAAACTGATAAATCTATCGATTTCTACATTTGAAAAACAATCGCCTATCACCAGAATAATGGAATTATCGGCAACTAAAATATAATTTTTTTGAACTTTTTTTAGTTTGATTTTTAAAAAAATTCAGAAAAAAACTTGTTCTATATATTTCTAGAAAACACGAAATTTCTTAGCTATTTCATAGCAAAATCAATTTTTTTTCTCGAATTTTTGAAAATTTAATTTGTTGATTTTCTGTTCCAACAGCTTTAGTGATCCGTGACGTTTTCCGAAGCCAAATTTTGAGAGAAACAGAAAAAGCAACAACATTGAGATAATGAAATGAAGATGGTAGGAAAGAATTTTGGGTCCGCGAAATTTCGTGAGCGTGAAATGTGCATACACCGATCTTGGGGGCTCAAATCTTTGCAAATTTGAATCTTTGCAAACTAGAATCTTTGCAAATTTTTATTACTTTTTCAATTTTTTCTTGTTTTTTTTCATTGAATTTTTTTTTCATTTTCTTTTGTGATAACCCTGTGAGTAACACTCCTGTGAACATTTCTTGACTATTTCATCTCTCCGTCGTAACTATTCACAATGAAATGAATTAAATTTTTTGCATTTGCATTTGCTCGTCTTTTATAAATTTTGTGAAACACTTTGTTTTTCGAATCGCTAGTTTTAATTTGATGACTAAAGTTTTTTTTTTCACGGATTTTTGTCCCTTATTTTGTGTTTTTTTAATTCTTTTCTTGAAGTTTCTGAACAGAGAGCACAATGGAAAATTCATAAAAAAGAAATAAAGCCGTAAGAGAAGCTCTCACAAAACTCGTAGGCGACATTTGTGCGAGTGAAAAGACGCAAGATAGCGCAAAATTTCTAGAAGTGTGATACATCCATGTTCGAGATGAAGTAGTGATGAAGTTTTCACAGGAATGTTACGCACAGGGTTTTCACAAAAGAAAATTTTTAAAAAAATTCAATAAAAAGAAAAAAACAAGAAAAAAAATTGAATAAGTAATGAAAACTTGCAAAGATTCAAATTTGCAAAGATTCGAGCCCCCAACATCGGTGTATGCACAATCCACGCTCACGAATTTTCGCGGGCCCAAAATTCCTTCCTACCATCGAAAAAGCAAAATGCGCAAGAAAAAATGGTTCCAGGTGAATCTAACCTAAAAATCACTTAGTAGATCAGTTTGCAAACTCTCGAAAAAAAAAGTCAAAAAAGTGTTTTTATTCCATATATTCTAAGAATTGTGTAAACTGCTCTTCAATAACTATCTCGAAAAAATTTTCGAAGTACGAGGCGAAAACGAACTAATCGGCGTGACATTCTACTTCAAAAGAACGAAAAGTAACTAGATTTCCCTTTCTTGAAAAAAATATGAAGAGATTTCGGACAATCCCTCATCTCAATAGTACCAAAAATCTACAAAGTGTCAAAAAATCTGTCAAAAAAAGCGATTTTTCAGACAGGAAAATTTTCAAAAAAGACGAAACCTCAGCGGTTGGTGGGCAACCGGGCACATAAATATCAACAGGAATGACGCGGTCGCACCCTCTGAGCACCGAATATGCGTAGTGGTAATAGCCGCCTCCGTTGGCGCAGGATCCCATGGAAATGACCCATCTTAACATGGAAAATTACTCAAAAAAAAAAATGTAAAAAAAGTAACTTTACAGCGCTGAGGCTGTGGGCCGCTTATAGAGGCCGAATCGGCCCACAAACAGTAATCGAACCCTTTTGTTACATTTCAAAGTTTAAAAAATATCTGTGAATAAACCCTTTTTGATCACTCACTTCCCGATTCACACCCTTCGCGGAAATATTTAGACAAAAATTTCGAAAAGTGGCAAAATTAATTATTAAGATTGGTTCGCGGCCGGTGTCGCAGAAATATGGCCAGCCCTGCGCAAAGATCTGACTATTGAAACTTTGATCTTTAAAAATTCTATCCAAATTTTTTTCTTTTTTTCATACAATTTCAAAAAAACATCGTGGTAAAAATGATGAGCATCTCACGAACTTTTTCAAGTTTCTTCTGATTTTTTTGCATACATCCTATGAACTTTTTCTCGTCATTTTAAAAACCAATATTTCAACTTTTTTTCATATCAACACCCCTACCAATAACCCAAACAGCTGCATTTTACCTAAAAACAGTATTTTTCTGGAAAGCCTCCATTTCGATAGCTTCTCACCTACTTTTTTACGCTTTAAATCTTAAAAAAAAGATATGAAAAATACGGAAACAAGTTGAAAAACAATGAAAATCACTTGGCCTCTGGCATTTGATCGTAGATTCTTCGGAGAGCGGGCGCCATTTTATTTGTGACTGTGCCAGCGACGAAGATCAGGTCGGCCTGAAAAATAATATATTTTTGGCAGAAATTTACATTTTTTTCTCACGATTTTTTTCCACGCAAATTGATGAAATTTCTGCTTCTGTTTTTCTTCAGAATTTTTTTCGCGAAAAAAATATAATTATTTTTTTGATGTCAAGCCAATCTTCCTATTCAATAACCACCTTGTTTCGAACAAAAAAAGAACCCTCGAGTTCAAGATCCAAAAGTTTCCAAAATCTATAATCATCAATTTATTCGAAAAAAAGGACAACAAAAAAAACTGAAAGCAATGAAGCGCACAAACATGAAACAAAAAAATTTAAGAAATAATTTTTTTAGGAGATATCATGAACAGAGCTCATTTATAAACTTTCACATCTCTCATTATTTCCGTATAGTCAATTTTTTTCAAATTTGAAAAATAAGAAGGGCAAAGGGTGGCGTGTTGCGTACGCGACGCGGTTTCTCGGTGGTGGAAATTGAGGTCAAATTCAATCATGGAAAAAATTTTTATTTTTTTATTTTTCATTTGTATTTTTTCGATTTAATCTTTTCATCCATAAAAAAATTAAAGCTTTCACGTACGCAATGCTGTTGCAAATCTACCTGTCCCGCCTTTCGGTAAGTGGCTATACTTGTTGGACATAAGAAAGACCCAAGTCCTACCTGTCGAGGAGAAGCACGGAAAACGACACCGTAACGATCCATGTCGTAGCGTGGAGCGGCAAAGTGCATCATTTCGACAGCACAGCAGGCGAGGCCGAAAGTAAGGGGCCAGAGGGAGCCTCTTTGAGCCAGGTTCATCACGTCGTCCAGTCGCGCCAGCGCATATTCGGCCTTCGAAGACGAGTTCAGAAACGGGGTTCCTGTTGAAATACACTTCTATTTTTTGTAAAATAGCACTTACTTTTGAAAAAAAAGATCGAGCAGATCTCAATTTCTTTTAATTTTATAATTAAAAGCTCTCTTGAACTGGTCTTTTTTTCTCTTTTTTTCATTAATTTCGAAAAGCAAGATTACGAATTTGGTCTAGTTTTTTCACCTTGACATTATCTTCTTTAATGATATAGCCTATTACGCGCCTTTTTTTCTGCTTAAAGATCGTTGATAAAATTTGACCAAACTTTGCTTCAAGACTATTTTTTCCTGTCTTTTTCATAGTTTCGTAGAGCAAACAAAGTAGTTTTACGGTAACTTATTTCCTGCTGTTCTTTTAAAACGGGACCGTCTCGCACGGAACGAACTATAATAAAATATTTCTTAGTCAATATTCACAAAATCATGAAATACAATTATTTTTTTGTTCCTCGATCTCTTATTTGAATACCCACAACTACCGATTATATTTTTCAAGTTTTTACTTATCACAACTACAACTCGACCAGGTTGTATCTTATGTCGTTCAAAGCAATTTTTGCGAAAAACAAAACTGTCTCTAGTTCTCAAAAGTTTAATTATCTTCTTCTTTTTTCTGACGGCTGTTTTGAATTTTTCGGAATCACTCTGTGGCATTAAGAAAATAAAAACATGATATAATTAAAGTTCCTTTTTTTTAATTTAACGAAACGTTTAGACCATTTATCTTTCTTTTCTCATTTCTCGCGCTTCATCTCATTGAAACAAGCAATGATCAGGTCATTGCACCGATCGAATCACGCGCACAATCGGGTGAGCGGAGACTTGAGCTTCTTTCGGAACGTTTCGAAATTGAGCAATTTTTCCAGAGAACTTTCAAAAAAAAAACATAATATCTACGAACCAGTTTTGCCGATTCCCTTTGGCGCTTCGCCACTGGCTGCAATCGCCTGCGTCGGTTGCGTCGCCACTAAGCGGCGCGACGCAACCGCGCTCGTCGAGCGCAGTGCGGATAACATCCTGGAATGATATTTTGAAGATAATTAACGATGAAAGTCAAAAAACCAGTCAAAAAACTGAAAATTATAGATAAAAACAGAAGAAATAGATTTATTAGCCGATAGAAATAATATTAAGTCAGTTTAGAAACCTTTTCTGTGATTTTTGAGAATGGAGATTACTAGTGAAAGCTTCCGAACTATGATTCGCTCTTCGTTAATTTTAATATCATGCAGAACTTTTGCGCTTATAAAAAGTTCAGCAAAAATTGTGAAAAGACTGATTTCCAAGCACGCTGACATCAATTTCTGTGTTACGTTCAGTATTGATAAGTAACTTTTATAGTATTCTAAAAAGAAATTATGAAATAATAGCGAAATTTAAATGAATTTCTGAGTAAATTTTTGAGAGAATTTATAAGAGCAATATAATTACTATTTTCATTTTTCAATTAAGTAACTATTTTCTGTCCTTCAAAAAATAATGAATACATAAAAAAAGCAAATTTAACGGCGTGCGAGGGATGTCAGCCTCTCGGATCGGGCCTCCGAAGAAAAAAGAAGTCTCAAGAAAAAGTGGAGGGCCCGGCCCAAAATTCTAGTCAAACTTTTTCTTAAAAATTAAGCTCAAAGCTCAGCCTGATGGCGTGTTCATCAAAAAAAAAAAACAAAATCCTTCAGAAACGCAAAAATTGCTCCAAAACAAAGGTTAGTATTGTTTTGGAGCTTCTAAAAATTCTACTTCAATCTTCTTTGAAAAAGTCAATTTTTTTAAATTTTTTTCAAGTTCAATTTCTTACCGATATATCTTCATTATTAAGTACAGAAAAAGCTAATATTACGACCCCATTACAGAAACAAAATACTGCCTTGTTTTTGTGAAAATTGAGGGAAGCTTTCAAATTTCTTTGGAACATTTCTTCGATTTATAAAGACAGTCCATTACGAGAAATATTCAAATCCGGTAACTGAACAGCGTGAAAATAACTGGGTAAAAATGCAAGCAGCCAGAAAACATGATTGCAAGGAAAAAACCAAAAACAATCAATACGTCCGCAAGTTCATAAAGCCCGCGAAAAGGCCTTTTTGTGAAACGCGAACACGGCCGTACCGCCCATTTTTCACTGGAGCGTACATTCCTTCCAAATTTTGCTACTCTTCACTCCTTTTTTTTTGATTCAAGTAGTAGTGTCTGTTTGCCTTCTTTGTTTTTTTCCTTGCTACCATTTGCATTTGATCATCAGAAGTAGTGTCAGGAAGCGCGTTAAAGAACATTCAGTTTTTCGAGTCTTATTTTTTTATACTCTTTTGTTTCTTGGAAATGTGGTGATTAATTGATTTTTCAACATAATTTTGAGTTATTTGAGCATTGTTTAGACCTCAGATGCTTAAAATGAGCAAACTTTTTCGCTTTAAATTTTATCTTTGCAGGATTAAAGTATAGGGTTTCCGTTGTTTTTATTTTTGTGTGAGTCGAATATGCACTTTTTATGGGGTTACGTCGTCAAATTGAAAAGAATCATATGCGTAGCGTCACAAATGACTCTATTTCTGTAAATAGTAACGTAATCTGAGATGAATTTCCAGATTTTCCTCACCTTTTTCGTCTGTGAAAGGACCAAAAAGACGCTCTTTTGTGTTGATTCGGACTTTTCCAGTAAGTTTCGGGAACTTCCGATTGGGGATAACAGTGTTGTAGTGATTGTTCAGCAGAGACATTTCGAGATTCGTTTGAGCAGCAATATAATTAACTTTTCAAGTTTAGAATTGACGTTCATTTCTTGTTGTTGAGATTGATCTCATCTTTTTCAGTGTTTCCGGCTCTTAAAGCCTTTAAAGGAATGGAACGGTGTTTACTATCGTTTTTATCTCACTCATGTATTATCTCGAAAACCCGTGTAGAACCGACAGAAGGAAAAATTTTAGAGGTAAATGAGATTGCGGAAGAATTTTTATGTTCATTAGGTAACGGACATATTTTTTCGGTTTGTTATAGTTTCGTAGTCTTCTAATGACTATCCAAAGAGAACTTTCCTGATTTTCGACCGTGAAGGTTAGAAATATTTTAAAACTTTTGGATCAAAATCAAAGGATTCCAAGGTGGCTCTTAAAAAACTTCTGACGAATCCTCGAAGCAGGGTTATTTGAAATTCCCCTTTTTTTCTCAATTTGAAAGAGAAATTATTTGATCTTTTAATCACCATGCTATTCACCTACTGCAAAAGGTCCTTCAAAGCGAAAAGCTTATAAAGGCAACACGAAATCTAGGAAGGTTTGTGTTGTTCTGTTTGAAAATACAACAATCTCTAATGCCGTATTCAACATGATTCCGCTAAACACGAAATAGTGGTCAAAGAGAGAAAAAGATAACTAAGTTTTGAAGAGTCAGAAATAACTTTGAACTCCGCGAAAATTTATTTAACATGGCAAATGAATGAACTGTATAGTTCAGCTTTTCATTCATTCACGAAAGGAACTGCACGTACAGTAATCATTGGGAGATGTGTGTGTTCTCACCTGGACACGATTTGTGATTCCCGACCGCGACTGCCAAAAAACACACACAAACACACGCATCGCGCTCACGCATTCCGCTCATGGAGAAGGCGCCCGCGGGCGTTTGTCTCTTCGCTCGTTCGGCTGTGCCTTCGCCGCTCCTCAACAACCGCCTCAACTAAACTAACCCCACGATTTTCTGTTTTTCTCCTTTCTTTCTCTTTTTCCAATGCTTTTGCTTCTTAGACTATTTATTTATTTTTTTGCTTTTCGTTTCCTTCGTTTTTCACGTTCCTAACGAAAAGCCACCCCTTTATAAGTCGTTTTTTTGAACTCTTGTTTTGATTCTGACTCAATAAGTTACATTTTGGAACGCTTTTTTGTGAATTTTTTTTAGTTGGTCGGTGGCTTTAGCTCGATGAATCAGCACTATTATGGTTTTGTTTACCTTTTTCCGAACTTTCTTGTTTCCCAACCAAGACTTTACCTTGAAAACTATAAGTTTCGATAGTTGTCTGAGTTTCGAAGACTTTTGGATTTCAACTGGACTTTCAATTTTCTCAATGATTCAATCAGATTTTAAGATAATTTTTAGCACGTTAAAGTATTATTTTCTTCTTCTTTATTTGCTTTAAAATTTTTAAGTATATAAAGAAGGTTTTCTCAATTTCTTGCTTTTCACTTTTTTTTTTGTTTTGGTTGATTAGTGTGGTCGACGGAAAAATCAGGTTTCTACCAATTTTTCAGACCTATTTTCGTTAAACAACTGACTTTCAGTGTTTGCTATCAATTTGTCAGATTTTAAGTACATATTCTGGTATTGTAGTTTTTTGAATTTCTCAACATTTTCTTTAAAATCTGTATTTTAATGTTGACAAATGATGAGCTCACATTTGAATGTCAATTCTATAAATCTTTTTTTCTGCTCTTTCGCCTAAATTTATATCCAAATGAGATTGAATTTGAGCGAAATGCTAATTTCGAACAGATTTCGCCAATCCTCAGCTTGTAAGGTTTCCAAAAAAAAAAGTGCAAAAAGTTCAATTTCCCTGCTGCGAAATGTGAACCTTGGTTCAGTGGAAATTAAATTAAAACGTGAGACATTACGATTTTTCTCGTGCGGGAATCGAATTTGCTGCTGTTTGCAGTCTTTTTCCCGTCTTGAAAGGTCATCTTTCTTTTGGAGGGTTTTTTTTTCAAAAAAATGACGTTACTTGATTTTTCCTTTTGTTGGAAGAGGCTTTTTTGGCGCATCAAATGAAATGTTTTGAAAATAATTGCTGGAAAATTTATGAAATGAGTCAAAAACTAATTTTTGTTTTGAAAGGCTACTTCTTTTTTTTGATTTTGAATAGGGAACCTGGAAATTTCATGCAGAATTTTACCATTTGCACCTGTTGTCATTGATGTTTGATGTTATGACGTAGGTTGACAATTTTATTGACGAAATGTTGAGTCTCTGTGCAACTAGACTGCATTTTTTTTCCTTCAAATCTTCACAGTGGATTTAATCCAATTTTAACTATGGTGTGAACTTTTTTGTCCCTTTTTCACTCGATCTGTGAACGTATTGATGAGGTTTTAAATGGACTTTGAGAGCTGATAAGATTCTTTTCTTTTTGACTTTAGAAAAAGAGTTATTATGGGATTGTTGGGCTGAGGATATTCTTTGCGTCTTTTCGCGAGTTCAACACGAGTTTTTGCACTAATGAAGCTTTTTCCAAATCTGTCGGAAAACGTTTTCTGAAGTCAGTTCGTGTATTTTTGATGATTTTTTTTTTTTGAATTTTGGCTTCAACTTGAAATTCAGTAGAGGAGAAAGTTTCAAGTAGTTTTTTTTTCCGAACTACTTTTCTGAAGAAAGGTTAGTATAATTCATTCATTTTAGCTACAATTTTTTGAAGGAGGTTCGAACTTCGAAAACTTCTTTTTCCTGCTTTCATTGACATTTTTTGATTTCTTTCGCCAGAAGAAAAAAAAATGTTTTTGTGCAGTTTGACCTTTGCTTCAACGTTCAAACTACGATCCACCTCTCTTATTACAGTGTCGATGGCCTTCTCCACTAACAAAAGACCGTAGAAACTTTTGCAAACGAAAGAAAAATTCTTTGTGGTTAGGTGGTCTAAACCATAGTCACTGGCCTGTTCTTTTTTCCCTTTTTTTGAGGATACCAAAATATTGTTACCAAGAGATGGCCCATTCATAAATGAATGATAACACCAAAAGAAGAGAAGGAAAAAAAGAAGCTTTTCCTCCGTTGGCAGAGGAATTTCCGTTGGGGGGAACTCGCCATTTTGTGTTACACTTTGAGGCGGTTGATCAATAGAGCCGCCGTCGGGCGTCGTATCTATTGATACTTGCGTGTGAGCGGCCCCTACCTGGAAAAATGGCTGGCTTCCGTCGTCACAGCCGCTGCCACCGCCGCAGCCGCTGTTTACAGCGGTACGGGCTTTTGTTAGTCAATCTTGGTACTTCCTTGCTGGAGAGGTTCTGGAGCATTTTTCATAGTTTTCACTCGGCGAGTTTGGGTTGAACATCGGTCGGAAAGCTTGAAATAATCATTTGATTTTTTTAGTCAATCATGGTACTTCCTTGCCATTGCTTGAGAGGTCCTGTAGTTTTTTGAGCATGTTTCATCGTTGCTACTTGATCTATTTGACTTAAGGTCGGAATCACCAATAAGCTCAGAAGGTGTTGAGGATGAAAGTTTTTTGATATTTTTGTAGGTTTTCTTAAACCCTTAAGGGTGGTCTTTTGAGTATTTTCATTAGTCTTTTTGGCAAATTTTATTTGAAAGTTTTGATCTTCACTGAGAATTGGTAAGCTTTTTCAGGATAAAACTTTTTCTATCAGTGATTAGCAAAATAGATTTGAAAAGTCGTAAGTAGAAAATAATAATTTTCACGCAAATCTGTCCTTTTTTAAAATTAATTTTTGCTCAAGAGCTCATATTTCTCAAGTTATTAGGCAGTTTTCATGACAGTTTCAATCAGTGAAGAAGTTCAGAAAGCTTTGAGTATCCACCTATATATTTTACGGCTCTTCGAGAACCCTCCATCCTTTTTTCCGATAAGAAAGCGATTTCTTATCGATTGGACAAGACCAAAGAGACCTTTGCTAGATGGAACCGATATCTGGTCCAGCTAAAGTCCGTATCGGTTGGGAAAAAATCCCCGTTTTTTTTTTGGTCGGTTCCTTCTCGTCCATTCTTTTTTTTTTCTCATCTATTTTTCTCTCTCATTCCTCTGTTGAACAGCCTCGGGGTCCGAGTCGATATGATTTTCGATGCGACGCCGCCGTTGTTTGATGTTACACAATGGTCAGTGCTGGAGCACATTCAAGCCGGGCTCGATTTATCGCGTGGACTTTTTTTTTGGCCTTTTTTGTACTTTTCATCGTTCTTTTTCATATTTTTCGATAGGAAAATATTGACCTTTTCCGAAGATGGTTCATGATGAAAGCGTCTAAAAGTACGCAGAATTCCGAAATCAATAAAAACCCCAAATTTGTTATTCCGTTAACTCGAAAACTGAGAAATCGAAAATTCCAACTTTCGAGACTTTTCGAAGCTCCAAATTACACATGTGAAAAATTTTTTTTATGCGGTGGTCAGAGTAATTTCCGCGAAATTCAAAATTATCTCGGGCTTTCCGAAATTTACTAATCTTTTTCACACTCTGACGGTTATTTTGGATTTCGTCAAATTTTTTTTTACACGGCCGTACGGCACTATACATCGTTTACTCTAGTGGAAAATGTACGTTAAAGTTCTCCTGAAATTTTTTGGAACGACGGATTCCCTTGTTTTACGATACAAAAGCTGTTTTTTTTTTTATTATCTCTCGATTCTCGACACACTTGTCTCCAAAAGCCATCCGCGCCCACGACTATCAATAAAACAACTCTCTCTTTTTGCGCCGTAAAACTGGGCCGTTTTCGGGGCGACACGTTGCAATGTTTATTTTTTGTTTCGGCAGTTGTTGGCCAGGCGTTCTCTCTCACCTTGAACTGTTGGAAATGGAAACTTTGTGTGTTCCGTCGTCCTTACCGGTTTTCCAAACGATTTTTCATGGCTGATTTCGTTTTAGGTGGAAAAGTGCTCTCTCACATGACCGTTTCATTTTTTGAAAAATTTATTTTTATGCTGATTTTAATCATTAGAATAGAATTCCATCAACCTCTGTCGTGGTGCTCAAATGACCCGAAATAATTTCAAAAACGGCTTTTCACCTCGAAACCTTTAATTTCTCCTATGCTCCTTTAAACATCAAGGCAACGGTTTTCAAAATAAATTAGTTATATCTGGTTTTTTTTTCTTATATTCCTTTCCGAGAAGTAAAACAGTACTATTTGTATAGCGCAGCGAGTCGAACCTCTTTATCACTTCTTTTTTCATTAAAATTTCAGATCCTTATCGGGGATTCCCTTCAAAAAGTGACGTTTATGATTATTTTTCCATTCGACTGCTATTCATGATACAACAATATTCCAAAATCTGTTTTGGAAGGCCAAACTTCAAACTTTTTCTTCAAACTCCATTAAAAATCGGCTAAAAAAAGATTTAACTTTTTATTTTGATTTCACTGGAAAGATTATTTATGATCAACGGGAAAAAAGGAAAAAAGGTCCTTTTTCCTGCATTCAAGAGGAATTTTTTGAATACAATGATTTTCTCAGTTAAGGAGTATAATTTTTGTCATTTTTTGTAAACCGAGTTTGATCAAAATGCCACCAGTAATAAGCGCATAAGAAGTATAATTTCGATTGAACTGAAAAGAAAAATTGTTTGTCCTTTTTTGTCATTAAACAAGTCCATATTTCCCTGTTACAATTGCTCTACCATCTACTTTTTTTGACCTATTGATCATTTTTTACTCGGTTGACGCTAAGTTTTGCTCTTCCCGCCCAAACTTTTTTGAACAATTTTTTTCGTTTTTTTCTTGTTTTTTTTTTGGTTTCCTTGTTTTTATTTTTTTTTTCCTTTCATATTCAATATGAAATAAGGTTTTCCAGTTGGCGACTAGTAGGATGAAGGACCGGGAAACCGTTGAAAATCTCGGGCAGCCTTCGACCTCCGCCATGCCAGCTGAAGAAGAGTTGAAAAAGCCCCGAAACCGGCACGAGGTCTTTTACATCTTTTTTTTTCGAGATTCAATTTTTTACGTAAACTTTTCGCTTGATAAAACATTATTTTGTTGCACTATAATAGAAATTAGTTGATTTTTTTATCAATTTTTTTCGTAAACTGTTAGTGGTATAAAATTAATTCATCTTTCACTTATAACTATTCAAAGCTCTAATGTATAATTAATTTCCCAGGATGTGACAAATCGGTGGTTCGGCTACCAGAAACCGTACCCTCATGCCCCTTGGTCCACGAAACGGTACAATATGAACATTGAGGGGTTGGTTAAATGCCATTCCAGTTTCATTCAACTCAAATTTCAGTTTACACGAGGAAATCCTCGATTTGTACCATTGGATCAAGCCGACTTCTTTGGAGGCGAATGTGCGGCGAAGGGTTTTTGAAAAGGTTGATTTTTCGAGAAAAAAGGAGTTCTGAAAATATTTTTCCTCTTTAGCAGATATCCAATTACAATTTCCCACCGGTTTTTCATATTTTTTGTAATACTAAGAGAAGTGAAAATTGTTTTATCGAAGTCTGTTTATTTTCGATCTTATGAGGAAATTTTCGAAAAATTCTCCCGGCATCGCCAGTTTCTATTGAAAAAAACTCGAAAATTTTTTTTTCTAAACTATTTTTTTTCTATTGTACATATGTATCTCCGGGAATCTTTGAAAAAAAAATAAAAAGGAAACTTTTCTCTGGACGCCCTCTTGTTTACCGGTGCTCTCTAGCTTTTTGAAGACTAGTTTTTTTCATTTTTTTGGCAACATAGATTCACAAATAAAAAAATTGATTGATTTTCCAGTTAATTAAAATTTCAAAATTTTCCCACTTTTCTTGAATACTTGAAGTTGTGACCGAAACAAAGACGAATGATTTTTGCTGAAAGTTAAAATTTTGTTTTACTTTTTTTCTAGAATTTTTTTAAGCTCTACAAAACAAAATCCATTTTTCTAAGGTATCCCTGAGAGTTTCGATTTTTACGCTCCTCTTGTATATTCCCGAGTAAATCGGCAAACCGGACGCGCCCCGGACGTTTCTGAGAATTTCAAGTAAATACTTAAGTGGGCAGACTCTTAAAAACGTCCGGTTTGCGTTACCGAGGTCCGACTTTGACCGAAACAAAGATGAATTAATTTATTTTATTTTTTGGCAGGTAGCCGCGGCAATACGAGAGCGGTGGAAAGAGTACGACGTGCGGATATCCATGTTCGGAAGTCTGCTGACGAACTTATTCCTGCCGTCGTCGGACATTGACGTTCTCGTCGAGTGCGCAGAGTGGGGCCAACCTACAACTGATGTGATTTGATTCGCCTTGATTGCCGTGTTTTACGTCTTGGCTGTTCGATTGATTGATTGATCGATGGGGTCTGATGGCTGCTTTTCCCCCATCATTTCCCCTTGGCAACTGGGAAATAGGAGAAATGCGATGTTGATGAAGTTTTGAGCACTTTGAGACTTTAATTTTAAACTTCGAGTTGAAATCAAAGGTTCCTAGAAAGGCTTATCCGACTTAAAACGACTTGCGCGATTTCATTTATATTCATGATGAAATTTCGAGAATCGTTGGCTGGAAACTTCAAGTTCAAACTTCGAGATCAAATCCAAAGTGCCTCAAAGGTACCTATGAATTTGCGTCCGACCAAAAAGCGACTTGCGTGATTTTATAAGGTGGAAGTTCAAGATTTGAATTTCTGTGTGTACCGCAACGCGTTGAGCCTTTCTATTTGCGGCCATTAAATTTGAAGATGTTGAACTTTTTTTTCATTAGGATCGGTTTTTGTACATATGGCTTAAGAAATGTTTATTCATGTCTTTTTAAATTTTTAAATTTCAATGTAGCTTGTAAAAATTCCAGCAAAGGGGTCTCGAGACATAAAACCATTTTTAACGCTAGTTCATAAATCGCGGAAAGGGGGTTTTTTTAATGTTTTTCAACATAAAAAAATGATCCAGCTTTTAGAGCCCAATATCAGTCAAACGAACAGCTTTTTTTGTCTTTTTTATTTTTTTTTTGTGTCAGTTTTTTTGTTTTCAATGAAAAAGTGACAATTTTCACTTATTTCTGGTCTGTCCCGTCTTCAAATCTTTTCCATGTCTAAGGTTGATTTTTTTGAAATGATTTTTAATTTATCTTTCTAGATCCTCGAAAAAACTGGTGATTCGTTGAAATCCAGCGGGCTGGCCGAATCCATATCCGTTTACAAGGATGCGTTTGTTCCGATTGTCAAGATGATTGATAGGTTTTGTGATTTATCGATTGTAGAAAAGTGTGAATTTTTTTCTTTCAGAGATACCCGGTTAAGCCTCGATATTTCGTTCAACACGGTACAAGGCGTCCGCGCCGCCCAGTTCTATGACAAGGTTAGCTTTGAAATCGAGAAAAGGCCTGTTTTTTGACCCGAAATTGATTCGCCTACCGACTTAATTGATTTTTTGCAGGTGAAAGACGAGTTCCCGGTGATTGAACCCCTTGTGCTTGTCCTGAAACAGTTTCTCCATCATCGGTCGCTGAATCAGACGTTTACCGGCGGATTATCATCCTATGGCTTGATATTGATGCTTGTCAACTTTTTTCAGGTGAATTTTATAACCAAAAAAAACTTTTGTATTCTGAAAAGCTGTAGAGTCGAAGTTCTGTAGAATAGGAAGAAAACCGGCACAAATATGAGAACCCTGAGGTGGTCATTTGGATATGGCTCTTCTGTTTTTCACATCCAAAAAAAAACTTGAGTGGCCGCTCAAGTTCATTTTTTTCCCTTTTTCGCTAAAATGAAGCCTAGGAGGAAGATCCCTAGAGTGGTTACTTGGTTCTTCATATCTTTTTTTTTCTGGAGCCAGTTCAAGTGCGAAACATTTAAAAGAAATCTCAAGAATCTCTCAGTTTTGAAACAAATAAAGTCATTTCCATTTTCTAAGCCGGATCTCGATTAAACTCGGAATTTTTTCGTTTTGAAACATCAATAAAGTTCATTTTCCCCTTTTTTACGATTACAAAAGCTTGGGCGAAGTGGCCTAGAGGGGCTTCTTGGTCCTTAATTTTTTCTGGAACCAACTCAAATGCAAATCTCTGGATTGAACTCGGAGTAAGTCGTTTGGGAATGGAAACGAAAAAGTTCATTTAAATGCCGAATGCTGTGCGTGGAAACACGGAGGCCATATGCTCATTTGATATTTACAGATATACGCGCTGCCGTTGCGGAGAAAACACGCGTACGATGAGGGCGTCAACCTCGGCGAACTATTGATCCGCTTCTTCGAAGTCTACTCCCAGGTCCGGGGATCAACAAAATGATTATCGATTAAATTATATGTTAAGGGCAACATTTGGATTTTTCGTTGAAAATCAGTAGAAAAAGTGAAAAGGTATCGAATGAATGAGAAGAAAAGAGGCTTTTTTGATAAATAATCAGTGGAACGCTTTGGTAGAGCAATTGAAAAGGTGTGGGACTGACGAGAACAAAAAAGCTTTCTTGGCAGAATATCAGTAGAATGTTCCAGTGGAACACGTGAAAAAAAAGACGTTTCTGGTTGAAAATAGTTAGGATTTTCCGGTGAACCAAGTAAATTTATATCGATAGAAATTTTGAGATTGGAGGCCCGAAACACTTTAAAATTGAATGCTGTTTTTAAATTAGGACCGAGTCTTTTTTTATTAATTTTTCTAAGCAAGATAAATCGTTTCAGATTAAATAAAAAAATAAACTAACTCAGAAAGATTTTTTTAAGAAGTTTTTAAAACTTACATTTAAAAAAAGAAAAAGTTACGGATTTTTTTAGTCAGGCTGATGGTGGCTTCCGAGTGGGAGCTGGTGATTTTTTTAAAATATTATTTCTAAAAGCTTTTCGAGAAGGTATATCTGAAAAAAGGCCATATTTTTAAATCTGCTTTTCCATGAATTTGCTTGTAAAAAGTGTAGGACTTGATATGTATTCTGATTACATTTCAATCGATCTGGAAGAATGTTTTCAGGAGTTCAACTACGTCGACGTGGCGATCAACGTTTCGAAAATGCGCTACGAGAAGAAAAGACGTCAGGAAGGCCCGAAAGCCCCAAGATCTCCCGGATGCCTCTCCGTCCAAGATCCCCTTCTTTCTTGTGTGTATTGCGGTGGTACTTGATTTAATCTCTTTTTGTAAACTAAATGATTACACCAAAGTATAAACAAAACAAACAAGCTCGAATAAAAGGAGGAAGAATCGACAAACAGGTACATAAATATTGCGGTATAGATGTCAAAAATCGTTTTGATGTCGAAATGATGATGAATCATGTTTGAAAACCATATCGATGGCGTTTTCGACCTATTTTGAATGAACAAAAAATTAACCCCCTTTTTGAAGTTTTTTCTTTTAACTCTTCCTTGTGAAATGATGGAGCAGTTCAATTTTAAGAAAGAAAAAAATATGTTTAAATCCATTTTTTTCGACGTTTTTTTATTTCAAATTTTTTTAATAAAATTATTGAGAAGTTTAATTCAAAGAAACAATTTGTTGGAATAATGAAAGTCGACGGCAAAACAAACACGCATACAAAAAATCAACCCGAAAAGAAACCAAATTTGAAATGTTTCATTATTCCAGGTAATGACGTTGGCCGATCAACGTACAACTACAACAGAGTGGCGGTCGCGTTTGCCGAAGCTTTACAGGTAAAACTTTGAAAATTGTAGACTTTTAGCTGTAAAATCAAAAGAAACTAGAAGTTTTTGATCTTCTCTATATCTTTAAACCTCTTCGAGATAGGCTTCTTCCTTCACACGTTCTCAACATTTTTTCTGTCATGAAATACGTTTTTCCGAGCGTAAAACCGCGAGTTTCGATCATTTTCCGGCTGATCGTCGATCAGCCACAAAGACTCATTTGTTTGCCTTTGTTTTTGTCTTCCTTGGCGTAATTCGCCGGACCGGAATGTTGCCAAACGTTGTTTTTTTTTGCCCGCGAAGAAGACAAAGAGTTTGGATTTTAGAAGGGTTTTGAGGGAGTTTAGATCAAAAAATTTTCACTTTGATCTGATTTGCTCATCCCCTAAAAGAGAAGGTTTACTGTTCACATATTTTAATATAGAACGTTCTAGATTCAGCTTATTAGCGCTATGTTCCGTTCCAACGAGAATAGTTCTGAAATATATATTTTTGAACCTGAGTTTGAGGTGATAATCGCGGCGATAACCGTTCGCGACCGACCGCGTTCGTCGATTTGGCATTCGGTCTACAGCGGAAGCCTCCTGGCAAAGATCATGCCTTTCACCGAGAAGGAGATTTTCTACCGGAGTTGGCTCAAGGTGAGGAACGAGGTATGGAATGATATCCCGGCAATGCAACTCTAACAAGAACAATTCTCACATTTTTCACTTTTTGCTCTTTGTGTGTATGATATTTGAATGACCCTTTGCTTCCATTTGAACTTTGTTTTTATTTTTGAACACCCTAGAAACAAAAGGAGACGAAATTTGGTTTCATGTTTTTAGAAGCTTGATTTTTCAAAGGGAGGAAAAAAATTTTGATGGAGAAAAAACTATTTCTCGCCCAGACTTGATAGTCTAATTAGATTTTGAACGTTGAGTAAACTGAGGCCATTCGAAAACTCTGTGGATGGCTCGCTCTCTGATTGGCTTATCACGCCCTTAGGGGCGGAGCTTGAGTGACGACTTGACATTCAAAATCTGAACAGACTGAATGTGTTTGTTGTGCCATTTTACCGCAGTCTTTCGACCTTCGTTCTTTTTTTCACGAGCCAACATTTTGCGTTAATTTCAGGGATTTTCTCTTTCCTACGGAGAGGACAATGTATATCAGATGAACGTCCTTTGCAACACCTTGCTGTCGCCGGTTCGTTTCGAGAAAATATTTTGAAACTTTGAAAATCCAAAAAATGCCTGAAAAGCTCAAAAATATTTGTAGTTATTCTTCTAGGATATGAGGCTTGATTTTGGTAGTTTTTTTCCCCGGTTCAGAAGAGCTTCAATTCCATCGAAAAGTTTTCTCGCATGTTTAGCGGTAACGTTTCAGCTTCTCTTAGGATTGATGAAATTTGATAATTATTAACTTAACAATCATTCTAATAGTGAAATTTAAACATTTTTAAGGTGCTCGACATGAAAAAATTCGAATGGTTGCGGAATCTGCCGACAAAGGTTTCACGGCCCCTGCCGATCGTCGCCCCGGACGAGGCAAATGAGGTTTTCCAAGAAAAAAAAGTTAAGCGTTCACACAAACATATTCAGAAGAAGGAAGAGAAAGCCGCGGCACTCCAAGAGGAAGTATTGGCCGGTACGTCGACGGAGAACACTTCTTCATCTTCTGACACCACCCTGACGAATGACGTTTCCGACGGGAACGTGACGATTGTCGAAGAGCCTCTGCGGATACCCAGGCCTCCGTCGTCTTCCAACTCGAGTGGTAACGAAGATAACGAAGCTCAAAGGAGTCGAAATGTTTCAGCGAGCACGGCGATGAGCCTGAGCGAGCGCGAGAACGAGTCGCCGCCGCTGTCCATCGAGGAGAAGCAGACGTTCAAGAAGCCGTTCAGCGAGGTCGTCGCCGCGGCACCCTCCGCCTCGTCGGAGAAGTTTGGCGGCAGCATCAATGGAAACTCCAGCCGATACGTCAATGGATATCACTCGACGGCGCCTCGCCACAACAACAATTCGTCTCGGAACGGCTACTATCCCTACCGGCAGAAGAGGAACTCGGACGACAGGAGCACGGAGAGGACTGGCTCCAGCGGCTACGCCAGCCAGGGCGAGTACCAACATCACCCTCGCAACCATCAGCGTCATAACAACCAACATCACCGCTCCAACGGCTACCATCCCCAGAGCAACGGCAACTCGAATCCGTCGTCGTCGGCGGCCTCCTCGACGTCTTCTCTCTCGAGAGGCTCTCCCACTCCGCCGCTCACCAACGAGGTCCCACCGTATGACTATGCGGCGGCCACGGCATCTGGCATCCCGAAGCACCACCGCAAGTCTTATGGCGGCGCTCCGAAGAAGCCAGCCTGGACGGAGTCGTGCCGCGGGTTGGCCGCCACCAAACCGCCTTTCGCGCAGATTTCTGAAGGCAGGAGCCGGAAGACGTCGTCCAACGACTCTTATGGCTCTCAGCAGGTGAGAGTTGAGGGGAAAAATTAGCGTTTTTTGAAGGAATTTGACCACTAATTTAGGGTTTTTGAAGTATAAGTGTCTTTTTACAGGGCTTTGCGTCGTAATTTTTCATAAATTTGCTCAAAAAGGCCCGAGATCCCTTAGTTTCGAGATTAAGATTCACTTTTTTTTATCACCTAGAAAGTTTTTCATTCTCAAACTTTTTATTTTACTACTCAAAACAATTCAAATGCTATGGGCTAGCCAGAAATTAGCTCAAAAAAATGAATTGTTTTTCGGCCATATCTTTTTTTCACAAAATCGGAACCAACGTGGAGAGATTACCTGATGAACATTTTTTATAAAACGTTTGACGATTAATTTAACTAAACCTGTGGCATATTTCAGAGTTCGCGCCGAAGGTTATGACGCCGACGTCGCCGGAGAACTGACGCCACCTACACTCTCTCGACGTTCTCCTGCTGAATCGTCCTCTCTCGGTCCTCTTCCTCACTGCCACTCTCCTCTTTCGACACGAACTCTTACCATGCTTCGGGCTATTGTTGATTTGCGATTGTATTCTGTTTCTTTTTTGTTCTATGTTGATTAACATTTTAATATTTGGGCCCGTCTTTGCTGGTCATAGCCGTTATTAGCCTTATTAGGGACATTATTTTTTTTTCCTTTTACCCACTGTATTTTTATTTGTTTAACAATCAAACCTTGTAGTCATTTTTTTTTTCACGACAAGTCCGGTTTTTTCAGTGATATTTTTTTTGTAGTTTGTTTGTCCGGTTCAAACAGACTTCAGCCACAAAGACTGCCGCTTATCTTTTACCAAAAAAATTCTGGTCATGTCTTAATAAGTTCGTTTTTTGTTGCTTATTGGCTTAAGATTTTTAGCATATTACGAAAGCGAAGGGCAGAAAAAAAGTTTATTTAATCAATATTCTAGTACGGTGGATAGCGATTTTTTCTTGTTTTTTAAGGGTTGAAATGGAGAAAGGTGTGTTCGATGGATAAATTCAAAGCTTCATTTCGGCCTTTTTTCGGTTCTCGCGATGTTAATACTGGTTGTCTTCTGATGCTTAGCGATCTAATGTTTCTTCTTTCACAAAGCTTAAAAACCCTAATAATTTTGGTTCATTATCACTTTCATCAACTACCCTATTACTTGTTTCTCCTTTTTCGTGTTCCTCCTTGTTCGTTTTTCGTTTGACTCACTTGCTCATTGATTGTGCTTTTTGTGCTCCTTTCTGAAATAATAATAAAAATATGAGTTGTTTTAACCGTATGACTTTCGCTCCCTCTCTCTCTCCTTGATGCCTTTCACTATTGTTAATTCTTTCGACCTACTCAAACAAAAAAATCAATTTTTCTTTCATCATTTCATTATTTTTTCTTTCTTTAATTTTTACGTTTCTCGCTTCGTTCCATTACCCGAAAACTCCATTTGACGTACTGCTTTCGATTACGGTTGTATCTGTTAGAGTATGAATGAACGCTTCTCTTGTGTTGGGAATTTGAGGATGATCTGAACAAGAAAATTACTCTCAATCCCCCGCTCGAGCTTATTCGTCGCCTACAGAAGAAATATCATCAATTGCGTGTGTTTTTTCATTGTGAAAAGTGAGAATGACAAATAAAGTTTGCACCATTATCGGTGTTAATATCTCATCCCGAAATATGTTTTAAAAACAGAACTAATTGGAATGAAAGAAAAAAAAAACGGATTTTTGTTCAGTTTGCCGTGGACTACTGTACTTTGTCAGCAGTGTGGTTTCTCCTCTTCAAAATTCGTTAGAAATTGCAATTTAGAAACTTTTTTTTCTGCCATGTTCAAATTGAATTCGGCAGCTCCGAAAACATATTCACAAAAATAAATTAGTAAAAAGCTAAAAATTGGCAAGAAATTCTCAATAAGTTTGGAGTGCTATAAATTTGGAACTAGAACGTTTAATCAGACGAAACCATCCTCAAAACACGCGTACTAAGCTCTAGTTTATGGGGAAATCGGTCCCAATACACAAAAACTCACTAAATTTTAAAAACGAAAAAAAAAATTGAAAAAATGGGCGAAAGTGTCCAAAATGGTGAAGAATTTTAATTTCGCGGGAAATTGCAGCAAGCGCGCTCCAAAGCTAGCTTCGAAAATTTTATGCCGTGTTCAAAGTAATTTCCGCGAAATGCAAAATGGTCTCTGACCCTCCAAAATTTAGTTATCTTTCTCTTTCTCTGACGGCTATTTTGAATTTCGCGGAATCACTTTGAACACGGCATTACACTTCGCTCTACTGCGTGCAGGCTTGTGTGTCAGGCTTAGGCGCAGGCTTGGCCTGCGCCCTATTTAGGGATGAGGCTTTTGTGTCAGGCCGGGCTTCGAATAAATTTCAAATTTCATTTAAAAATTTTCATCGAAAAATCGTTTTTACTTGTTGAATCATAGTTTCTGATAAATTTATGAGAAAAAATAATCAGAAACACCACTTTTCTCGTTTTAAAAGCAAAAAATTCGATTTGAAGAAAATTTGAACTTTTTGGGCCGTCAATCGGAGACATTTAACTTTTCGACTTTTGAGGGTTCATAACTCTTTTCACAGAGCTCCTCGGCAGTTTTTTAGACCAGATTTGAGATCAGCATGAAAAACTACATCTAGAAAAAATGGTCTCATTGAGAGGTCTCACTGCGACCGGAGACCATTCCCTGGTGAGCATATACATAGACAGTCAAACAAGCAATTTTTGAAATTTTCAATACTTTTTAATGATTCATAAGTTGTCGGTTCGGTTTCTTTTTAACAACATGCAGCTGATTTAATTTTTTTTCTTTACTGCAGTCAAGATTTTTCCGTTTTCTCCACTGATAAAACCAAAGTATCACCTGTTCCTCGAGTTTCATAAGAATGAAATCAGCTCAGAAGTTAGGAAATTTTCAAGATTTTCTTCTCTTCTTTCCGATTGAACGTTGTTTTTATAATATTTTCAGGACTCCTGTTATATAATTGAAGGCGCACGGATTGTGAGGATTATAATTAAAACTAGCGAGGGATTTCAGAACAAAATAATGAATACTTTCTGGTCAAAAACGGAAAGTAACTTTTTTGTTAAACTAGAAAGTCAAAGAAAAAGCCGTCGCGAGGGACGAATGCAATTAGGCAATTAAGCCGTTTCCGTTCCTTTCAATTTTCTCTTGATCGAATTAGGGCCCTGGGATCTTTGGATCTTCGGACACACAAAAATTTCGGTTGCGATAAAATTAGTAGGCACTCGTTGTATGTTTTTAAAATATAGTCTCTCGCTGTCATAAATGTTTAAGGCTCATCGAAGTTTGAAGAAAAAGATCCCGGAGCAAAGATTGAACTATTCAGCGATGAAGAGAGATTTTTTTGACTAGCGGAAAAGTTTTTTTATTGCGTATTTATTAGAATTATGATGGATTCTCTTTTAGAAAATGAAATCTTTTTACTTCAGTTTTTTTATTTATGGTAATAAGCAGATAATTCAGAAAGAAATCCTGCTTCTCTTTTCGAAGAGAAATGTTTTTGAAAGTACCTTTAAGCATATATAAGCTCTTTTGAAAAGTATGGCTGTGATGAAGCACCTAAAGTTCAGGCATGGGATCGAACTCTGGCCACAAACTTGCCAATAAAGGAACTTCGCCACTTGACCATCGATCTTTAGTCAAACCACAAACTACGGAATAACCGAAAAAAAAATCCCTTTTTCGATATGGCACGTTGTGTCGTTTCGCACTCGAACTTGGGTGCCGAATTAGCCACGCCTTTATTTTCTCTGTCAATCTGCGTCTCGTACTATTTCTGAGTTTTGAGCTTTTGCTCTTTGACATTTTTCAATAGCTTCAAGAGGATTTTAAAAATAAATTTTTTTTTGGCAAAACCTCAAAAGGATTCGAACCTTGCAAGCAAAAATGACAGCCAAGAGAGTTAGCCGCTCAACTAGGAATTCCATTCAATTTATGTATAAAAAAGAGAGTTTTCAAGTATTCACTTGTTGGCAAAACACTCGAGAATCGAAATTTTGATGTTTTCGAGTGATTTTTTGCTTTTCTCTGCTCCACTTTCCCTCTTCTTTTCATCGGTTTTTCATGTTATTTGTTCCGATTTTTTCGCCAGGAAATCTAGGTTTTTTTTATTTCTTTCGAGCACTGGTTGTTTTCGGTGTTTTGAAGTATTGAAGAAAAGACTTGTTAAATTTTTCATCTGTTCTATTCTGATTCTACGGCTCAGTCTGAAAGAGCAGATGTTTTTCGAGGCAGGTGAAAAATGAAAAAAAGATCGATGAAACTAATTTTTTTAGAAAAAAACTTTTTTTAACCCTTGTCACATAAAAAAATCACATAAATTTTTTTAAAATGATTAGGAAAAATTTCCACATCTCTGGACTCCATCTTCTACTGCGTAACTCCCTCTCTGTTTCTATTGAACCCTTTAGTTTGATGCCTCTTCTCAAAAATCTTGAGCAGCAAGTCGCAGAAAAAGACGAGTCAGAACATTCTGTCTCTCTGCTCTCTCTCTTCTCTCGCCAACCTCTCTTTGTTTCTCCGGCACACTCCTCTCTAGTCTATCCCTCACTCTGATTCTTGAGCAGAAAGCAGAAAAAAAAAGTCTATTCAGAACGTTCTGCTTCTCCGCGCTCTCTCTTTTCTAGCCGCCTTCCTTCTCTCCATCTGTAAGACTCTCTCTTCTCTCTCCCAGCACCCAAAAGCGACAAACACTTCGCGATCAAAGTCTAAACACCGAGAAGGCCTAAGGAAGTCGATAGGAAGATTTTTGGATTCAGATAAATATTTTTCTCGTTATGGCCAAGGTCCTACCAGACTCGATTTTTTGCTTTCGATGCTTCCGAAACCGGTTTCGCTGGAGTAGGATTTGAAAAACTGCAATTTTGAATATTAATACCCTATGTTCATATTTAGAAATTTTAATTTCCGTCTATCGTTCTTTTAATTCTGTAATTTTAGGCTAAAGTTGTTTTTGATCTTCTCTAAATCTCTAGGGATTCTCCTAGGAGCCCGGAAAAAAAGGCCAATCATTGATATCCGACAGAATTTTTTTGCCGCAGAAAAAAACAAGTCGGAGAATGGAACAAACACAATATTTTTTCCCGCGCAGCTCTTCCTCCAGCTTTTTCTTTTTTTGTTTTTTTCTAGAAAAAAAATGTTGAATTTTTTTGTTTTGATTCATTGACAAATGTAAAAAAATTTAGTTATATATATTTTTTTACAGTTATGTTCTTGGTTTTTAATTTCAAAAAAACTTTGAAGACTTCTAATTTTCTACTTAGAATCTCTTTTCGAAATTTTTTTCTTTTAGCATTTCATGTGGCCTAAATAGGCATCAAAGTCCGACCAAGCCATCGTAATTCATTCTTTGCAGGGCTTAGACTAATTAATCAGATCATACAACATTCTACGATAGAAAATCAAAGATTTTGGTTTAGTAAAACATATTTTCACTAGTTTTTGTCATTTATGAAGATTAATTCAGAAAGTTTTCTTATCCTTTCCGCGTACAAAAGCGACGCCGCCCTTCTTTATAGCTTTATATCATTATCAGCGTTCACATCACTTTTCCGAGTTGCCCTGTTATTCATGATTTGTGGTGATCGAATCTTTGACTCTAGTTCGGACGGGAACAGTGAAGCGGAACTTTTCCCTGATAATTTTCAAGGGTGTTTGGGGAAATCGAAATAATGAGCAAGTAAGCGTTCAAAAGAACAGTTGATGAGGCGAAAAGATTATTATTTTTTCATCTTTCTTATCAAAAATTCGAAAAGTTATGAGTGAAAAGAAATGACTTATGATGGCTTTAGAAGATCTTTTGAACTTTGCAGTCGTTTTTTTCTTTTGATCTAACGGTCTCTGGTATTAGGGTGTCCGGTTAGAAATAAGCGGTTGTGTTATAGTTCATCTCACTAAAAATATTCTAAAAATAAGTAAGTCTGAGAAATAATTTCCAAACGCTGATATGGTTTTTCATCGACGTCAATGCCGAATGAACTGTAAAAAACTATAGTGGCTACTTGAGCGGATCCTCAAGGACTACTTGGAGAGTACACTAAAATTACCACTATAGAGGCCACTAAATTTCGTCTTAGTGGAAACTATAGTAGCTTTTAGTGGTCAGTACCAGTTAGACTTCTGAAAAGGCCACTCAATTTTAGCCATTCGAGTGGCCACTAAATCGACTATTATACTGGCCCATGAAACGTCAAAACCCTAAAGTGGTCACCAAAACTTTTCGCAGAATGTCCTTTCAATCCTATCTTACTTAGGAAAGAAATATGAATCGAAAACCCAATGCTCTTTCAACAGTCCAACCAAATATATAGATTTACAGGTTTTTTCCAAGTTCTTAGAAACTGTTGATCCAACTGGTTGGTTGGCTGACTCTCCTGTGTGCGTTCACTGATTCTTTGGACAAACGTTGCCTCCCATTCTAAATGACGTCATCAAAAGCAGCCTGCAGAAGTGATTCTATTTTGCAAAAAAAGGAGAATGAAACCGCCCATCTTTCGGAGGATTCACGATCCTTTTTTGATAAGATAATGACTGAATTTTTTTTCTTTTTCCTTTTTTGATAAGATGATGATTTTATCATCTTTTTTTGTTGCGGCGTTTTTTTTTTCGCTTTTTCGAATTTCCCTGATCTTATTCATTAGTGGCATTTAAAGGCATAGGGGTAGTAAAAAATGGGGTTTCAGGTGAAAGCAGTATCTTGTATAGTTTTTCTTTGCGAATCCAACGGTGTACTCAAAAAAATTACAGATGTGACAACTCTGGAAGAAAAACGCGATTTCACTTTCCCGCCTTTTATTTTGAAAAAAGCTTTGGATCGGTGCTCAGACAACTGATTACAGTAGCTGTGCACGCGATGTTGCGGACGTCTCATTAGACTCGCATTTTGTGAGAAATAACCGGCTATCTGCTCCAAATTAAGAGTTTCGTCTCTGAAAAATCGATTAAGAAAACAGAAAAAACACAATGATATAAAGAAAACACAAAACAACGCTATCCCAATCGAAACCTGCGTAAAATCATCATTTTTCACCAGAAAAAGAATTTTTGCAATCAAAGTTTGCAAATTATACATGAATAGAAAGCTTTTGTGACGGAAAGAACTTTGATGACAACAGAAAAAATTAAAATTGAAAGAAACGGAGAAAAAAGCGAAAATCCGAAAAACGGGGAAGCCTGTTGTCCATAGAGCAACTTTACTGCAAAGCGCCCTTTTCGCAGGAACTCAATGCCGTGTTCAAAGTGATTCCGCGAAATTCAAAATAGCCGTCAGAGAAAGAGAAAGATAACTAAATTTTGGAGGGTCAGAGACCATTTTGCATTTCGCGTAAATTACTTTGAACACGGCACAAGCTTTCCTTTCTCCGATTTTGAATTATTTTTTCTTCAAAACTAGGAAGTTCGGTACGTTCCCAAGTTTACCGTTCGATTTGCAATGAAAAGCTCTACAAAGTACTGCTTTGAACTGAAACACCGTTTTTAACTGCCCCTATGCCTTTAAGGAAAAAATAAGAAAGACAAGAAAATGTATTGTCTTCCGCCAGTCTAACGATTTTATCGACCGGAAAAGCTTATCAAATTGAAATTCGAAATCGCTGTAGAGTTTTTTTGTGACCCAAGCCGCCGCCAAGGCGATTCGAACGGAACAAAGTGATTCCATCGATTTCTTCTTCGTTTTCAGCCGCCGCCAACCCGTTTGGTTGTTCTTTCAGCGACACTTTTTTTTCTTTTAATATACATCTATCCTCAAAATTTTCGGCTTCAATAATGTTAAATATCAACTTTCTTCATTAAAAAAAAAGTATCATTTTTGATCTAGATCAGGAAATTGATTATTGGTTTCAGTTATAGACCAAAAAATTTCAGTTTACTGACCAAATTATTTCGCAAATCATTTTAAATTATAAATTCATTTATTTAAACGGACCCTATTTAGTTCGATTTGATTGTTTTTTTTGTTGCGCAGAACCAGAGAATTCTCACATTTTTATGTTGTTCTTCAGATTATCCCACCCAATTTAGTCCCAATCAATCTCAATTACACTCAATTACGCCTACTGGTGCGCCACAACTCTTTCTCTGACACACACTATTTCGTCGTTATTTAGCTCCGAGAAAACGACAAAATAGTGTATGTCAGAGAAAGAGTTGTGGCGCCCTTCTGGCGCTCCATGTCAGAGGCGTTCGCTGTTCCAATTTTCGACGAAAGTGCGCTCCATGGAGAACCGTGAAGCCTCCCACATTCGATCTGGTTTTTCGCGTGTTTTATTTCCACTTCCAACAACGTTTCCCATTCTGTTTTTTTTTCTATTGATATGTTGCCAAAATTGTTTGACTTCCGTGCATTGAGAACCCACGCGATTATGGTTTCATAACGTGAGAAATACGTCTGGAGTTTTTCAATTTTCTCATTATTATCGATTTTTTTCCTTCTTTCTTATATTCTCCAGGCTCCTGCTGCACTTTCTAGTTTAAATGAAAGGGTGTTCCAACTATATAACTGTGTTGTAAAATTCAGAAAATTAAGAGAAACGAGATAATGTCGTATTGATCTTTTTCATTATGTTTCTTTTTCTTCTCGTCTATTTTTTGATCTTCAGGTCTAAATATATTTGTTCTGTCTGTTGCACTTTTCCATCGTAGTTTCGGAGATTTTTTGTATCCTTGAGATAAATGTAACATTTCTACAAAAGTGGAATGATTTTTCTTACTAGACTGAAGTTACTCGGCCGCTTTTTTTTCCTAACAACTATCAGTTTGAATTTAGTTGAAGAAAAAAATGGCGAAAAGTTTCATAATTTCCGTATATCAAAGATTTCGAACCAACTTATAAGTTGGTTGTACTTATAGTTGTTACGCGTTTTTGAAAATTAAGGCTAATTTCTGAAAATGGAAAACCATTCAATGAACATTGTTGGTTTTTGTGGAGTTCTGTACTCTTTCGTCGAATAATCTGTCGCTTTCTTTGTTGTGCTTCGCTTTTTTCATTCGTTTTGCGTTGCGGACCCTTTTTTATCAATTATTGTCGAAATTCTTTAGAAACACATCGAAAACGGGGCAAAAGTGTAGTCAAGAGAAACGGAACGGCATTGTTTTTTTTCCACTGGTTTCAGCGACTTTGGAGGTGGAATGGAACCGTTTGGAGACTTTATCAACAATATTGACGGCTCTTCGGCAGCCGCTCAGAACGGCGTTTCCTCACAGACTGAAATTAAAGTGGAGGTGAACAGAGCTTGACTTTTCACATATTTTGTGCAATTTTTCGAGTAATTTAAAGTAATTGTATGTTCTTTACCCTTTTAAAATGATATTTTCTATCTCTGAAACCTTTTTAGTTAGGATTTAGATGATTTTCGAATTTTATTACTTTACTTAACTTTTGGTAAAAAAAAAAGAGGTCTATCATCCACTCCAACTGCATTTTTCGCTTGACTTTTGAGCGTATTTTTCAAATTCAAGTTTTTCGATTGAAAATAATAGGCGATCGTCTTTTTGGTATCGAATTCAAATCGACTGTCTTTACTGTTATCATTTCGAGCTTCGCAAGCACGTCATGAAGTTCTCTGGCCGTTCTTGGAATTTTTAATTTGAACAGAAAACATTCCCAGATTAATAGAAGTAGTGGAATGAGTTCCCACGGCTTTTTTTGTAATTCAATGAAAGCTGGAAAAAATTTTGCAAAAAGAAATTTTTTAAATATATAATCAAATCATTAATAATTTCAGAAAGTCACGCACAACTGGACGGTCAAAAATTTTTTTCCCATTGTTATCAAGAATATCTTGAAAATTTCGTTTATTTGCAAAGGTTTGATTTCATAATTCGTTCTTCCAATCAATAACGATCCTTTTTCAGAGGAGATGAAAATTTGACGTGGTCAATCAAAATCTACCCCAAGGGTAATGGAGAGAATAATAAAGATTTTGTATTTTTATGCCTTAATAGAGTGGTTAGTTCATTTCTCCAGCTTATCTTTATCGATTGCTTGATTCAGGTGAATAATAATTCCAAAGCGACAAAAATTGGCTTCAAGTCGTTGTTCAAACTTCGAAACGCCGAAATGAAGGAGATTGAGGTGGTTTTTTTGAGATTTGAAAATTTAGTAACTTATATTCTTTCCGAGTTTTTGAAATTGTTTTAGGTGTTTTTTTGAAAACGTTTTCAAAAGGATTTATGCCGTGTTCAAATTGATTCAAACGGAATGCAAAATTGTCTCTGAATCACCAAAATTTAGTTATATTTTTCATTCTCTGACGATTATTTTAAATTTCGCGCAATAAATTTGAACACCGCTTCAATTTGAAAGTTAGAAATAATTTTTGACGCATGATTTTAAGGCTGCTCCAACTAATATCAAGCCACTTTTAAAGCTTTCTTTTATTTGGATAATTTTTTGAGCTTTTCAAACCGATTCTCTGAAAACCTGTAAACTCCAAAAGCACCTTAAATTTTCGAAGGTTCTGTACGATCTGAACAAACTTCTTCAAATTCCAGATGCGGATCCACCCGAACCCGTCGCACTCGGACTACGTCTCCTACATCAAAAGGGACGTCCTTTTCCCGCAAATCCTGCCCCGCGACATGATCATCGTCTACGTGGAGATCGACGTCGCTGTCGAGACGATCACCACGAACGCCGAGCCCAACGTTGTCAGAATTTAAATATTTTCTTCTGTAGGGTCAGGAAAAGGTCACATGCGCGAAAATGCAAAAGCCCCTTATAGTCTGATCAGATTTTGAATGTCTTCGTAGAATGATGTTATTCAAATCGCTCTCTGATTGGTTTATCGCGCCATTAAGGGCGGAGCTTGAGCTACGGCTTGATTTACAATTTCTAAATAGATACATCAGTTCAAAGTGAATGGTGAACTTGTTGAGAACAGAATCTAACTCTCCAAGTTCTGAATACTGTCTGAGAAACTGCGCGCTGAAATTCCAATAAAAAAAGCTTATTTCGAAAATCCGTTCTCTTTCTGAGAATTCTCCTTTTTTTTGGGTTTGATTTTCGTCATTTTATTTCTTGCTGCTGTTATTCCCAAGCTTGAAGAAAATTTAATTTATTCTATGTCTTGTTCAAAACTATTCTGTCCGTTTCGAAATCCAGCTTTTCGTTTGAAGTTATTACAAAAAATGCCGAATTGGGAGCACTAAAAAGGTATTTTATCGAGAAAGCGCGAAATTCAAAATTTCGGAGAGAATTTTACGTTTTGTCTCGAAAATACGCCGAAATTAGAGTCGGTTCAAGGTTTGGATGTCAAGTACAATGACGTCATTCGAAAACGCTCTGTGGATGGATCGCGCCATCAGGGGCGGAGCTTGAGCGACGGCTTGACATTTAATTTCTGAACAGGCTCTCCTTTGGAAACAGTGTTAACGTCAAACTTGTATCTTATATTTTCTGTCTATAACAATGATTTCACAATCTTTTCTTCGTTGTTTATTTCAAAAATGGATTTTTATTTCAGTTCGATCCAATCAACTGTGAGCAGCAGCTGGTCGACGACTATCAAAGGTTATTCCGGGAAGAACTCCTCACCGACTTCACCATCGAGGTCGGAGGCAAGGAGCTCCGAGTACACAAAGCCGTCCTCGCCGCGCGGTAATTTTTAGCGGTCTATTTGATTTTTTTGGATGATTTTTCAGAATTTTGTAGAAAAAAATCCGTAAAAAAATGTTTCGATTATATTCATCGCTAATTTTCTTTTTTTTTTCAAAAACTTATTTTTCAGATCACCCGTTTTCCTCGCGATGTTGTCCCACACGGACACAAATGAGGCAAAAACGGTTCGTTTCAAGATTTTTCGATGAATTATCTGTATGAAAGACCAAATCATTCTTCGCGAAAGAAAGTTCCGGGCTTTATTGTCAAGCGCGATGGCGTCATTTAAAATTCCTCTCTAGAGTGCTCTCTCTCTCTGATTGGCTGATTGTGACATTAGGGGCGGAGCTTAAGCGGGGACGTGAAATTCGAAATCTGAAAAGCCTATATCTTATGCAGAAAAACCAGGATAATGAGTGGAGCACAAGGAACTAAATCCGTCTTCGTGGCTACAGTATCTTTCGCGTCGATTTTTTGTCACGGGAGACTATGATTCTTCAATAGAACGATGTTTTCCGATGTTTTTTGATCAAACGGACTGAAAAAATGTCAAAGAATGCAGCATTATTGAAAGATCATCGACGCGAAAAATAAGGGGTTCACAAAAGGCGGAGTTATCTGTTTGACGTTCATAATCTGACAGTTTCGGCAGGCTCCAACGTTATTGATCAAAGTTTGCATTGGTTTCTCATGATTATAAGGAGAGTTTCAGGGTGTGCTGACGATCTCGGACATGGACTACGACGTGGCCCACGAAATGGTCTCCTACATCTACTGTGGAAAGACCTCCAAGGACATTTCCGAGATTGCCACAGACCTGCTGATCGCGGCCGACAAGTACCGACTCGAAGAGCTCAAAAGCCACTGTGAGAAGTACCTGGCCGAGAACTTGGCCCCGGAAAACGCCTGCACTCTTCTCATTCTGGGCGACGTCTACGGGGCTCCACGGCTACGGGCTCGTGCAGTCCATGTCAGTGCTAGAAAATTTCATAAATGAATAAGATTTGGAAGGAAACGTCATAACTTCTCCCTTCTTTCAAATTCTTACGGGGAAGCGCGATAAGGTTAGAAGGAGGGCTTTACTTTCAAAACTTTGTAAATGAATTAAATAATTTTTAACTTCATGGCGGTAGTGTTTACCAGATTTAAATCACAGGATTTTTAAGAATCGCAAAAAAAAATCATTTAAAGTTTTTTTTTGATAAGTTCTTTTGAGCTTTTCAACGGAGATTAGATAGATATTCCAATATCTCAAGGGAAAAGACGTTTTCAAACAATTTGAGATAATGTTTTTGAACAAAAGTTATTCAGATGCCATGTTCAAACCTATTCCGCGAAACAGTCAGAGAGTGTAAAAGTTGACTGAATTCTGGAAAGATAACTTTCATTTTGCGAAAATGACTTTGAACAAGGCAGACGATTTTTAAGATCATGGATAGATCAAATTTAAGTTTTCACGTTGCTTAGTCTTTTTTTTAAGTTCATCCTGCGACATCCGAAGCAGATCACCTCGACGTCAGGCTGGGAGGAAATGCTGAAGCGACATCCGACGCTGGTCACCGACGTCGTCAACCAGTTCGACAAGACGTCAGGCATCGCCGCCGGGATCTCCGTCACTGCTGGAGGACCTCCGTTAGAAGTGCCTGGCGGTCCGGCTTCCGTTCCGGCCGTCGTCCCGCCGCCGGCTGGTCTCTGAAGCCTCAGGCGACGTCTTCGGAGCCTGATGACTCTCTAATCCGTAAGAGTGCTCTGGGGAGAGTTCGTGTAAAATGAATATTGGATCTAATCCGTAGAAAACAGATTTTCGAACAGCTTCCGAAGTAGAATTCATGAAAGTTTAGCTTTTTAAAATTCTGATTGGCTAGTCACGCCCATAATTGGCCTTTTTCATATCGATGGTTCATCACATTGCTGATTTTCTCATAAGTTATTTTTGAAGAACTGATGAGCTATGGCTTTCTTTTCACTACATGTTTAAAAAAATAAATCAATCAGAACGTGAGAAATCCAGGGATACAGAGATTTATTAGTCTCTGTGTTCCACGCAAAATTCTTAATTAATGTGTCCAAACTTTACATTTCTTTCCAAATTCTCTTTGAAAAACGTGTTCTTTGAAAGTCAATTCAAGTCTTTTCTCATGCCTAGTTCTATGCATTGATTCTTCTTTTTTTGTCCGTTTACGTTCTCGTGTATATTTTTGCTATTTTCATCGACTGATCTGCTTTGCTATTGTATTTTTTGACCTTTCGATTTTATCTGTCATCTTTTCTCTATTTCCAACCGATACGACCATAACCAATATTCCTGTTCATTCTTGTCATAATCTTTTGTTTCTTTCTTCTGTGCTCCGCCCCGCAATAAGTATAATTTTATAACCGAGTGCTTGTGCCTCTTCTCTCAGCCAAATTCGATTTTTTTTTTCTCATTTTATAGCAAGAGCTTTACTAAAAAATATTATATATTCCTTATATGTTTTTCTTGTTATTTGCGGATTATTGATGTCGGGAATGAAGTGTTTCGGAATAGAAAGTTGATCTCGAGGTTGCTGATGATAATCTATCATTCGCGAGAATTTTTATGCAAAAAAAGTTCGTTGAAAAAATCTCTGTGAGTACTAACCGTTTTTAGAAAATCAGGAGATCGGAAATTCATAATGAGAAAACTTGTTTTTAATCGGTGAAAAAGACTCGTTCTTGTTCCAAATTCTCAGATTTTTCATTTTATAATATTTTTTTTGAGCTGAATCGAGTAACTTTTTGTCAATAGTCCTGTTCCAATTCTGACAATCTTGTTCGTCAGATCTATCGGTCAGCTGAGGAATTATGAAGAGGCAGCACAGCGGCAAGGTTGGGCTTTTTATTGAGTTCGAAGTCATTTCGTCTTTTTTCATTTTCTAGTTCGCCTTCAAAACCGCCCATTTTTGTAAATGAAATAGTTCGAAAATTTGATCAAATCGCAAAAATTGTAGTCATAAGAAGGGAAGTTTCTTCCACTTTCTGAACCGAGTTTTTCATGATAATCGTCAATTTCTTATCCTTCAAAAAATTCAGAAGGAAAATTCTTTGTTAAACAGCCCAGTATGAACTTTTTGAACAAGTTTTGGACTTAAAAGAACATTTTTTGAAACGAATTTTTGATAGGCTGACCACGCCTCTAATTTTCGAAAAACTGAAATTCGTTTCTGAGAAAATCATTTCAAATTCACGGCTAGCTTGGGAAGCTAAGGGAGCGTGGCCTGTCTGCGCTCTCCACGAGCCAGGCACTCTCGCGTGCATTATCGTGTCAGGACCCTTATTTTCATCATGAAAGTAATCTTTGAATAATCGGACAGGCCAAGGATGAGGTAGAAGAGATGAAAAAGCTTCTGGAGTGCGGCAGGAACCTTGAGAGGAACTTTTGGTCGTCGCTGGTCAAGATTGACCCGCCTTTCGGGGAGTTCGGCCTTCGGCAGGACATCAGTCGGATGTTCGAACACGGGCTCCACACGGACTTTTCCGTCGTCGTGGAGGACCAGGTCATCCACTGTCACAAGTGTGTTCTTGCTGCCAGGTGCGTGACCTGTCGGGCAGAACAAACATCTTTATTTTTGTTCAACAGTGTGAATATTGCATTTATCTTAAGGCAAACATTGTACCGAGTTCGAAGTAATTTATGCGACTTCCATATTGACTTTTTGTTATTTTAAAATTATTGCGCAGAATCTTCAGAACTCTTAAAAAAATTGGCGACGAAATTTTCATTTAGCAATATTTAAAAAAAAAAACCTCTTTCTTATATAAAATGAAAATTTAGTATTCTCACTTCTCATTAGAGAAACGCTTTGTATGACTCAATCCGCGCCAGCTTGTCACGATTTTCGTTTTTCTCGGAGCTACAGAACCCCTTCCTTCTATGCGCTGGGCGTTTGTCTTGCATGCGCCTTTAATATAACGGAATTTTCAAGCCACAAAAAGGAGTATGTTCAGAAATAGACCGGGCTTTGAACGGAATAATTTTTTTCAGCTTCACGGAAAACAAATCGTGACAAAGCTGGCGCGGGGGCATATTACAGTATAGCCCCCCGCATATGTTGGATATCACCCCCCGCGACACGTTCGAACAAGCCCCCCACACTTATCCAATATAGCCCCCCGGAACTATCCAGTATAACCCCCCCACACCGAAAAAAAAGGTCATGCAACGATCACGCAGGACACGTGTCAGAGCTTCCATTTTTTTAATTTATTTTCTAATTTTTTTCGTATCATTCGTCGTTCTTGGTTGTTTCAAATGGTTTTTTTGTATTTTTCGCATGTAAATTCGTGTTCTTTTTGTGAATTTAATAATTTTTTTGTGATTTGATTTGTAGATCATGGAAGAAATCAGGTCGCTGACCGAGTTTCATGAGAAGTTCAAGTCAGACAAAGAAGTTTACGGGTACGTCTCGCCGAGATACGTACGAATATCATAAAATTATGGGGCTCTGACCACTTAGAAAAATTTAAGATGAACTTTATTAGTTTTCAATAAAGTAATTGTTCTGAGGAATAGAATTTTTTGCTTTTTCTTTTCATGCACATTAATTAATAAATTACTTAGGAAAATAGGCTTAGTTTTAAGGCTTCACACGGAGGCGGAGCGCGCATAGCGCGAAGCCGACTGTGGCTCGCTTCGAAAAAACTGAGCCACAGTGAACAATTCGTCAAATAAATAAAATACTTGACATGGAGGGGGGTCATTCTGAAATAGAGGGGGCCATTCTGAAATGGGAGGGGGCCATTCTGAAATGGAGGGGGCCATTCTGAAATGAGAGGGGGTCATTCTGAAATGGGAGGGGGCTTGTTCGAATGAGCTCTGGGGGGACTATTTCAAAGCCGTGCGGGGGCAAATATGAAAGATTGCCTAGGCATTTCAGAATCGCCCCCCGTTTTTGTACTGCGGGGGGCCATTCTAGAATACATATTCACCCCCCGCGTTCGATTCCCCACATGAAGTCCTCTTATTTTACCCCCCGCAGATCGGAACTTGGCTTGGTGGGGGGCTTGTTGGAACGCGGGGGGCAAAAATCAGTGGGGGGGGCGATTCTGGAATTTTTCCCCTGGCGCGGTATGGGATATTTTTTTCGGGAAAGGTCCTTTACAATACGAAAAAAATAGTGTTTTTTTTTAAAAGAAAATATTCCGTGATTTGAGTATAATGGACTCATTTTCAGATCACCAGTCTTCTGTAGAATGCTGTCACATCCCGAGACGGCAGAAGGAGTTTTGGTCAGTTATTTTTCAATAAAGTGTAGTCAAAAATGATTTTTGGACGAGAAATTCTGAACTTGGTACGTTTTTGAAGATTATTTTTCTGAATAAGAGTCGAAAAAAAGTTTGGAGTGATGCGTTTCGGTTACGAGAACGTTGAATTCTGTGTTCTCATGTTTTTTTTATTTCATAGGACTCCTACTCCACATTTATCTGAAAGAATTCAACTTTTGTGAAGCTCATCGCTGAAAAAGAGCTTTAAAAAAGGATTATTTTTCTCATTGACTTTGTTTATTTCGCCCACAGACCAATAGAGGGGAATCACTTCGAAGTTTTCAAATTTTTTTAAGGGTATGGTGGAGATCAATGACATGGAGTACAAGACGGCAATGGAAATGATGCGGTTCATCTACCGCGGGACGATTTCGGACGACAAGGACCTCTACAAGAAGTTGATGGCGGCGGGCGACAAGTACGAGCTGGAGGACCTCAAGCAGTACTGCGAGAGAAGGCTCGCCCGAACTATTTCCATCGGCAACGTCAGCGAGATGGCCGCGTTCGCCGACCTCCACTGCGCCGGACACCTTCGTCGGGCCGTTGTCAAGGTATTTGAACCGGGAGAAACGAACAGTAGGAGTAATTAACACGCTGTCTCTGTAACTGTCAAAAACAACGGGTACAAAAAAAAAATTTATTTTTTGATTCTGATGAAACTTATTCCAGTGTGATAACCAATCATCAGAAATGCGGACGCAACTTTTTGAGCCATTTCTTCCTACTGTAGCCGGATTACGGTAGGCAGGTGGGCACCTGCGTATCTAAGTATTGAAGAGTTTTACTAGGCAAGTGATATATATATCGATAGGTAATCAAATTTTAAGAACTTTTACAGTACATACCATTTTAGGTTACTGTAGGAATTTTTCGAGTTACGGTAATTTTTTTGTGTTTGTAAAGTAGGTTTTTTTCGGTCACCCTGGTCGTGGGCGTAGAATCGCATCGTAATTACTCACATGGAATATGTCTTGTAGTATGTTCTAAACAATGCCACAAAAAAAAGTTCGAATTTCTAAACCCGTCATCTCGAGATTTCACTCCGAACGCGCGCAACTTGGCACTTGGCGGCCAGGGTTGGTCGGGGTTGACGATTTTTCACATTTTTCTTTTGTTAGATATTGGTGTAAACCTTTTTTAGATTATAACTACAGTATGTTTTGTAACATTCAAAGTGGTTTGAAGAGATCTGTACGCTACATATTTGGCCGAAACTTTGTTTTGAACTCTACTTTCGCTTGAAAGAACGCGATTCGCTTTGAAAAGATGGGTTTTTTAAAATTTCCGGCAGTCCCGCAGTTTCCAAAGCTATCAATTATGTAACTGACATATTCTATGTAAAAATTTATATAGTTTTTTTCAAGTTTTACCGTACCCGTCCAACCGAAATTTAGCTTTGAACTTATTATTGGCCTAAAAAAGCAATATTTACTTTGAAAAAACCGGTTTCTGAAAATTTCCAACTGTACCGCTATTTCCAAAGCTATCAAAAATGTAGCTGACATCTTCAAGGTGCACATTCATGAGACTTTGCTTGACTTTTGTCGAACCCGTCTGGCCTAAAGCTCTCTTTGAACCCTATTTTGGCTTCTTCGGCGGGTTTGAGGTTGGACTTTTTTTGGCAGCTGAATTTCTGTTAGGCTTTTTTTTGCATAAAAATGTTACTTCTTGCGATGTACGGATGAGAAAGAAGCTACGAGGCTCATGAATGTGCACCTTGAAGATGTCAGCTACATTTTTGATAGCTTTGGAAATAGCGGTACAGTTGGAAATTTTCAGAAACCGGTTTTTTCAAAGTAAATATTGCTTTTTTAGGCCAATAATAAGTTCAAAGCTAAATTTCGGTTGGACGGGTACGGTAAAACTTGAAAAAAACTATATAAATTTTTACATAGAATATGTCAGTTACATAATTGATAGCTTTGGAAACTGCGGGACTGCCGGAAATTTTAAAAAACCCATCTTTTCAAAGCGAATCGCGTTCTTTCAAGCGAAAGTAGAGTTCAAAACAAAGTTTCGGCCAAATATGTAGCGTACAGATCTCTTCAAACCACTTTGAATGTTACAAAACATACTGTAGTTATAATCTAAAAAAAGGTTTACACCAATATCTAACAAAAGAAAAAAATGTGAAAAAAATCGTCAACCCCGACCAACCCTGGCCGCCAAGTGCCAAGTTGCGCGCGTTCGAGTGAAATCTCGAGATGACGGGTTTAGAAATTCGAACTTTTTTTGTGGCATTGTTTAGAACATACTACAAGACATATTCCATGTGAGTAATTACGATGCGATTCTACGCCCACGACCAGGGTGACCGAAAAACCTACTTTACAAACACAAAAATTACCGTAACTCGAAAATTCCTACAGTAACCTAAAATGGTATGTACTGTAAAAGTTCTTAAAATTTGATTACCTATCGATTGATATATCACTTGCCTAGTAAAAACTCTTCAATACTTAGATACGCAGGTGCCCACCTGCCTACCGTAATCCGGCTACAGTAGGAAGAAATGGCTCAAAAAGTTGCGTCCGCATTTCTGATGATTGGTTATCACACTGGAATAAGTTTCATCAGAATCAAAAAATAAAATTTTTTTTTGTACCCGTTGCTTTTGAAACTTTTTGAAAATTACAGAGACAGCGTGTTAAGCTCTTTTGAGAATCTTTTTGAGAGGGTATATTTCTAAAGCGGAAGGAAAGCTATAGCTGATTAACGGCTTGCTTGAGCCATCGAAAAACGGGTCCTGACACGATAAGAAGAGACAGTGCCTGGTTAATAGAGAGTGCCGAGAGCCTTTTTGCGTTCTAAGTCAGCCGTGAATCGGCTATACTTCATTGAAAGCAGGTCTTGGCATATAGTCTGACCAGTTTTTGAATGTCAATTCATCGCTCAAACTCCGCCCTTTATGCGTGGATCGAACCAATCAGAGAGCGGGCCTTCTACAGAGCGTTGTTGGGGGCGGAGTTTGCTGCTTGACATTGAAATTATAAACAGACCATACTGCTTTCATGGCGGGGTAAAACGTGAAAATCAAGCGTGAAATGTAATACGAAAGTATCGAATTTACACGTTTTAGTAATATTGTATTCAATATCAGTTAAAAAAGACAAAAAAAATTTGAAAAAACAAAGATTCTCTTTGAGAAATGGCGAAAACTTTTCTCAAAAAAAAAAAGCTATTCTGAAAAAAATTTAAAAATTATTTTTTTAAGCTCTTTTGCTTTTTTGTCGATTTCGTTCAACTTAAAAGTTCGGGTTCTATATTTTATGTGTAGAAAAGAAGAGCTTGCTTTGAGAAAGTTGAACTGTCAAATAACTGCTTTTTTGTACTTTTCAAAGCCTAAAAGATGCTCATCACATCATTTTCCATTTTTAGTATCCAAACTTACAGTACATCGCAAATAACATGCAGCTGGTCGCTGAAAACCAAACTTTCTATGAGATCGTCTCAAACAAAGAGCTGGTCAAGGATGTCCTCATTCAAGCTTCCTCACAGTTTTGAGAAACATGATTTTGAAGCCAAATATTCTTTCTTGTTTTGTTTTCCTTTCCAAAATACTACTGCCACTTTGTTTTTCCCTTTTCGAGGGATTTGATTTGAACCAAATCTTTTGAATTTTTTGTCACTTCCTATTGTAATCTTGACTTTTGGCGAAAAATTTGGATTTATGTTCTCATTTTGTCATTTTTTGTTTTTTTCCCCCAATTCTTCTTTCAAAAAGTACGAATTCTATCGATACTTCGTATGAAGGGACCTATGGCTGATTCACGGCTGGCTTGAGCCTTCCATTTCAGAGTTCTGACACGATAAAACAGAGGCAGTGCCTGGTTGTTGGACAGCCCAGACAGTATCTTTGCGTTCCAAGCTAGCTCTCAATCGGCATCCATGGGTTCACTATTTGGAAAAGCAAAAATATTTTCAAAGTTTTCAAATCTGTCCTCTTTCTTCTGTAAAAATTCGTTATTCTTTTGTGGATCTTACATGAAACTTTTGCTAACATCCTCGTTTTTCAAATAATGAGCGGGTTCGTCGAACTGCAGGCTCGCAAGTCAGAAAAGAAATATTTACGAAGAAAAAGGACGATTTCAGAGATTCTGATATGAGAACGACGACAATGGACGAGCTTTTTGATCTTCAGAAAGTTTTCTTTTTTGCCTTAAAACTTGGTTTTTTTAAACTCAGATTTCAAATTGACGGAGCAACGAGGAATGTTCTCAAGTTAGTTATGCTGAGAAAGAAAATTGAAAAAAAAAAAGGAAAAATATGCCTCGTCACGAAAAAAAGCTTTGTATAAAATAATTTTTTTCTACAAAAAAAATTTACTTCCGCAAGGCCAAAAAATAAGAAAATAGCAGCAAAAACTTGAAAAAAACATTCACTGAAAATCAAAAAATCAGAATGAAATATCCGCCTTTGGGAAAAAGAAAAGTAATCAATGATGTTAGCGCCAATCTTCCCTGAAATCGAAACTCTGTGAATATCTCAATGATTTCACGAAAACCTGGTAGTATAAAAGGCAAATCGAAGTTCATCAACGAGGGGCCGGACAGCGATAAATTCGCCCCAGCCGTCAACTTTCGAGAGCTTCTCGTTAGACACGGACAATATCTGGAATTAGAATATACCGATTTATAATTATTTTTTTCATAAACTTGAAACGGCTGCGGCATTTTGCAATTCATGCGCGAAGCGTTTTTGGCACCAATTCGGATATTTTTCGCATTTTTTTAGAGAACTTAGGATTTCCGTTGAAAAATCAAATATATTTCAAATTTGATGAAGATTTGAAAATTGTTTTTTTGAAAATCTGGTCTGACTCAAGCCCGCACAGGCTACTGCACATGAACTGCGATTCCAAGCCGTTTCAAGCCGTGCAAAGATATATTTTCGTCAGGTGATTCCTCCAAAAAGTTACCGAGATAGCTTTCAAGCGCAAGTCGTCACACTCGTTATGGTAAGCGAACACCGCCAGGGCAAAAGCGTTCTGGTCCCGCACCGATTCAGTGAGAAGCCTCAGACATTCGTTCTTGAGGGCCTCCATGTGATACTTCTTGGCAAATGCGTACATTTTGCATTGCATTTTATAATCATCATCGATCTTCTCATCATAAACATAGTCGGAAACACTTTTCAAAACAGCGAATTCTACGTCATCGAGACGGAGAACTATCTGAAAGAAAACAATCATTGAAATAACTTCAGTTTTCAAAAGATCGCTTCTAAGACCCAAACTCACTGGTTTATCCGGATATGCTGCGAAAATATGCTCGAAGACGGGAGATCTGAAGTTTTTTTATATTATCTCTCGAATTTCGAAAACAGGATGAGATTAACTAGTTTCTATGCACCTGCACGCCAAAACGGTTGTATGAAATTCGATCGACTGGCCCTCGGCGATCACTTTCAAATCTCTCGGAAGCAAGTCGTCCAACATTCTCAGAAGCGAGTCCATCGTTGCTTTTATCTGGAAGAGGCTTCATTTAGTTTTGAAGAAAGGTAAATTATTCCAGAAATAAACGAGAAAACACCCGGTAGCACGAATAGTATGAATGGCAGGGAAGGACGCCGAATCGATGATGACCTAGGTCAACTCGGTCTCATTGAGCATCGTTTCTTCGATTGATATGTTGACTGCTTTGCGACAGAGTGGAAAGTGAAAAATGTTTCAAAATCAATGAAATCCGAAGAATTTTACGGAAAATATTACCTAAAAACAAGTTTTGAAAAGGTTGATAGCGAAGATTTTTCTACCCGCATTTTATTTTTTTGCTCAAAAACTTCTTGATGTGCCAAGATAAGATTCTGGAATACCAGCGCAACTTTCTAATTTCGAGAGCTCAAAGCCCTGAAATAGCCTTTTCAACGGGTTTTAAGGTCTAGTCTGTTACTGAGATGTCCTTTCTCAAACATTGGAAATTATGATGATCGTCTTTCTGATTTTTTTTTTTGATCTTCCAAAGAGCGTTCTGGCCAATGTTCAGAAAACTATTAATGGATAAGTAAAATGACCTCTCTTGTGAAAGCTAAAGTTAAGCGAAGGTTATAACTTAATTTTTTAAATTGAATCCAAGGTTTGAAAACGATTAGCGTGCAGAAAATAAGAAATATGAGTGGGAAAATCGGTTTGAAAAAAAAAGACAATAGAAACGAGTAGGTTGGATTAGGCCTCTTATTGATTTTATATAAGAGTCGGGAGCCTGTTATTTGGCTCACGTTAATTATAAAGGCTCTCGGACTGATTGGGCTAGAGATGGGCGTTGCTGGGGAGACCAGTCTGTCCCAGGTCACGCCTGGTGTAGCGCCATTTCCCTCCCCTTCATGCCGTTTGTGCTGTGTTTCTCGTTCTCCCTTCTTCACTTATTGGGATACAATTCATTTACCGCTCGCTTGATAAAAGTTTGAATTTCAGAGTTTCTTGGGAAACTAGGCAGCCGATATATATTGAAACCTTCTGGAATTCCAGAATTGCCCATTTTCAGATAACGTACCGTCATGGACGTATTCCAGCGAATGTTGGACGAGAAAGTTTACACCAACTTGAATGTTACTGCAGAGGGCCAGACGATAGGAGTCCATAGAGGAGTTTTAGCGAGCAGGTGACTTTTGTTCTATATATTTAGGGACCGCAGGCCAATTTCCAAAGTCAGTGATATAAAGTTGAAACCTATATGAAAAGAAAGCTGATGGCAATCGAAAGCTAACTGCGAAAACAGAAAAGAAAAATATGAAAAATGAAAAAAGTTATGAGCAAAAGAGTGGCGAAATCGGGGGAACCATTTTTGTGTAGAAACTTTCGTAAGGGTCGCAGGAAAAGGGGCGTGTTTATAGATACCGCGCGCTTCTTGCTGCGCGTAAATTCACCCCGGAGAAGTTTCGAAAATATATTAATTTGAGTTTTTAAATGAAATGTTGGAGTTTTCATATTGAATACTTTTCCTATTCAATATGGGGCTGCTCTTCGAACACTCAGACTGCTGAAAAGCGAGTTTTGAAGAATATTTCCAACGCATTTCGTAAAATAAGAGAACAACCAACGAAATAAGACAATTGCATAGAAGGAACAGCGAAAAACCGAATTAAAAAAATGCGAAATTCTACATAAACATTTACTGAAGAATATGTATATATGAATAATCACTAAGTCATTTTTCAGAGACATTTTGAAAAAAAAGCGCGAAAGCGTTTTTACTTTTGATTTTTTACATCTTCCATTTTCCTTTGAACGATGAGTGTCTACATGACCTTCTTTTTCATGAGATTCTGTGAAAATTCGAAAAAAATTTAGTAAAAAGCGAAATTTAATATTTTTTTGCTGCTATAATGGATATAATTACGCTGGAAAGAATTCCTAATTGTAAAAAGGAGTCAAAAGTTTTGCCTAAAACGACGATGAAGTAATCATAACTCATTCTAAACTTGAATAAAATACAAAAAAACAACTTTAAAAAAAGAATTTTTCACGCTTTCGAAAAAAATTTCGGGCCCTACGCGGTGTCTGCAGATTTCCAGCGACGCGCAATTTCTATTATCAAACTTGAGCGTTCAAATCAACCATACTTTTTCAGGGCCATCCTTGGAATTTTTTTATTTTTTTGATATGTTGTAGAGAAATGTCTAATCTTTGATATTATAAAATAAAAAACTTGCCCAGAACGCTTTGGGCCGTTTTTCAAAGCGTTACAAAAAAACGAAAAAAATTTAAGCTTTCATATGAACTATATAGTCGATGAAAAAAACTTAGTTTTTCTCTTTTTAAAATTTACAATCAACTGCAAACAACCGTTTAAAAAAATATAATCAGTAATTATCGATTGCGTTTTTCGAAAATAGGGAATTTCGAAAATCGCGATTTTCAAACTGCATTATTTTTTGAGGCCAACCATAGAATTTTTTTATTTTTTGCCAGATTATGCGTTTTTAGTTGCTTCATGATTTTCAAGAATAAAAAAAGTTGCCCAGAAACTTTCAAGAAAAAACGGGATTTTCATCCGTTTTCGGCCACAAATGCGTTTTAAAAACTGTCGTCATACATTCTTATTTCTTATTTTTCAGTATTTTCTTCTATGTAGGATTGTTAAGCATAGTCGATTGTATGTTTCCCTCAATTTTTTTCCGAATCGGTACAAGGAAACTGTTTTAAAATGTTTGAAACAATCAACATGCAACGAAAATGACGACGTTTTTTGAACAGCGAAGTGGGCGTGGCTCTGCGGCCCCTATATATATTGGAATAATTGATATTTTTTCACCTTTTTTTGAAGTTTTATTATCAATTTTTTAGGTCTCCCGTGTTTCGAGAGATGCTCGAAAAAGGAACGAAGGTAATTTCTTGGAATTTAAAGCTTTTCTACTCCATTCGCCACGGCTTAAAACATATCTCACTTCTCTACGCTCTCTTTCTCTTGAATATGACTGGGAGGGAGAGCAAGACGCAGATATTTTGAAGCCGTGGAGAGGGGAATATAGGCTCTGAGATTCTAGGTTTACAGGTTAAAATAACCGTTTTTCAGGAAGAAATCGAATTCGAGGACCTGGAATTTGAAACGCTCCAACATTTCATCAACTACATTTACTTCAAGCCGATCGTCGTTGATGAGACGATGACTTGCAAGTTGTTGGCGGCGGCCGAGAGATACGCGGTGGATGATCTCACGCAGAAGTGCAAGGAGGACGTCGACTGCTTCCTGAAGATGGAAAACGCCTTCAATGTCGCTGCACTGGGAGACTCCCTCAAGTGCCGGACTTTGCAGAGCAAGGCGGCAGAGGTTTGAAGAAAGCTCCGAGATTCCCGATCCCAGGCAAACCCGGGGAAGGTGGTTGGGAGCAGGATCGTGCTAGGCAGCTTATCGGTCCTTTCCCAACCTAGTTCTGCCTTAGCGAGGCCTCAATCATGAAAGGTCGGACCGATCCCAAAAGCGCAAATTTTTTTCAAGTCAAAAATCTTTTTTGGCAAAAATCGCGGTTTTGGTTCTTTTTTTACTCAAATTTTAGCTGAAACTATGCTTTAATTAGTGAAAAGAAATTTCTTCCCGCAAAAAAAGCCCAAGTCCCGGCCCAGCCTTTATCGTAAAGGGCAACTAGCAGCTCTTGAAAAGGCCTTCGGCAGGTGTTCAGAAGGTAGTTGGAAGGCCCTCTGTGGTGAAAATTGAAAATTACGCGCAGGGCAGATGTTAACAAGGTGTTTGATCACCTGCTGGAACCTTTCCAAACGCTTTCCAAGAAACCCAAAGCAAAAGCTTTCCAAAAGCTTTCCAGGATTTGCCTGAGTTCATCCTTGAGATCAATAGCAGCCTGAAAAGAGGCCAAAGAAAGAGAGTAGCTCCACTTCTTCGAGATCGCTTCCACTGGAAGCCTTCCAGAATGCGTTTTGAAAGACATTGAAAAAAGAACAAGAATTCACTCTTGGAAAGTTGTATAATCCATTGAATGTGTCTTATAAGTTATAACACTCAGCTCTTTTTTTTGTCGGTTTTTTATAGGTTTGAGTCAAGCAGGGTACAAAAAATTTCAAAAAAAAAGAAAATTAAATGTTCTCTTTTTTCAGTTCATCGCCGACATCCTTTCAAAATTGGTCATGCCCAGCGCTTTCAACAAAGTTGTTCCGGATCACGATTTCGTCAACTCTGTTCTCGAAAAAATCACGAGAAAAGAAGAGGAGAGGCGACGAATAGGAAATAATCGATTTGAAGAACATTCTTTCACAGAAATGTGAGTTGCTTATTTCGTGGCGAGTATTCTCTAATGAACTAATCAGTTTTTCCGCCCCTCGGTAATGCCAACCGGACGCGCTCCGGACGTTTCTGAGCGTTTCTAGTGAGCCCTCGAGGGTTCTGAGGCCGCAAGGGTGGTTACTAGAACTATTTAGACTCGCGTTACCCACTCGGACCTTGGCAACGCGAGCCGGAAGCGATTCGGACGTGACGCATCATTTCTGGTTATCAGATAGCGTAAGTACTTTTTAGTGGCTCCTAGAATTGCTCAGAAACGTCCGGAGCGCTCCCCGTTTTCGTTACTCGGATATTAGTAATGCGAAACGGACGTTTTGGGTCATTTCTAGAGACCACTATAGTAGGGTCAGCACTCTTAAGTGATCCCTAGAAATTCTCAGAAACGTCCGGAGTTTTCGTTACCGAGATCCGAGTTCGGTACGCTAGAGCGCAGTTGTACGATTAAACGAGTTGAAAATTTATCAGGGATATTAAGAAGATTTCCAGCTTTGAGGAAAAATTTGATGAAGAGGGAAAGAAATAACCAAGAACCTTCACTAAGAATAACTGACGAGATAAACGCGAGACACTGGCGGTACATTGACGAGCTCGCAAACATCTCGCTTTTTTCCTCGCGTTTATCTCGGCAGTTATTCTTAGTGTTCGTGCGAATTCAAAAAAGTAACTTTTTGCAGACTCCAAGAAGCTGTCAAGGCAATGATAGGATGCCGAAAGCTCAAACGTATTGAAAAATCGTGAAATTTGTGTTTTTCTCTCAAATTTGTTCAAAATGATGATTTATTCCACCTTGTTGTAAATTTGTCCGAATGAACATTTTTTTACAGTATCCTTTTATTTTCTTCTATCGTTTTGACGATTATCAATACCTGTTATTGCACTTTTTTGTTTTGTTCAATTTTTTGACAAATGCTAGAAGTTTAATTTTTCCGTTACAGATGGATGAAAGTTGAGAAATTGTGCTCAAAAAGTAGAGCACGAGACGATCTTCCCAGACTTCCGATCGAGAGTCGAAGGGAAGTCGAATTTCGGCAAGAAATTCACCTGCTCTCGCAGAGTTTCTAGAATAGTAGTTGGACAGGTAAATACTTTCTCAACAGAAATAATAATAAATAATAAATACTTAGAAGTCTTTCATGATTTGCACAAAAACTTGGAAACTTCCAATATTCTTTTTCATCTTGATCTATGGCGGCTGTATGTTCTACGAGTGAGATTTTTTTCAATTTTCATGAAATAATTCTTAATTTTTTTCTTTGATGCCTTGAAGTCTGTGTAAGAAAAAAAAATTTTTCAGTTTTGAGAATTTTTGGATAGTAATGTTTATTCGCATGCAGAACGAAAAAAAAGTATAGAATAATGGTTAAAACGAGAATACTTAGTATATATATGAGCCTGTCAAGAGTTAGTTCATTCATCTACAGCTGCAGCGAAAAGCAAGATTTCCGAAAAATCGAATCGCACATATCTCAGATAAACCATGTACATCTACCGTTTTTTCGCCAAATAGTCTAGCTAAATTTGAAACTTCTTTTTTTGTCTCATCATTCCAAGACCTTTTTTTCCTTCATCTATAATTTTTTGTTATTTCAGACCGTTTTTCTTGCCAGCCTCAGCGATCGTAATATGCACTCTTGTTATCTTTCTAGTCTGCTACTTCAAAGTTATTAGGTAAACTTGATTCAAGCTTGAAAATCCAATTGCTTATTTTGCAGCTCTAGTAATCATTTCAAGGATCCGCCCGTTGTAGAAGGTTCGTTTCAAAAAAAGAAGTCTTCATGTGATTTTTGGCTTGTAGAAATTCGGAGGGCCCTTGCTGATTTTGATTTCGGGGACAATGTGGTTTGTTTGAAAATTTTACCGGTTCTTCGTTTGGCGCGAAAGTTGAAGGCAAAGCCAAGCTGGCTCTTATCTTGGAAACGAAATTGTATGACTCGTCTTTTTTGTACTGCGAGCTTGTAAAGTAAATATTTCCCTACATGACACGCGAGATGGGTATAGCCGATTCACGGCTAGCTTGAACTGTTCATTTTCAAGGATCTTTTTCTCGGTACCTTATTAGGTTCATCAGATAATTTTGTTAGTTTTCAAATACTCTTACCTGGATCTACAAACCACCTTAGTTAGAACTCGTTGCGCGACTTTTCGTTTTTTGTTTTTCTTCTTTGCCTAGATCCATTGTCAGAGACGGGAATTTAGTTTTTTATAGCCGGTAGATCAGCTTCGAAAGGCCAAGATGTCCTCCACTCTGTTAAATATGCTCATAACTGGTTTTCACTCGGATTTCGACGTTTTCGTCAAAGAGAGGAGGATTCAGATTCACAAAAGCGTCGTGGCCATTCAGTCGGTTTTGTTCCTTTCACCCTCCAGAGAAAAATAACCATGAGCATTTTATTTACTTTATAAAAAAAAAATTAGTACCCATTCATGAAAATTAATTGATTTGCCTCGATTTGAAATCCTCTTACTTGTCTGCGCTTTCTTTTCTTTCACCCGGAAAAAACATGACTTTGATTTCCTTTCCATAAAATATTGGATTTTTTCAGATCGGACTTCTTTGCGGCCTTGTTCAAAGAACCAATCGATCAGGAGATGATAAGGGTACAAGAATCATTTTTGAAAACAAGATAAACATATCTCTTCAGGGTCGCCTGAACCTTCCAGAAAACTTCGAAGACGTCTTCCAATTGTTTAGGTTCGATCAATTCTCACAGTGAGTTATTCCATAGTTGCTGTGATTTTTTATTGAGCAACCAGATATAGTCCATTTTTCATGACTTGAAAAGGCTTCTCCGCGCTCTCCTTATCTTTCGGTGATCCTCGATGGTTCCGTGGTGCTTTTTTGCTTTTGAGCTCGCTGGTGAGCGAACTGACACTCGAAAATGTTCAAGGCGGACAGACTTTAATCTTCTTCTCAAAGCTTTATTACAGTATCACAGATTATTACAGATGCATGTACGGTGAACGTATTCCCGTCGACTTGGAGACGGTCAAACGTCTTCTGGTTCTCGCCAACCAATTCCAAGCCAACGAACTGCGGACCAAGTTTGAGATGAGGCTCATCGCAAAACTGGGCACGAACAACGCATTCAGCCTGCTGATATTTGCCCATCATAACAAGGCGGATAAGCTGAAAGCCTTCGCCATGAAGGTATTTAGTTTGATCATAATCGTCAAAGAGGTATAGTCCGTCTCTCCCGACTTGAAAAGGCTTCTCTGCACCCTCCTTGTCTCTCGGCGAGTCTCTCATGCTGACGTGATTTTTTCATGTTTCTCTGACCTTGTTGGTCGGAGAACAGAGAGACGCAGACAGTCGAAAACTTCCAAGCCGCGGTGGACGGACCATAACCGATTTGACTACAATTATAAACGTACAATTGGTTTCAGCTGATCGCGGAGCGTAGACCCAATGAATTCACAGAAAGTAAAGAATATATCGATATTTTCAAGACTTTACCGCTCTCTAACGAACTTCTCCGTGAATGTGATCGTCGTGCGATGATGAGAGTGGGAATCATGTGAATGTTATGTAACGCTTTTTTCAGTTAGTAATTACTTTTCAAGTTTAAAAAAAACCTTGAGTCGAGTGTGATATGTACGATTTTCAATGAACTTTTTTCGCTTATCGTTGTTCGTTTTTTTGAACGGTTTATTCAGAAACCAATTATATCTATTTTTTACTGTTCTATATTTGATCGGCGTGGAACTATATTTTCATCGTTCGCAAGTTTGTTCGTTCACCGAAATATTCATCAAGTGTTCAAAAAGCAATTTTTTTTCACTAGAGCGCACATGAATGAACGACAGGTGAATAAAATATAGCTGATTGACAGCTGGCTCGAACCATCGAAACAATTTCTCAAGATCTTTCATAGCCTGTCCACATTTTGAATGTCAAGCAGCAAACTCCGCCCCCAACAACGCTCTATGAATGACCCGCTCTCGGTTTGATCTACCCATGAGGCATAGGCGAATCCGAAAAGGGTATCACAAGACCCTCTGAGGTATATCGCAGGGTCTGAAGTCTATCGATGGTCCCTCGAGTACCTCTGAGTTCTTTGAGAAAAATGAGCCAGACTTGAGAGAGACTCTCAATTACCTCCGAGATGGCTCAGATATAGCTAAAAGGTATGCTGAACGTCTCACGATGGACATATTTTGGGGATCCATTTTGAGAGGTATATTTGTGGACACTTATTGGCACCCCCCTATTCGCCGAAGTTTGAGCCCGTGTGGGCGGAGTTCAAGCGAACTTGACATTCAAAATCTGAACAGACTGTATCCCACTTTGGAACTTTCTTCTTTGCCCACTGTCCAAGAAATCATCTCGCGTTTGAAGAAGAAATTGCAGCATGGACAACATGCTTCAGTTCACACTTCTTGCATTTATTTCGCTTTTCTGGCTGCTGGTTTATCCATACCTTTACTACACAAACGAGATGAAAATCACGTGAGTTTGTTGCAACGTTTTCAAAACAATGTCCTATCGACTTTTTCTCATTATAAGCTGTCAGTCGATCCAAAATATTGTAAAAAGAAACCAAAAAACTTTTTTTGCGAGATTTTTCAACCTGCTTCCAAACTTTTCCCACTAGGGAACGTTTTTAGCCCTCGGTTGAATTTTTGATGAAACTTTGCTGAAGTGTACTTTAGAACCTCTAGATATACAGCAGACGATAAAAAAAGAATTCCGCAATAGATTTGGTGTTCTAGTTAAGACGGTGTAGAAGCTCTAAATAGCGCATTTTTGCCTAATTTGCTTATTTTGCAAACATTGAAGCTTCACAACTCAAAAAAAATCTATTGTTTGGAAATTTTTCTTTTTCTGGAATCAAAAGATCCTCAAGGGGATTTCATCAAAAGTTCAACGAGGGCTGAAAAATGTTCCTTGTTAGTGACTACATACCACCATCCATTTTCAATGGAAAAAAAAAAAAATATATTTTTTTCAGTCAAACGGCTCTCTGTTCAATAATGTACGGCATCGTAATGAATGTTGTTGTGAGGGCCTACAACAGCGGCAGGTTGGCTTTTTTTGAAAGTTTCAAAAAATAGTACTCCTTGCTTTTTTTCCTTCTGTTGTCCTAACTCTTGCAAGAAACTTAAAGATTCGGAAGAGAGTAAGTTAGATTTATTGTATTTCCTTACTTTGACATTTCTCGATCATTTTTCCAAAACCTTTTTTCGAAAAAAAAGGTGATGAAAAAAAGTGTTGCAGTAGGAGCATTTTATCGGTTGTGCTGTTCATCTGTTTAATGAATGTTCTACTTATCGTCTCCATCGCCGTCGAGGTTTTCAAGTGAGCTTTTCAAGCACTTTCAAAAACCAAACACTATCGAGATTTTCTTTAAGATTTGAGAACTGTTGGTGGCTCAATATTTCGGCATTAGGTATAACAATTTATTCCCACGTTCACTTCTTCAAATCCAGGTAAGAATCATTCAAAATTTGAAGAAAGACAGATTTTTATTTACAGTGACGAGAGAGAAAGTGAGCCGGGAGTTGAAGAAAGTCAGTTTTCAGGAAAGGAAAGTACTTTGTAAACTTTGTGTTTTTAGGAATTCAAAGCGCTCTCGCTGCTTTCGATTTCGGGGAAATTGTGGTTTCTTCGATTTTTTATGAAGTTTTGGCTAGATTTCTATTTTTTTTAGCCAGAAGAGCAGCCTCAAAAGGCCAAATTGCCCGCTACTTTGTTAGATATGTTCTTAAGCGGTCTTCACTCGGATTTCGATGTTTTTGTCAAAGGCTGGCGAATTCGAATCCACAAAAGCGTCGTGGCAATTCAGTCAGTTTTTTTTAACTTGAATTTCAAAAGAAGTTTGTCATCAGCAAAAAAAATGGCTGAAAGAAAGGAAAATTTTCATATTTCTTTTTCTTAATGGGTCAATGATTACTAGATTTATTCACTGCGTACTATAGTCGAAAATTCAAAACGAGGTGTAGCGAAAAATACAATTAAAATAAATGCGAGACAGAAATAGAAAAAAATGGAGAAACTTTTCAGATCGGACTACTTTGCCGCCTTGTTTGAAGAGCCAAACGATCAGGATATGATAAGAGTTTGAAAATAATTTATCAAAACTGAAGTTATAAATATTTTCAGGGTCGCCTAGACATTTCAGAGAGCTATGAGGACGTCTTCCAAATGTTCAGGTATCTCTAAATAGTCCTATAGTGAATATATTTTAAAGTTGAGCTTTTTCCTGATTCAAAATCCAGAATAATAAAGATATTTTCATAAAATCTGAAGCTTACTCACAGATGCATGTACGGCGAGCGCGTTCCCGACGACGTAGAGACGGTCAAAAGTCTTCTGATCCTCGCCAAAAAATTCCAAGTCAACGAACTGCTGACCAAGTGTGAGATGAGGCTGATCGAAAATCTCGCCGGCCACAACGCATATAGTTTCTTGCTTTTCGCCCATCAACACAAGGCCATTCAATTGAAAGAATTCGCCCTCGCGGTATGTAGTTTGATTATAAACAGTAAGAATGTACTTATTCGACTACAGTTTTCAGTTTTGAAGAAGCAAATTATAGCCGATCCCCAACTTGAAGCAGTCTGATTCCTCGTTTTTCATTCATACTTTTTCATGTTTTTTTGAACTCTTCCGAGAGCGAAAAAATAAAAAGAAGCTATTATAAGGTTTATCCACCTTGAAACGCCTCAAAAAGATAAGATTTCTCTGAAAATATAGCTAGAGGACTTTTTGGTGTACCAGTAGAGTTGCCATAAATCTTTGAAAAGTCATTAGCTTCCGGGAACAGACTTATCATACTAGTTGAGCAATTTGTATTCCAGGACCTTCATTTGGTACAGTTGAAAGTTTCGTGTTCAGCTTTCAGAAAATTCCAACGTGCAAAATTGAATGACTACCGTTAGAGAACAATTTTTAATAAATTATAGAATATAGTCTGCTCAGATTTTGAAGTTTTAAGTCGTCGCTCAAGCCCGCCCCTAGAGACGCGATAAACCAATCATAGAACGAGCCATTCACATAGCCTTTTCGTCATTGTTCGTGACATTCAACATCTGAACGGATTATAATTAGTGATTTGGGACTTATTACAAACAGAACTTGATTCCATGAGAAGCCGTTTCGAATAATTTACAATAAACTGTTAAATTCTCAAACTAATTTCAGATAACGGTGAAGTATAACCGGGAGATCCCGTTTGAAGAACAAAGGCTCTACGTGAAAATTATCCGCAAAATAAAACCTCTGGCAACAGAATACATCGAAGCTCGCATTCCTCGCTTTTTACTTGACTAGTGAGACGTTCAACGTAGCTAACTCTATTCACTTGGCGAATAAATTCAGGATTCTCATGGGCTGTACAAATATCCTGCTTGAATTCTAATGATCGTAAATAAAGTTTCTTCTTGCTTTTTCAAGTCGGTCACCAAATCAAAATCCTCTTTTCATTTAGATAAGAACTCCTTAACGCCAAATTTTCCCTTTTTATTAATCGATATAATATTCATATCTCCGCTAGTTGGGACCGAAAGAAACAGAAAACGTTTTTTTTTTTCGCATGGTTCGCCGTTAAAAACCTGAAGACCAGTATGCAAAATATTATACTTCCAATCTGATTCTTTTTCTCTGTTTCTGTTGTATCGTTCTGTTTTCTGTAGAGCTTCGAGCTTTAGGCTTGTTCACTCGCATATGAACGCGATGCGCTTAAATTCCATTAATCTTTTTTTTTTCGCTTTTTATGTTATTTCTTCCTTACTCTCTTATTCATCTCAGTTACCTCCAATTTTTCACTTTGCTATATTAACCTTTCAATCTGCCATTTTTTGTAATTTTCATATAGCTGATTCACGGTTGGCTTGAGCCGTCGAAAAACGGGTCCTGACACGATAATGCACGAGATAGCGCCTGGCTCGTGGAGAGCGCAGACAGGACACGCCCCCTCAGCGTCCCAAGCTGGCCGTGAATCAGCTATAACTGCCATTTTTTTTGTAGTTTTTCCAATAAATATATTCATCAACCTCGTTTTTTTGATGGAGACAAAAATGCTCCGATGGGTCGCCGGCATCACGAGACTAGACCACGTGCCAAATGAAGACACCTGAAAGCGATTTGGAGTGGACCCATTGTGGAAAAGCTACGCGAAAACCGTCTGAGATGGTATGAATACGTTCTACGAGCATATGCCACGTCTATTGCGAGAACGAGTCTCGAAATGGAAGTCGATGGCAAAAGGCCCAAGGGCCAACCGAAACAACTATGGTTGGACACGCTACATCCAGACCTGAAAGCGACAAACCAACACCCTGACCAAGCAGCGGATAGAACGAAATAGCAACAACGACCTAGAAAAGCCGACCGAGCGGGACAAACGTTGAAGAAGAAGAAGATATTCATCAAAGTCATTTTCTTGGTTTGAATTTGATGAGAACGATTTCAATGATTACTTCAGTTCATCAAATGAAATTTTTGCTAATAGCATATAAAATTGGGGAAGTGAGGAATAGGCGTCGTTGTTGGGGCCATGTCGCCATGACAACAAGCCCGCCGTATTGGCTTGAGCAATGGCGATTCTCGTTCTTAATATTCTCAAAACTGTCGATTTCGTGTATGATATTACATTCTGTATTTTAAATATCTAAAACTGATGGAATGACTTCGTTCATGCCTATCCGTGACGGCGATTTCACCAGTACGATTTATGGACTGGTGAGAGAATTATTCCCAGCTATTAGTTCAAATAAATTCGTTTTTTTAAAAATTAATGACCCCATGAAAATAAGAAGAAAATTTTACAAGATAAAGTGAATTCAGATCAAAGAGCAGAAGTTCAATGAGGCCATTCGCTTTCTTCAGTATCAAAATGAGCAGGCGCCAAAGGTTTTTTATGCCATGAATTGTTTGTTTCTTTATTGATATATAGCCGATTCACGGCCAGCTTGGGACGCTGAGGGGGCGTGTCCTGTCTGCGCTCTCCACCAATCATGCACTAGCTCTTTTATTATCGTGTCAGGACCCATATTTCGATGGCTCAAGCCAGTCGTGAATCAGCTATATTATGATTCTGAAAGAAAACAGGAAGTACATGTTGAAAAGTTTCAACTTTCTTTCATCAGTTCATGCGATTCTCTGCGATTATATAATGAATAAGCAAACTATCTTAAGGGTCTAGAAATTAGGAAACTTTTTCTGTATCATTGCCTATTCCGCGCCTCCTGGGCATGGTTTTGTTTCGCTTCCAGTTTTACAACCCTCTTTTCAATGACCGCTGATTCGTTGAAATATTCGAAAAAATATCACCTTCTTTTAAAGAACCGCGCAGCCTTGTCGCTTCTGGCCTACTGCTACTACTACACGCAGGACTACGTGAACGCGGCAATTTGTTATGAGCAGCTGGTCCGTTTCCAAACGGGCCATCCTCAGTACAAACTCTATCACGCCCAGTCGCTCTACAACGCCTTCATGATGCAGGAGGCGTTGATGGTCGTGTCCTCGGTGAGTATAACTGAACTTTGAAGAAAGATTTCCAATTGGAACCATACGTGGACAATCAAAGAACTCGAATATACGAAGATTGTGACGAGTTGTGAAAAAATAAGGATTGAAAATCTTAAAGTTAACTTCAGCAAAGTTGCATCAAAACTTCAACCGGGGCTAAGAAACGTTCCCTAGTTAGGGCAACTTTGAAGCGGCTTTCAAAGTTTATCTACCCTTTCTGATCAAAACTTTTTTAAAATTTTGTTGTATTTATTTTGTATAACATAACGATAATACGGCTAATTTTCTTAACTTCATAAAAAGATATAGGCAAAAAAAAGTTTGCTTCCTCATTTTCTTCATTGTGTTTTGAGCATTTGAGGCTCGCGAATTTTCTTTTCTTCAAAGAAAAGGCCAGAGACACAGAAGAAGCCTCCTACCTATGAAAGACAGTGACGATCTTCGGGCTGGGTCGAAATCCTCCCGGCCTGAGGCACATCTCTCGGTTCTATAGCCTGTGTACCACGACTTGGAATTTCATCGAACGACATTCCGCTGTTCCGCTGCGTGCTCGTCCGCTTTTTAATTTTTAATTTTACTTAAGAACTCGACCAACACGTGTTCCTAGTGGAATAGTCCATCTATCAGAAATGAGAACCAATTCAAAGCGAGACCGAGGCTCGCAAAGACGCTTCGCGACGCAGCGGAACAGCGGAATGTCGTTCGGTGAAATTTCAAGTCGTGGCACACAGTCTATATTGTGATTATAAAAAATTTTTTTATTCGAATAATGAATTTATTCTGAATTAATCTGTCAATATTCGAATCACGTCGATAATAGCCAATGGAGTCGCGGCTAAGCGGAGCCGAGGACTTATACACCATTACATCAAACAAACCACATGTGGTTAAGGGACTCTATGTGAAATCAAAAAAAAATTATGTTCAGAAGTGGATGAACTGAAAATGATGCATTATTTTGTTATGCCAGATCCAAGACCCGACGCTTCTGAACGAATGCGTCAAGTTGGAGGCCGCCATCAAGTACCGCGAAGAAGACATCGCGAACGCTCGGATCCTCGTCGAGCAGTGCCCTCAGGACGATCCCGACGTCGTCGTCAACCTCGCCTGCATCGAGTACAAGGTGATGATGTCATCATGTCGTGACGTCACGAATGATTTCCAGGAGGGCGACTACAACGCCGCCTTAGCCAAGTTTGAGCACGCCAGCAGCTATTCAGGCTATCAGGTTAATCCTTTTTATTTTAGTCTATGTTCGAATATTCAAAAGCTATAGAGCAGTGGTGAAGAAGAGAGTTTAGAGTAAAAAAACACGTGTTCTCTCATTTTCCAATACTCTTAAAATTTCAAAGATTTGAACGCAGAATCGTTTTCTTGCAGGATATTTCAATTAAAAAGGTTCATGCTGAGTTTCAAAGCAAAGTTACAAACTTCTTCTAAAAAACTATTCTCGAAGGACTTTCTGCGCCTTCTAAAATATTGCCGTAAATTTTTTGAATACATTTTTATGACTTTTGATTTTCAGCCGGAACTGGCCTACTCGATCGCCCTCTGTCACTACCGTAAGAAAGAGTACGCAAAAGCGTTGAAGTTCATCGCGGATATTATCGATCGAGGCGTCAAAGATCACCCCGGTCAGTTAATTCATGGCCAAAGGAACATGATAACTGAACACGTTGCAGAGCTCAGTGTTGGAATGGTCACTGAGGGAATCGATGTCGGCTCGGTGGGAAATTCGTTGAAACTTCACGAAACGGCGCTCATTGAAGCCTTCAACTTGAAGTTTGCCATCGAGTATCGATTGAAAAATTGTGAGGATTTCGACATTCGTTGAGATTATGACGGCTTTTTTCAGTCAAATCGGCGCAGGAGGCGCTGACGGACATGCCGCCGAGAAGTGAGCACGAGCTCGACGCCTGCACTTTGCACAACCAGGTCCGAACGAAAAATCAATGTTCATTCCCTTCGAGGAGAAAGTACTAGGAATTTGTAAGCGAACAAAAATTTCCAAACACCATAAGGTCATCCATCGGCTGGATCCCACCCCAGCCTTACGCGCAAAAAAAAAATTTGAAAATTTAAATTTTTGGAATATGGCTTTTTTTCAGAAGTTCAAGTTAAATTGAAAAAAGCTAGTCTGCTCAGATTATGGATGTGAATCGCAAGACGTTATTCAAAATTCCTCTCTGGAGTGCACGCTCTCTGATTGGTTTATTGCGTCATTAGGGGCGGAGCTTGAGCAACGAATCCACATTCAAAATCAAAGCGGAATAGTGTACAGCTTTTCCCTAGACTCGAAAATTTTTAACTATGAAAAAAAATTGGACAATCTTTAATATTTTTGATCGAGGAAAAGTTGACTTCGGAGAGATTGAGAAAAGGTTGAAATAGGATGGAGATAAAAATTGAGAGGGATTTTCATTGAACATGAGGTTTTTTTTGATGAAAAATTTCATTTACAGGCTTTGATTGGCGTTGAGAAAGATCCCGGGGACGCCTTTGCCAAGTTACAGTACCTGTTGAGCCAAAATCCGTTTCCACCCGAGACCTTCTCCAATTTACTCCTGCTCTATTGTAAATATGAGGTTCGATTCGATTATTTTCCTGATCGTCTTGTAATTGCAGTACTACGACCTCGCGGCGGACGTTCTTGCTGAAAACGCACATCTCACTTATAAGCACCTGTCACAGGTGACATCTTGATAGAATTTCCGAATTACCTTTATTTTAGTACCAATTTGATTACTTGGACGCGATGATCAACCTACAAACGTCGCCAAACGACGCTCTGATCAAGTTGGAAGCCATGGAAAACGATCATGTCAACGATTTGAGGATATTGACCAAGGAAATTCAGTCGAATAAGGTTTGAAATGCAAATTAACGTCTCTCCACCATCCAGGTACTTTCGCGTTGATACCTTATCGCGCGCGACGATGATCCTTCGATAGTCGCCGTTTTTGATCTTTTTTGATCAAATAGCTTAAAGAATAGTCAAAAAATGCAGCCCTATTCAAGGATCCTCGACGCAAAGGTTACTGTAGTCCTGGAGTTACTGTAGTCCGAGGAGATAGCTGCTTGACATTGGAAATCTGAACAGACTACATATAATATGTACATATTCATCAAGCTTTCCACTATCAAATTCTCGTTTTTGCTTATTCTTTATTATAACAAAAACGGTAGTCAGTAAAAAAAAATCTTCGGTGAAGTTTTTTTTCTTTGATGAAATGCAAAATTTTTCGAAGCCTGGCCCAACAACGCTCAAGCTTTTTCTCAAAAATGAAGCCTGGAGCTTGCACAAATCTGTATGTAGCCGATACATGGCTGAGCCATCTTAAAAAGGGTCCTGACACGATAAGAAGAAACAATGCCTGGTTTCTGGAGAGAGCAGACAGGTCTCTCCGCCTCCCAGACTAGCCAGTTATACAATTGATTTCAATGTTTTTCCAGGAGTGGGGCGACAAGGAGCTAGAAGAGACGGGCATGAAAAAATTGATGGAATCGTTCGATGAGAAGTTGGAAATGTAGTTTCGTACCCGTGATGACTTAACTGATCTCCGAATGTTAAGGTACTTGCCAGTTTTGATGGCCCATGCCAAGTTCTACTGGGACCGGGCTCAGTATTCGCAGGTCGAGCGACTTTTTAGGTAATATTTGTCTTTTTGAAAAAGAAGCATGCATTGGCATGTTTGATTTTTGCTAATAGTTGTTTTTTTAAACAAAAATTTTTAGTATTCTCTTTTTGAATTCCAGTTAATTCGCGCTCTTCGACGGAGTCAAATTTTAGAAAAAGAATCTTATTATTCGAAATATTCTTTTTAAAAAAACGTAAAAAAAGCACGGAAAGAGGTTATTTTTTCAAGTCTTCAAAGCCTCAAAAGTTCATAAAAACTTTCAACAACGTTGAAGTTGGAATCAAAAAAGGGAAACTTTTTTTTCTTATCTGTTGTATCAAATATTTTCCAGTCGCAAATTCGACTAACTTTTTTTTCTATTCAATTTCGACAAATGAGTCCATTTGGGAATATTTTCTCTAAATGCTATTTTCGCAGGACGTCGGTCGACTTCAGCCGGGAGCACGACACCTGGAAACTCAACGTGGCCCACACAATCTTCATGCAGGAGCAAAAAAATTCAAAGAAGCGGCCGGATTTTTATGAACCAATTGTTCAGAAAAGCTATAATCATGTTGGTTGATTAGAATATCCAAAAAAAGTCGCGATTCAATAGTCTTTTTTGTGTTTTGAAGTAGCTTTTTTTTTAATTCTTGGAAGAAGTTTTGGAGATATTCCTGATCTTTTTTTCATTTTCGGAATAAGAAACCATTATGATGAGGAATGGAAATAAGACCAACCTGTAATGTTTTACCCACTTTTTATTTTTGCAAAACTTCCCCAAGACAAAAATTTTGATTTTTTTCAGCTTCCAAAAACATGTAGATTTTTCAAAAATTATGACTTGAAGTTTTGTTCGAAGAAATTCATTCATAAGAGTATGAATCCCAGATGATGGACATTTCGGCGATCGTTTTGGCCAACTTATGCGTTTGCTACATCATGACCAATCAGAACGAGGAGGTGGGACAAAAAAAAGAAGGAGAAACCGATATATTCTCCATCAGGCTGAAGATTTGATGCGGAAGGTCGAGAGGGAAGAAGAAGAGGCTCGAGAAGCCGAACCGACCAAAAAATTCTACCACGTCTGCATCATCAACCTGGTCATTGGAACTTTGTATTGTAGTAAGGTTGGTACTCATCATTTTGAAAAAATAAAATACAAAATGAAGCAATGGATCTGGAAAGGTAAGGAGAAAACAGAGGTAGAAAAGCGAGAAGTTTACTTCCAACGTTTTTGACGATCTTCTAGATTTCGAAAAAATCAATTTTGAAAATTTTTTTCTCTCCGGAAACATTTTTTTGATGGATTCTCTGTGATTTTAACCGGTCGGAAATAAAGAAAAGGGTTTTTTTATACCAGCTTGAAAAATCGCTTGAAACTTGAATTTTGTGAGAAAAGTATGAAGCTATAAAATTTTAGCTTTTGTTGTAAAAAAATGAGAAAAAAACTTCGTAGACGGTGTTTTTAGAGAGACAGAAGAAAAAAATTTATTTTTTTGAGATATATATATATATATGTAATTTTTTTCTTAGGCGATTTTTTTGAACTTATCAGAATGTTTTTGTGTGTTGAAAATTACTCGTTCTTTAAAAAAATAAGTTAATTTCTAAGTTTTTCAAGAAGATTGTGTTTCACTAAAGACAAACACCAAAAAAGGCTGTTCAAAAGTTTTTCTAACGTCTAGGAAAAACCAAGTTCCAGGGAAATTACGAGTTTGGAATTTCACGAGTGATCAAGGCGATGGAACCCCAGGAAAGGAAGCTGGGTACCGACACTTGGTACTACGCCAAAAGATGTTTGTTGGCGACGATTGGTAAGTAAAAACGATAAGTATAAGATACAGTTGCGTCAAAAAAGATACTACCCTCAAAGTTGAAAATAAAAATGAAATGTAGACAAAGGGTGGAAAATTTAAAAAAGGATTTTTTTTTGACAATGTGACCGCTTCGCGTGTTGGGTCAACCTGGGGCGCGTTGCGGTATATATTCCTGCGTCGTCCGTCATGACCCCCTCTGAGCGGTATGATAAAAAAGGGCTAATCGTATCACTTTGAATGTATAAAATCGAAGGTTCAATTCTATTATGTTCGGCAAATAAAAGTTTTCTTGCTCAAGTTTTCAAAAAGTCCAAAAATTCTGAGTCAGTTTTGATTTTTTTATGTGATTCATAGAAATCCCGAGCTCTTCTAGATTTTTCTGGAGTTTTTCCTAGATTTTTGAACCGAAAAAAAACCGTTCAAAACAGTTTTTGAAGCAAAAATCCAATTTAATTTTCTTGTTTTAATTTTAGAAACGATGGCCAAACATCTGGTAGTGATCCGTGACGCCGTCATCCACGAGTGTATAGGCTTTCTGGAGAAGTGCGAGAGTGAGTTTCTTTTATATCTCAGTAGAAGCTGAGCTTCTTTTTTTTGAAGTTGAGAGTTAAGGTTCGATTCCGCTCGGTTTCTATTTTATTTGCTATCCTTTCTGCTTTTCGATGTTTCGAATTCAGTTCACGGACGGAACATTCCCGCAACGGCTGACGGTCCTCTGGAGACAGCTCTGGACGCCACCATCAAAAATACCGTAACCTACGAGGCCCGCCAACTCAAAGCCATTTTATTGCAAGTTATTGACGCGTGATCTTTTAATAAAACATTCAAGAACTTTTTTGAATATTTTATTTGAAAAAAGTTTGAATTCATATACTCGTCCCGAAAAGCTTCTTCCGAGCGATAATATAAAAATTTGACTCGTTTAAATGCCTCAGAAAGATTTTTTTATATTAGTAATTGATTCGAAAATAGTAAAAAGATATTCTTGATCATTTTTAACAGTAAGATCCATTTGACCGCTGTTATTTTTGGCAATTTTTTTAAAATTTAGATAATTTTTAAGTTGAAATTTTGTTTCTGTTAAATTTTTTTCCATGGTAAAAAAATCCCCCGACAAAAAATTTTTTTTCTGCCTAAAAAGTTTGATGCGGGGACCTAAATGTCTATCTACTTCTGCTCTGAGTAAACCCACAAATTTTTCAAAAAGAATCGAATTTTTTTCGGTGAAACTCAATTTTTTCCCACGAGACTTTCGCGGCTCTCTGTGACACACAAAGGCGTTCCTCACGGGTTCCATTCCTTTCTTCTTTCCTTTTTCCTTTTTTGCCAAGTTCTAGAGCCTTTGACTTTCGCTTCTTAGGTTAGAAAAGTTTTTTCGGCGTGGGAAGTGGTATTGAACTTTAGAAGTTCGCAATTTTGGGAGAACTTCTTTCACAAGCCTTTTCGACAAGTTTTCAACAAAAAAAGATTTTGAATCAGAATGAAAAAATAAGTTTGAAACCTTTTTTTTACTGTGACCTGAATTTTTTGGGCTCCCGGTTGAACTTTTGATGAAACTTGGCTGGAATGCTCTTGAGGACCTAACTCTAGAATCTTACAGTAGCTTTGTAAATTTTTTGCTCGGGTATTAAGCCTTTTAAATTCGCAAATCACACAAATAATGGAAATTTCAAGAAGTTTGAAGCTTTACAACTCCAAAACATGATATTGTATTCGCGAGAAATTTTTTCCGTGTTCTGGAATGATAAGATCCTGAAGAAAATTTGGGGAAATTTCTTCAGAAGTTCAACAAGCGGCCAAAAAAAGTTCCCTTGTAAGGAATGAAGGAAAGGATTACCTCAAAACTTTGAACTTTTGTGTTTGTCGAAACGGTTCTGTCCTTGTTTTTCTGTCCTCCTCAACTTTGCCCCTTTTGACGAATTCTCCCCCACATTGTTCTGGAAGGCAAAAGGAGGACGTTAAATTTATGGAATTGTCGATATTTGTGGGCCTCGTCTTGACATTTTCTTTTTTGGTCGGCTCGCCCCTGGCTTTGACTCGGCTTCTTCCTGAATTAACTCCAGTTTCCGCTCACCTCTGGTTTTGACGGCTTGAATATGAAAAAGTTTCTCCTAGGTCTAAAAATTTTTCATTTGAAAATTTTCCAAGTTAGTTACATTTTTTACTAGCTTTTTTCAGTTGTTGTAAGTATTTCCTGTCTAGAAACGCTCGCTCGGAGTTTTGAGTGGGCTAAAGGCTAAAGTCTTGGACCATTGAAAATGAGAATTCTCAGGGTTTTCGAAAATTTCTCTTTAAAAAACTATCTACGATTTTTTTAACCCGCAGCAAATATATTTAAACAGTTATTATATCAAGAAAAAAACATGAACAGTTGAAAAAAATGTGAAATTTAGAGGAAAAATGATTTTTTTATACTTTAAATTTTTCCTGCGCGTCGGCGTGCATGCACCTTATATATTTTCTCACGCGCAATCATCAATGTCCTCTTATTTTTTTTAAAAATTTGGTGGTATGAAAAAAACACCAGCGAAAATTCAAACGGCGACTTTTCCGATTTTTTCATTTCGCTAGGGAACTTTCCGACGGCCACCTTTCCGACGACACTTTTTCCGACTTTTTTTCCCTTATGCTTTTCGGTTTATAAAACATCTATGAACATTTTTTTCCTATTTCTTTGTGTTTTAATTATGAACAAACTACCTACTTTATATAGGAAGATGTAAAACGAAGAGTTTATCGAGAAAAAAAAGTCGGAAAAAGTTTCGTCGGAAAGGTGGCCGTCGGAAAGTTCCCTAGCGATATGAAAAAATCGGAAAAGTCGCCGTTTGAATTTTCGCCGGTGTTTTTTTCATACCACCAAAAATTTTCTTCCATTTCCTCAAAGTTCTTAGCCAGGGCTGTATATTCCACTGCTGTGAACTTTTTTCACGCAACTACTGGTAACACGGCCGGAACAAGTAGAGTATGTTTAACTTATTTATTTCAAAGCGGAAGTTAGTTGTTTTTAATTGTTCATTTTTTGTTTTTTGAGTAATAATCTGTTCAAAAGTTGTTTCTTTAATGTTCAAAGGCGCATGGGAATATTGATCAAATTTTTGAAGGTCAAAATAGTCATTTAATTTTATTTAGAGTTATACTTGCGCCTTTGAACACCCCAGCAGGAAATTCGAACAGAACATATAAGCTTTTATGTGCTCTTTCTGGCTATTTGGACTGAAAAGTAAATGGAACGGGGAAAAATTTTCATGAATAGGTAAAATGTTGACCCTGTGCCAGGCTTCATTTTTTTTTCCAATCAACACTTTTCAAACGAAATTTTCCGACAAGAATACACAAATTTTCAGTTCTTTCGTTGTTTTTTCGAGATGGAGCTTCTTAGAAGAAACCTTAGGGGATTTGCAAGTCATTTCACTTGATGAGGTGCCCATAATTGCATTTCTTTTTTTCGGCGCTTTCAAGTCATCGTCTGGTCGGCTCAATTTGGCCTTTTTTTCAGTTTCTTACAAATAATCAAGTTTTTCTGAAAGTTGAAAAATCAAGAAAGTGATATGAAAACTAATTTTTATTCAAAATATATATTATTTTTTAAATCTAGAAAGTTCTTCTTTCTTGAAAAGATCCAAAAATTAAGAAAGTTGTTTTTTTTTTTTTAATTACTTCCGCTTACACAGAAGTCGCTCTGTTGAAGTGATAAATCAACCCAAAGGGTATAATTTTCGAGGCTCGTTAAATTCTTCAAGTTTTTTAGAGGCCAAAAGCTCTCTGAAACTATGAGAAAGAGCGCCAAAGTTTGAAAAAAACTGAGAGTACGGAAACTTAACCGGAATCCAAAATGTTGTTGGAAAAGGGTGGAAACTGGTCTTTAAAAGTTCGTCACTAACTAATGAGCTTTTTTTAAATTGTTTTTTTGTTTTTTTGGTAAATGAGCTGTTTTGGAGTTTCCTGACACTCTTTGTGTCTATTTTTCATATATTTGTCTATTTTCACTTTTTTTCCTTAGAATGAAGATCTTTTATAAGTTTAAGATGTAAAAATTAAGCGTAAATATATTTTTAAAACTTTTTGCGCCGTGTTTGATGTTCCAGAAAAAGATTTGAAAGTCTCGGCCTGAAAACTTCCTAGTTTTCGAGAAATAAAGACTTCGGGCCCCAAAATAGCCCATTTTAATGAATTTTGAGTTTTATTCGACTTTGAGGTGTTCTTTCTCAAAAACTAAAGAATCGAGAAGATCGAAGGAGGATCTTTATCTGGCTCACCAAGGAGTTCTGACCAGTATTGGGAGAGTTCCCGACTGCAGAGTAATTAAATGTTCTCCCTTAGACATACTGGAATCAAAGCTCCAACTATTCGAAAATATCTCTAAGTTTAGTCTCTTTCATGTCAGGAACTGAAATAACCAGCTGTAAATCCAGGACATTTCAACGACCCATTAATCTTTCAATTCGTTCATATTTTGCAAGAAGACACGCAGAGACGGCGGCTCGGTTCTCGGTTGTAACAAAGAGAAAGGCGGTCGCCGGCTCCTCCTTCTTCTTGATACCCAACCCATCGCGACTTTTTCCTATCTTTTTTTTCTGGATTTTTCTGTTGAAATTTGATGATTCGGTTCCCGATTTTCACAAGAAAGCTAGTTTAACTGTTTTTGTCTGATTTCAAAATTCTTTCTCGCGCTTTTAAAGGCGCATAGATGTGTTTCGAAAAGTTCTTGAAGGGGAGAGCCGATCATGATACTGGTTTAGATCTTGTAGGCGTCTCTGCACTTGTAAGCGTTTTGAATAGAAACAAAAAAATAGTCACCTTATTGAAGAAATTTTCGATTTTTATTTATTGAAGGCGATTCAGTTGATCAATTTTGAGCTAACTAGTTCATGCGAAAAAATAACAAGGGATTTTCTAGTAACTTTCTTTCTTTATTTTGGGAAATCTTCGAGGCTGCAATAAAATTCATAGAGTGTCTCCAGTCTAATGGGCTTTCTCAAGTGAAGGTAACTTTTAAAAATACCTCAAATGACATTTTTTTTTTTCATGAGGTCGAACCAGAGAAGATTCTCCAATTGGCGGTTGAAGCTCTTTTAAATTTTAAATTCTCACATTTTTGAAGAAATCTACCTTTTTTTCATTCATGGTTTTTCAGACAACAGCGCTATTTTAATCTTGCCAGTGGCCACTTGAGGGATTATTTTGTGCTTTTTTTAACGTAAACTTCAGCTGAAAGTGTTTATAAGAAACGATATTATGAAAAAAAGGTGGTCAAATATTTTTTTGTCAAACTTTTGGTAGTTGTTTGGGTGAATCTGCGTGATCTCTATTCTATTTTTTTGAAGATTGAATTTTTTTGAAAACCTATTTGAGGCTCTAAAAACAGAATTGTAAAGTTTTATTCGAAAATTTTTCAACAATTTTTTTCGACGGGTTTTCAACTGCCTCAACTTTTTTTTTGTGAAACTCCTGTTTGAGGACATGATACGCATTTTGTCAGTTGAAAAATTGGGCTTGAAAAACTCGAAATGTTCTCTCAACTTCCACACACACACACTTGCACACACGCACTTACACTTCATCGATGATTGAGTTTTACGACACGGCCTGGATCGATGGCCGGAAGATTTGCCGGAGAACAGTTGTGCTGTCGGCGGCGGTCGTTGTGTATTTCATTTCAAAACGACCCCTTTTTCCTGTTTTTTACAGGTAGCGATAAGAAAAGTTACCTATGTCATGTGTATTAGAGGCTTTTCAATGGGCCTTTCCAGAAGTTTTAATTTTTTCTCAGATCAAAGATTATATAATGATACGTTCTATGTTATAGAG